GTGAAAATACAAACTTTTATGCTAAAGGACTGTCAATGCGATTTTACCGTGATTTCAATATTTTTTTTATCATAATCACTTGGAAAAAAAAATTATTTTATAGATATTAAAATATTGAATTTTTTATGACTGCTAAGAGGACACTTCTTTTAATACTTTCTTTATGATGTCTTTTTTATTATTAGGTGAATTGCATGTGTTTTATTGAATAATTTAGGTCAAATAGTGAGACTCGTGTAATTATATATATATAATTACATGATTTTAGCTTTTGTGTTTTATTTTTGGGTCAACCCATCTGATTATAGCTGGGTCCCTTGATTAAGTCTCAATATTTTGCTCATACTGGGCCAGTTGTATGCTATTGGGCTATTGATCAAGAATATTGTGGCTTTAAGGGCGTGGAGTTCCTCTATACAGACCAAAACTTGCTTTTGCATTGATCAAAGGTAAAATTGTAAAGAATTTTCCTTTTTTTTCCGTAGAATTTTTAAAATTTGGAGAATATGAGATGAATAAGGAGGAATAATTAAAATATGAATCAAGTATGAAAAAAATTATGAATGATAATTACACAAAGTTAAACATAAAAAAAAAACTTTTTAAATTCTTTCTAAAGATATATATTTTAAAATATCTTGTACTTGATATGAAATTTTACAGTTAAATTTTTTAAATATTCAAATAAATTTTTAATGATTTAAAATTTCTTTATCCAAATACAAGATTAGAGTAAACCTTATTATTGCATAGGAGAAAACAAAATTATTATTTTTTCAAGTAACATAAAGCTTATTGCAAGGTACAAAATAAGATGATGAGATGATAATTCTGTTTGCAGCCCAAATCAATGAAATGTATATTATAAAGCATAAAATGGATATTGTTCAATTGAGAACTAATATAATAAGGATGAAGTCTGCTATCCATTTCAAAATTTTCTCAACATAATTTAAAATTATAATTGAGACTATGAAATGAATATTGCTATGACACATCACAAAATGATTAATTCTACCCTTTCACCTATCTTTCAATATTGATATAACGCAACTATTCATACATTATAATACAAGTAAACAGAAAAAATTGGTTTATACTATCAAAATTTAGCTCCTCTTCAACTAGGCTCTATGAAACACTTCCATTAAAGCGTTAAAGTATTTAAGTGAAATTAATTCTTCTGATTTTTTTTAATGAACTTATACATTTATTTCTAAAGCATCATTCTGAAACAAAAATGATATTTTTAATATCACTTTTTGTATAAATTCTTTTAACATCATTTCTTACAATTTATTTTATTAAAATCTAAAACATAGAGTAACACCCTGCAGCCATGTAAACCGAAGATAGCAGTGTATATGTAAAGAGTAAAAGCTCTAAAAAAAATCGGTACGCGGGCAATGTTTCTTTCTTGTCTCACTCATGCAAAAAAATGATAAATAAAAAATAAAACCATATATTAACACTTTAATAGTTTAACTAATCTCTCTTGGTATATATTTTATTTGATAGAAATTCTATTGTTAAAATAAATATAATACTTTTACATATATAGCAAAAAAAAAAAAAACTTTTACACTAACATTTTGATATATCATAATACTAAACAATTTTATTTTTATAAAATATTAATTATATATACTATTAAAAAAGTACTATTTATAGACAGCCATTGCAGATGGATAAAACGACTTTACAAATAGATTTTTATATTTTTATTTTTTAAAAAAATTTGTTTATATTACAAATAAATTTTTATCTATCTGTAAAGTCTGTCTATAGTTGGCCTGTCATTTGACGTGAAGTATTATAGACATAAATTATAAACAAATATTTCTGTTTGTAATTTGAAAATGGGAGGAAATTTTGGAGCGAGAATTACAGACAAAAAAATTCGTCTGCAATTTATAGACAGATTTTTTGTCTATAACTATATTTGACAATTTTATAGACAGATAAATCTGTTTGTGATTGAACCTTTAAAACGCACAATTTCATTAAACTATTTATATATAAATTTTTCTGTTTGTAATGTGTCAAACATATAAAACCGTGCCTCCTCCTTTTTCTTTCTCATTTTACATAATTTTTCTTCTCTCTCGGCTTCAATTTTTTGGCCTTTGCAAATGATTGGAGCATCCATTTGAAAGTGAGTGACCTTTGTAAAGGTCACATTTATGATATGGGGGACTGATTTTGCAGACTCTATGTCCCCTACACCTGTTACCAGAGATGCCCCTTCTCTTGCACATGAGGAAGTGGAAAACATGGTCTACACTCAAGTCTATACGCTCAATGAATAATTCCAAAAGCAGAATAATGAAAGGTGAAAGAGTAAGAAAAATACATGAAAAAAGAAGTCGGCAAAGAAAATAGATAAGAAGATAGAGAAGAAGATGACATTGAGGATAAAAAGGATGTCCTGGAGCAATAGAATATGCAGATGCAACAGATGTATGTATATTTTGAGCTCATGAGAGCAAGCAGCTCCACACCTTTTCTTCCTCCTCTACCAGCTCTAGTACTACCAGTTTTTATCTCTCCATGTATCATTCATTTTTCGACTCCTTGTCTACCGATGCTCTTTTGGATAACGATCATACAAATTATTCGTGATGAACACAAAAAAATAACTAAAATAGTAAAATATATCACAGACAGATTTTTATTTTTTTTTATCTATGACTTACGGATGAATTTTTTCATATTTAAGTTATAGATAGATTTTTCTATCTATAAATTACAAACATATTTTTTCGTTTGTAAATTAAAGACAAATTTTTTTTATTTGTAAGTTAAAGAATTTTTTCTTATGTAAATTACGGATGAATTGTAAAATCTGTTTATAATTTTTTACCGAGAGAATATTATAGATTATTTTTGTCTATCTATAAATTCATCTATAATTTTAAAAACTATTTGTTATAGTTTAAAAATTTGTCAATAAATTTGTCTATGTATATATGCAGATTTTGTAGTAATGATACTATTAATACATTAAATATTAACACACTAAGTAATAAGAAAGATAATTTTACTAATCTAACGGAGACATGCAAATTTGAATCTTGATCCTGAATTTTTAACATCAGTTAGTAAATAATATTATTTTGTAATGAATTGTTATCAGAGACTAATCTACAAAATTTTTGGATAATATTTAGAAGCAACCCACCATATTATTTGAATTTTGAAACAATATTTTTCCATACTTCACTTAATTTGTCCTTAATTTTATTTGAAAAATAATTTCAAAGTAAAACAGAAACACACTCAGGCACACTAAAATAATTATACATAAGGTGAATTTTTGGCATCCTGAAGTTTAAGAAGATAGTAAAATTCTTCTTTATTATCCATATTATATTCCATGCTGAATCTTTCTATTTTTTGGTTGGTGAGAGTTGGTGTGGTTTGTGTTGGGATTGATGCTGCTCTAATGGTAGTGTCTAACGTGACAGGAGAATAATGGGACGATGGGTACAATGATGGTGGCGATGCGGTGGTGCAGTGGTTCTGATTCTATTAACAACGATGGTAGTTCAATGTTCGAGATATGATACCGGCGACGCAAAATAATTACTATATAAAATTAAGGCTTAAATTTTAATATTTGTGATTTGACAATTGGGTAAATTGAAAATTTTGACCTTTAAAATTATTTACATAAATTTCGGAATAAATCTCATGGATCCTTTTATAATTTATAAAATTTAAAATATTATTAAAAAATAAAATTCCCACTCATTTATAACAGATATACATGTTAATTATTTATTGTTCCATATAAAATTAAGGTATTATTTGCATTTGCAATATAAAAAATACGATTTGATGAACGTTTGTGAAATAGCATAATGGGTTTGCTCAACCTAAATGATAGCTTATGGATTAATTCATTGCATCTTTGTCAACTTAGTATATTTTTTCCTTCTACCGCCCCACCCAAAATATTTTAGTATTTTTCTTCTCTTTTAGTTTTTATGAACCATCCTTGTCATAACCTTCAAAGGAATATGCTCAAGCAAGCCAATATTTTTCTTTCAATCTTTGAGGCTAATAATAAAATATATGATAATTTTAATTTTGAGAGAGCTTAAACAAATAATAATATAAGAATAGTAAGATTTAATTTTAAAAATTATTTATTATATTTGTATAAATTTAATATAATAAAAATTATTTTTAATAATATTTTTTATTTTTATATTTTGAAACTCATCTTTAAAATTTATAATTAGAAAAAATTATGAATAAATACAATCTAAAATAATTTTTCTAATTTATATAATATTGCACAAATAAAAATTATAAATAGTATTTTTATTAAAAATTTAATATAATTTAATGTATTAATACTATTAAATGCTATAATTTTTAATAAAAATTTATTATATATAATTTTTGGACGTGTAATATTGAAGGAATTAGAAAAGAAATCTAACATAAAAAAATGGAACTATGTATGAATGTGATTGCAACCGACAAACGCACCAATATCAACGTTGTGAGCACACAATCATAGTCCCCCAACAAGGCATGGCTATTAACCAAGGTTATCCTTGTTAACAGCACACCATCCACTACTTGAACTCAATCTAAGAAGCAAATGTGCATAAAACAAAATTGGTTTATGATATAATATTCATTAATAGAAAATGAATGTTAGGCTTGTTATGCTGAAATGTATATCACTATTGCTAAACAACGCATAATGTTGCTCGCGTGTCACATGTTTGCATACGTTAATTTTAAAGTCAAACATCGTAGGCACCAAACGTTCGTTTGCTACTTCAACGGCAGTTAGGCACAAGGTTCAGAATTTTTCCATCACTAATGCTTCCTTCTTAGCCTTCAAATCCTAAGTGCTCCTCTTTTTATTGAGACACATCGAGCCTAATCTGACACCTGAGTTCCTGTATATCCTTCTTTGGTTTTCAACGTTTCATTCATTATTTTTCCTTCTTTCAGATTGAAATATATATTGGTTCATGATGTGTTTGTTTAGACTAACAATGTTTCTATTTCTATTCGTGGACACTGTTCATGCAAGAGTTCATGGGAAAGAAAGTGCTGGCCTTGTGAATGGAAAAAGTTCACTTATTTCATTCATGTCAGGCATTGTTTCAGACCCGAAAAATGCTCTAGAGAGTTGGAAAAAATCAGGTGTTCATGTTTGTGATTGGTCAGGTGTGAGATGCAACAATGCAAGTGACATGATCATAGAGCTTGATCTCAGTGGAAGGTCACTGGGGGGCACCATTTCCCCTGCACTGGCTAACATCTCTTCCTTGCAAATTCTTGATCTTTCTGAGAACTTTTTGGTGGGTCACATTCCAAAAGAACTAGGCAATTTAGTTAAGCTTGGACAACTCAGTTTCTCTGGGAATTTTCTTGAAGGGAACATTCCCTCCGAGTTTGGTTCACTTCACAACCTGTACTACCTTGACATGGGAGGCAATCAACTTGAGGAAGAGATTCCTCCTCCACTTTTCTGTAATGGAACTTCATTGAGTTATATAGACCTCTCTAATAATTCCTTAGGAGGACAAATCCCATTGAACAATGAATGTATCCTTAAAGAGCTTAGGTTCCTCTTACTTTGGTCTAATCATCTTGTAGGCCAAGTTCCTTTAGCTCTTTCAAACTCTACCAAGCTTAAATGGCTTGATTTGGAGTCAAATATGTTGAGTGGAGAGCTTCCATCTGAGATTGTACTTAATTGGCCACTGCTACAATTCCTCTACTTGTCATATAACAATTTTGCTAGCCATCTTGGCAACACCAACCTTGAACCTTTCTTTGCTTCCTTGATGAATTTATCTAACTTTCAAGAACTTGAATTGGCGGGAAACAACCTTGGTGGGAAGTTGCCTCATATTATTGGTGATCTTCCTACCAGCCTGCAACAACTTCACCTAGAACAAAATCTCATATATGGTTCTATACCTCCACACATTGCAAACCTTGTAAACCTTACTTTCTTAAAGTTGTCCAGTAACCTAATAAATGGATCAATCCCTGCTACCCTTTGCCAGATGAATAGGCTAGAGAGAATTTATTTGTCAAATAATTCACTATCTGGTGAGATTCCTTCAACCCTTGGTGACATCCAACATCTTGGTCTTCTAGATTTGTCAAGAAACAATCTTTCTGGTTCAATACCAGATAGTTTTGCAAATCTCCCTCAGTTAAGAAGGCTTTTACTTTATGACAACCAGCTTTCTGGAACAATCCCGCCAAGTCTTGGAAAATGTGTCAACTTGGAGATTTTAGACTTGTCTCACAACAAGATTACAGGGTTTATTCCTGCAGAGGTTGCGGCCTTGAGTAGCTTGAAACTATACTTGAATTTGTCAAACAATAACTTGCTCGGGCCTTTACCGTTAGAACTCAGCAAAATGGACATGGTTCTAGCCATTGATGTATCCATGAATAATCTTTCTGGCAGCATCCCACCACAACTGGAAAGTTGTATAGCACTGGAGTACCTCAACCTTTCTGGTAATGCTTTTGAAGGCCCTCTCCCTTATTCATTAGGCCAATTGCTCTATATTCGAGCACTTGATGTGTCTTCAAATCAAATGACAGGGGTAATACCAGAGTCACTGCAGTTGTCTTCCTCTCTCAAGAAACTTAATTTCTCTTTCAACAAATTCTCAGGGAATGTCTCAAATGTGGGAGCATTTTCAAATCTTACCATAGACTCTTTCCTGGGAAATGATGGTCTTTGTGGCCCGTTTAAAGGCATGCAACACTGTCATAAGAAACATAGTTATCATTTGGTGTTCTTGTTAATTCCTATGTTACTATTTGGTACCCCTCTCCTATGCATGTTTTTTAGGTACTCCATGGTAACCAAGTCAAAAGTGAGAAAGCGATTTGCAATTGTTAGTAGAGGTGGCTTGGAGGATGAAGAGGAAACAAAAGAGCTCACGTACCCAAGAATTTCTTATAGACAACTTAGAGAAGCCACTGGAGACTTCAATGCTTCAAGCCTAATTGGTTCAGGTCGGTTTGGACAGGTCTACAAAGGAATGCTCCGAGATAATACAACAGTAGCTGTGAAGGTATTGGGTACAACATCTGGTGAGATTTCATGGAGTTTTAGAAGGGAATGCCAAATCCTGAAAAAGATCAGGCACAGAAATTTAATAAGGATCATCACAATTTGCTGTAAGCCAGAATTTAAGGCTCTTGTTTTTCCCTTGATGTCAAATGGTAGCCTTGAGAGGCACCTATATCCAAGCCATGAGTTAAGGCAAAGGTTGGATGTGGTTCAATTAGTAAGAATCTGCAGTGATGTAGCTGAGGGAATCTCCTATCTGCACCATTACTCTCCAGTGAAAGTAGTGCACTGTGATCTTAAGCCAAGCAATATACTCCTTGATGAAGATCTGACAGCTTTGGTTACTGATTTTGGAATTTCAAGGCTTCTAAAAAGTGATGAGAGTACATCCACCAGGAACTCAACATCTTTCAGTTCAACACATGGTTTGTTATGTGGCTCAGTTGGCTATATAGCTCCTGGTATGCACTTCGTGAATAGTAATCCGACATTTTCTACATTATGGTCATGATTGTTATTTTTTAATGACACTTTTCAGAAATTTTGGTGTATGGACTACTTTCTACAATCAATTCCAACCGGTAAACTCTAACCTGAATTGGTCTAAAAAGAATGATAATAAGAACATTTTTAGTTTGTGACTGCATGAATGAACTGCTCTCTTTTGTAAGTTATAACAGCTATTTGTCAAACAGTTTCGTGCTGTAGAACTCACAATTCTCTCAATCCATTTTCTTGGCCTACAGAGTATGGAATGGGAAAACATGCTTCAACTCAGGGTGATGTTTATAGTTTTGGAGTACTTCTGTTAGAGATTGTGACAGGTAAACGCCCCACAGATGTTCTCATCCATGAAGGTTTGCATGAGTGGGTTAAGAGACAATATGCACAGCCACAAAAGCTTGAAAACGTTGTTGAACAAGCACTACGAAGGTGCTCTCCTAGTGGCATGCCAAGTCATCATAACCAAATGTGGAAAGATGTTGTGCTGGAACTCATTGAGCTGGGGCTACTATGCACACAGCAGAATCCTTCTACAAGACCAAGCATGTTGGATGTGGCTCAAGAAATGGGAAGGTTGAAGGACTATCTCACTAGTTCAACCTTGCCCCCCATAGAAGTCAATCCCAAGATTAATTCTTTGTACAATGAAGATAATTGAGTCGATGACATTGCATAAAGAATAAAAAATAAAAATAATTTATTCAAAAATAAAAAATTATATTAAAATAACAAAAATTATTTAATTTTTATATTTTCGATTCATTAAAAGTATTTAATAGGATATATTAAATATTTTTAACTAGTGGCACTCTGTAGCATACCAGGACTTTAGTTTTTATCCATTTTAAATGTAAAACTTTTTTTTTTACACATTCCACAATCAATTTATAGAAGTTTAGTATCTCAAATTACAATATTTATTCTTTTAATAATTCTATTGAGCATGTGTTGACATTATTGTGTTGTAATGTTGAGTGAAACATGCGGGTCAATATTTCTATTGGTCAATCACTTCTCTTATTTAAACGATCAAGCTGATTATATGTCTCTCTTTTTGCCTACCTTTTATATAGCTATCGAGTTGGTATTGATAGAAAAAAGCCTCACGAATCCTTTTCAGATTGCATAGATCACTTCAACACGAGAAAACCGCTATACCATGATTGTTTGCTTTGGTAGGTCGAATTGTCCATGACACACAGATCAGAAGCAAGATTACATAATGAATACCATCACTTCGTATCAATATTAAATTAACATAAAGTAGAGATGGTAGATGTTTGAGTCAGATATTATATTTCAGTTAGTATCACCGTGCCTTAAGAAAATCTTAAAGCTAATTGCTACAACAATTTCTATAGTCTTTCTGCCATACCCACAAAGGGTTCCATGAAAGAACCTCCGTTCTGAAACCAGACTCTAAGCGATAAAAGAGAGTAGTTACGTATACCAGACAAGTTTTTCATTCTATTGTTAAAATCAACAAATAAACGTTTTTCAATAATTTTTCATTATATATACAAAGAGAGAGGGGATAGATCTATCTAAGTTGGTGTGAGTAAGACTCTTTCTTATTATATTTAATAATTTTTATTAAATAAATATTAAATTAAAAGGTATTATCATATAAATTATATCAACACACATAAAATAACTTCTATAAGGTTGCTTCTGTTGGAGTTCGAATTTCAATAAATATACTAAAATATCACCAAAAACAATTCTAACCGCCGGTATAGCAACTATAAAGATTTAGGGTTTAGGGTTTCGAAAACGCCAAAAACTGACAAGTGGGTTACCTTAGCTATAACCTAGAGATCATAGGAGAGGGTTGGTGAATTCTCAAGTTTGGACACGGAGGATGTTCCTTATAAAAAGTCTCCACTGTTGTTTAATCACTCCTCCACTTGAAGAGCAAGAATGAAGGAGTCTCATAAAAGAAAAAATATCATGCTGCCTCAAGGCCCTCAAAGGTTGTGCTATCTTTCCAACCTTAATTACCCATAATCACAATATTAGTCGATGAAGATGTTTGGCGTGGTTCTTTGGATAAAGTCTGGACCCTTAAAATTGAGCAAAAGCTACAGACTTTCTGAAGAATAAAAAATGCTAATCCGATGGTAATTGATTTATTTGTAACCTGAAAAAAAAACTGTTTTACGCTTTTACTTTTACCTATCAGTGCCAATTGCTGACACAGTGCATTTTGCAATATTAATTAATGGCATATTATCTCAGCTAAGTCAGGCTGCTATTAGATTGATCAATACTACGTACATAACTCACGAAAAAAAAATCCACTTTGATCTCTAAAATTGTAAATAATTATCACCTTACTCCTAATTTTACAAGTTTTTTACTTTAATGTCTAATTTATAAAATATTATAACATCATTTGCTTTAATTCCTTTGAGGTATGAAATTAGAATTATAGTTCAGAATATTAATTCTAATTTTGTCAATTGATTTGGAATCACGATTCATATGTGTGTGTTGTATATAGGGATAGAAACAGGCCAGACCGCCTGACAGGGGCTGTGGCCTAGCTTGGTTTAGGCCTCACCTTTTTAATAAACAAATCAGGCTCAAGCCTTTTTTAAGGCCTGTTTAAGTAAACAAGTCAAGTCTGAGCTGTTTATAATGCCTGTTAAGCCTGACAGATCGGCCTATATATATATAAAATTTAAAAATAGAGTTATCAAAATATATTTAAATAATAAAGTTATTTAATAATATATTTTTATATTCTTAATTCTGTTATTATTAAATTAATATATTATGTTATAATTTTATTTATTTATAATTATAATAAACAGAAATTACATTATATTAAAAATTAAAAATATTTATACATGATTACACTTTTTAAATAATAAATTTATTTAATAATAAATTATTATATTTAAACAATTTAAAAATAGTTAAGTCTTTGACCAGGAATAAGACGTAATCAAAACTAAATAAAATAAAATTTAAAAATAAAATAATAAAATTATATTAACATATTTTTTATACTCTTAATTTTATTATTATTAATTTAATTATTTAATTATTATATTAATATATTATGTTATAATTCTTTTTATTTATAATAAATAGAGATTACTTAAATCTGAATTATATTTTATTTGAAAGTAAAAATTTATAAAAAAAAATGATAACAAAATAAAATAAAAAACTTATTATAATATATATATATATATATATATATATAATCAGACCATGTAGCAAATAATATAAATAAATTATATAATAATATATATTTTTATAACTTGCACATGTTTTAATTAAATTATTAGTCAATTTATCAATTTATATGTAATTTATAAGTATATGTTTTAATTTATTGTATCAGTAATATTTTTTATATTACATTAATATTATAGTATAGTTAATTTTACATTTATTTGTTAATTTAAAATAACAAATTAATGAGACAAATAAAATTAAATATTTTGTAATTATTTTTTAATTTAATAGTTATTATTGTTTTTATTTTATATATATATATATATTTATATATATATATATATATTTATATATATATATATATATATAGTACATTAAGTTTAAATTTTTATATTAAATTTTATCACATATTTTTTAATTAAGATAAAAATTTAGAAATATAAGTTATTTTAATTTAAATATAAATTTTAATAATTCTTCCTATTCTCATATGTTATTTTTCTGCATCTATGAATTTTATAATATAAGTATTTATCATCTACAATTTTTATAATAACGATATTTATTTACTTTTTAAAATATAATAATTTTTTTAGTTGATTCAATAAATTTTATAAGTGTTATTTTTTGTAATTATTTTTTTAATTTAATAATTATTATTATTGTCATTATATATATATATATATATATATATATATATATTGGAGTAAGTTTAAATTTATTTTTTTAAAACATATAATTTTTTTTAACTGATTCAACAAACTGTGTGAATGTTATTTTTTTTTTTATCAATTTTATGTATTTATTATAACTTTATTTGTTGAATATAAGATGTCTTTAAATAAACAAAATATGTTTCTAAAATAAAACTAAAATATTTACTATTTATATAATTTTAAAAAATAAATAGATAAAAATTAGAAAAATGTATAAACTAATTTAATAATAAAATAATTATATTTTTATTAATATTAATTTTTTTTAACAGGCTTTGTTAAGAGGCTTCAGGCCAGGTCAGGCTACTTAAACAGGTCAAGTTAGGCCTAAAATAAAGTCTTTAACAGGTAACATGCCAAATTCAGCCCTAATAATTATGTTACAGGACAGACCTGTTTAGAGTAAAGCCTGACCTGACTTGACCTGTTTCCATCTCTAGTTGTATAGAAAATTAGGGTAAAGAAATAATTTTTAAGTTGAATTTTAATTTTTGGAAGCAGTTAGTAGTAAAAGAAGAGAGCTAAAAGAGTAAAATAATAAATAAAAAGTAAAAATAATGTGGAGAAGGGACAACATATAACGTACTTCTAAAGTGTAATGTAATGTTAAATTTTGTAATATAAAAACATTCTTAATTCTGTTATTATTAAATTAATATATTATGTTGTAATTTTATTTATTTATAATTATAATAAACAGAAATTATATTATATTAAAAATTAAAAATATTTATACATGATTACACTTTTTAAATAATAAATTTATTTAATAATAAATTATTATATTTAAACAATTTAAAAAAATAGTTAAGTCTTTGAATAAGAATAAGACGTAATCAAAACTAAATAAAATAAAATTTAAAAATAAAATAATAAAATTATATTAACATATTTTTTATACTCTTAATTTTATTATTAATAATTTAATTATTTAATTATTATATTAATATATTAATATATTATGTTATAATTCTTTTTATTTATAATAAATAGAGATGACTTAAATCTGAATTATATTTTATTTGAAAGTAAAAATTTATAAAAAAAATGATAACAAAATAAAATAAAAAAATTATTATAATATATATATATATATATAAAATCAGACCATGTAGCAAATAATATAAATAAATTATATAATAATATATATTTTTATAACTTACACATGTTTTAATTAAATTATTAATCAATTTATCAATTTATATATAATTTATAAGTATGTGTTTTAATTTATTGTATCGGTAATATTTTCTATATTACATTAATATTATAGTATAGTTAATTTTACATTTATTTGTTAATTTAAATTAACAAATTAATGAGACAAATAAAATTAAATATTTTGTAATTATTTTTTAATTTAATAGTTATTATTGTTTTCATTTTATATATATATATATATATATATATATATATATATATATATATAGTACATTAAGTTTAAATTTTTATATTAAGTTTTATCACATATTTTTTAATTAAGATAAAAATTTAAAAATATAAGTTATTTTAATTTAAATATAAATTTTAATAATTCTTCCTATTCTCATATGTTATTTTTCTGCATCTATGAATTTTATAATATAAGTATTTATCATCTACAATTTTTATAATGACGATATTTATTTACTTTTTAAAATATAATAATTTTTTTAACTGATTCAATAAATTTTATAAGTATTATTTTTTTAATTTAATAATTATTATTATTGTCATTATATATATATATATATATATATATTGCAGTAAGTTTAAATTTATTTTTTTAAAATATATAATTTTCTTTTAATTGATTCAACAAACTGTGTGAATGTTATTTTTTTTAATCAATTTTATGTATTTATTATAACTTTATTTGTTGAATATAAGATATCTTTAAATAAACAAAATATGTTTCTAAAATAAAACTAAAATATTTACTATTTATATAATTTTAAAAAATAAATAGATAGAAATTAGAAAAATGTATAAACTAATTTAATAATAAAATAATTATATTTTTATTAATATTAATTTTTTTTAACAAGCTTTGTTAAGAGGCTTCAGGTTAGGTCAGGCCACTTAAACAGGTCAGGTTAGGCCTAAAATAAAGCCTTTAACAGGTAACAGGCCAAATTTAGCCCTAATAATTATGTTACAGGACAGGCCTGTTTAGAGTAAAGTCTGGCCTACCCTAGCCTGTTTCTATCTCTAGTTGTATAGAAAATTATGGCAAAGAAATAATTTTTAAGTTAAATTTTAATTTTTGGAAGCAATTAATAGTAAAGGAAGAGAGCTAAAAGAGTAAAATAATAAATAAAAAGTAAAAATAATGTGGAGAAGGGACAACATATAACGTACTTCTAAAGTGTAATGTAATGTTAAATTTTGTAATATAAAAAAATTTTAAAATTTAAAATATTAATTTTAATTATATAAAAATTCTATAAATAGATTTAACTGTTGAATTATAATAATATATTAACTTGATTATTTATGTCAATTTTTTTTAAAATTAAATAATTATGAGAATGTTAATAAATAGTTTTTATTTTCATATATTTCTTTTTATATATTATATTAATTTTGATATATATAAATAAAGTATTAAATAGAAATTAATTTAAATTTTGCACATATAATATAAGTATTTGAGACTTTTAATTTAGTGATTAATTTTAAGATTAAGTTATCTAATAAAATATTATTAAAGTAATAAAATTTGTAATTCTCATGATTCATAATTTAAGGTCTGATTCTAAGCCCAATTTCATGCCTAATTTCGTACAGTACAAGTTAAGCACTAAACTGACTTATATTCTTAAAGATTAAAATGAAAGTTTGTATAATTAAAAAAATTGTTGAAAAGTATACAACCTCCCAAATGGTAGAAGGATGCTTCAGATCTTTCTACACAATTCTATTGGGTAAAATGCCAATTATCGGCCAAGTAATCAAGGTCATGATGGTAGCTTTACAGAAAGACCAGCATTACAGTTCATTATAAATTGTTTAGCAACTTATTTAATCTTACAATCGCTGCCCAATCCAAGTGTATCACGCATCTTCTATTGCAATTTCAGTGGATTTTCCAAGAGGGTATCGTTTTTTAAATTCACGAACCTTTATATATTCATAATACCCTGCCTTCTCGTTCACCTCATCCGCAGGTTCATTCGATATCAACAGAAGAATGTAATGCTACAATTTCCTTCATTGTGTGCTTTAAAGCACGAGTTTATAAAATAGTGCAGAATTCTTTTAGTCTCACATTGAATTGAATCAAATAAATAAAGGTAGGTGCATGCACCAGTACCTAGCATCTCATGTTCTTCATGCTACTAGAAAATCTCATCGATAGAGACTCAGGTAGGTATCTATGCACATTATATTATTTATACAAAAATATCATCTCATATCATGACAAGACCCCAAACTGCCAACGGAAGAAATAAAAAAGGCTAATTGCGTAACATGTTGAACAGTTGACTTATATGCTAAATATTATCGGTAGTTATTAATTTAGTTTTCTTCGAAAGAAACAAACTATGAACAAATGGCATAAACATGTTGATCATCAGGATATTAGCAGTTTTCAGGCAGGAGCAAATGATAGTTAAACAAAGTTCTCATCTTTTCTGCATGAAAAGAGGATGATGAATATGTTATGGCATTACATGATGGTGACCTGTTAATTCGTGAAAACTCAAAGCAGGTGAAACTCTGAACTTTTCAATAGCGACATACAACTCTAATATACTAAAAACCAAAAGACAAAGCAGGACAATTTTTTTTTACACCTCTATTAAAAAAAATTTAAAAATTAACTTTTTTCTAAAGTACTTTTTTATAATAATAAAATAATTTTTTCTTACTCCTTCAACATTATATACGATAAAAAATTATATATAAGAAATTTTTATTATTAATTACAGAATTCAATAAAATCAATACACAGTATTAAATACTATAATTTTTTAATGAAATTTTACCATAAATAGATTCTAATTACAATTTTTTTAAAAATAAATAATAATTTTGAAAATTAATTTTTGAAAGTATGAACCTCTTAAATTTTAGAAACATATTTTTAGTATTGGAGAATTTTAATTCCAAAAATTTATTTTTGAAAGTGTAAAATCTTAATTTTAAAAATTTATTTTTGAAAAGAATTAATAATTCTGAAAACTAATTTCCAAAATATGAAAAATATAATTTTCAAAAACTAATTTTAGAAGTGAAAACCTTTTCTTAAGCATTGTATAATACATTCAAAATAATGAATATACTTAGGGAGTAATATAATTAAAATACGTTCAAAAAATATAACGATAGAAGAATAATGAGAAAATAAAATAAAATATTAATAAAGAAAAAGAGTAAAATTTTAAAGAAGACTATTCTATAAAAAAAATAGTATATTAAATTACTTTTAAGAACCTTAAAAAAGTTATAAAAAATGATTAATAAGATGTAAAAGAAAGTATAAAAAGCAACTTCCATTTTTTTTTTTCAATAGAAATAGCAAGACATATATAAGACATTAATGAACATGGGCTTGGATTAGATTGCAGATAAAACTGGAATGGACCTTCTGAGGCCCTTATGAAAACATAATTGTATCAGGAGGAACTAAACCAAATATTTTGAAAAATATGAATCCACTACAAACAATATTTTTTTTCCTGTTAAAAGGATCCACTTGATTTCTCCAGCCATCATTCTTGTTCTCTGAGACCACTTATTTTTATGACACCCAAACAAAAAAAATTAAAAAGGAAGCAGAACACATGCGTGTCTAAGTCTTGATTCCGTGAAGCTAATCATCAATGTTATGGCTATTCTCATGCAAAGAATTAGCAAAAGGAGCGGCATATCTATCGTGAGAGATCTCCTAAATTTTCTCTTACTAGTAACATAATCATCATTATCAAGTTAATAAAAGATAATAAGCATTAAAGTTTCACTTTTAAAAACAAAAGCAAGGACTTGCTCACGACAGTATTTTATTTTCTCACTTCAACTATAAGAAATACAATACACTATCAGTTTTGCTAGACCATACTTATATTTTTGGGGAAAAAACACGACATCTAAACCACTCAAGAATTTCAAATCACCGTCATGTTAGTGCTCATTGTAAAATATAGAACCATGAAAAGGTATACATTCTTCTGTGACTAAAATTCGGCTTAGAAGCTCTATTCTACCTGCCTATACAACACAATCCTCTTTGTGGACAAACGATAAGTACACCAAATGATGCACTGAGTTAATTGGTTGTCTGAGATGGTCATTCTGTACTTAATTGATCAAATCCAGAAGTACACCATTGCCTGTTCATAGAAATTTGAAATTTCAAAGGTGAGGAACACAAATAATTCAAGAAATAAAAGCTCATCCCAAAAGTATCCTGCCCCCTTATTTATCATCAAATGTAAGGTATTATCAAACAATAACTGGCCTCAGTATGATTTGCAGGCAACAAAAAATTCTTTTCTCAAAAGAAAAGACTATAGCACCACAGCATTACATTACCTCTTGAAGGGGACCCAAAGGAATTTCCTCCTTAGGTGCAGCTTTTTGGGTTTTCCAGCTTCTCATCTCTGACTGCATTAATTTGAGTTGACTGTAAATGTCGTTCAACAACCTCAAATGCTCTTCCCTATCTCCTTCATGAATTATCTCTTGCCTTACATTGGTTTTCTCCCTTTCTAGCTGATCAATTCTCTGATGCAACTTTTGAAACTCAGCTTGAGCATTACAATCCACATCCATCCCTTCTTTCTTCTGCCAAACAATGGTCCTCATATCTTTGGGACTAGGTATCTTGGTTTCATGATGTGCGTTAAGCATACTCTTTAGCTTGTCCATATCATGTTTAACATGTGATTCTATGATTTCCTCAGACACCGAATCTGGTTTTGTTAATCTGTTATCTGCATCTGAAATCCATTTCACAAGCCTTCTTTTCCCATGTTCACTGATTCCAAACTTTTCACTTGTTTGTGGGACTTCAAATACATCATGGACATTAACTGAGCAGGAGGGACTAGCAACTGCTTTTCTATCCTGTGTACCATCGTGGCTATTTACTTTATCTGAATTAGTAGGTAGTACTCTATCTGTTTGATCACAGGTTATCTTAGTGTTTACTTGTGAAAATATTGAACATGATCTCCCTCTTCTACTTCTCAGGTTGGCATATTTTTCTCCTCCTGATTCTTTAGAATCTGAGATCACTTTCACTTTTTCATCTAAATTTCTTATCTGTTTCCAATATTCATCAAGGGTTTCATATGCACAGTCTACTGATTTTCTTGGCAAATCCAAGTTTGGTAAAGTAACTTCTTGGTCAGTGCTCTCCACTATTTTAGGAAGTACATCTTGAACTTGAATGGGACTTGGTGATCTTTCTCTCTTCCTGGCAGCTTTCATGGTATTCTTAAACTGTATAGGGGGCAATGAATTTAGCCTTCTTACTGTGCTACTTTGACCATTTTCTTCATTATGTTGATCATCATCTCTACTCAACAGAAGGTCTTCAGAGAATTCAAAATCACTGGCATTGAAATCAGACCCCAAGGTTAGAAGCTTGTGTTTGTAAGCCAAGACTTGAAACTCAAGAGAAGCAATTTCCATTTCCTTCTGATACATAAGCTCTTCAAAAACTTCAAGAGTGGCCTCAGCATGGCCAATCTTCTCCTCTGCCATTCTCTTGTAGTGACTTGCCTCCATCTTCACCGCAGCCTTCTCTCCTTGCAAACGCAATATCATGTCCATGGCTTCACTAGCTGCAGTTGCTGAGGCTTCTCTTTCCGTATCCAACTCCGCATACAGCTTCTGCAGAAGCTGCTGTTGCGCACGCAGTGTCTCCTTCATGGCTGTTATGTCACTTTCAGCCATGTTGGTTTCTACCATGTGATGCTACAGTTGATTAAATGTTGAAGCAATCACTTGTTCCTGAACATCCATGGTAGCAATTTCATGACAACCATAGCATGAAAGAAACAATGGTTGGAAAATTGAATTCTTCTTTTCTTTTTTAGTACGGGATCAATTTCATTATTGAAAAAACAAAATGGCTCTAACGCATGTTAGCATAGTAAATTGCTAAATACACATAACCTAAGAAGATTAACAAGAGGTGTTTGGGGGAGAAGAAAATCGAGGTTTCAGAGTCTATTGATACTTACCTTCATACACAACGTTGATCAGAGAGGAATGGCGTTTCATCCCAAGAGTAAAGGAGAACAAGTTTATATATATCTGATAATCGCAAACAAATTGGGGCAATGAAACCTGTCTTTGGCTGGGAATAAAATATAGAAAAAGACGTAAAAAAAAAGGGGTGACTTACACAGGGACATGTTGCACAACCATATAAAACACCGTTACGCTTTCTCTAACAAGGAAATATAATGAAAGCGAAAACTATCTTCTAACCTTACTTTATTAATTTTCCAAAGCAGAATTCTGTGTTTTGGTTGTATTTAGTTGAAAAATAAATGAATCAAACCTTTGTGTGTGGTGGTGGTGGGTTTAGAGTTTTGCAGAGGAACAGCAAGCAGAGGGAGAGGGAGAGGTAGATACAGGGGTAGACCCATATGAGGAGGAAAAAGACAGAGAGTGAGTTTCGTTTAGGGTATGTTGCAGAATTATAGACAAAATCATGGGTTCGTTGGTTAACGTTTGTGCATTGGCATTATTATGTTGTGAATTTGGGTCACTCAGGGGGAGGCGTTGATGAATGAATGGTTTCCTTGTAGGACCCGCAATTGCTCGTTACTCGTAGGTAGCCCCTTCTTTTCGATTCTTTTTTTTTTTTTTTTGGGGGTTTCAAAAGGTTGTTTCTTCGACTCCTTTCCAACGGCTACAATGAGCCACTCCCACGACCATGTTGATGATTTATAATAGTGTTCTGATGTCTCGTCCCCTCCACCACGCGCATGCGTGCCATTCACCTCCTCATGCCTCAAACAAAATCATTTCCGTAAATAAATCAAAATCTTTGATAAATATCTCACTTTTTCGGGTGAGTTATAATTATCGCTATTTATAAATGGATAAAGATAATACTTTTGGTAGCAATGATACGTGTTAAAATTCTAATGAATCAGTTTATTCTGACAAATATATTCTGTTCTCGGTGCTATAGGAAGCTTGATACTGAATATTTTTTTTCGCATCTTAAACACAATGTTCAGATTTTTCTTTTCAATTCTTGTTGATCCACTATTACAGAGAAATTTGAAAACTTAATTTTCTCCATTTCCTGACTGCTCATCGTTTATGTTGAAGCCAGATTCATTCGTTAATAACCAACTTGTAATCTTCTTCTGGGGAGAATAAAAGTTTATGACATTGATATAATATACAAATTTCAATTTTAAAATACTATTCTATTATTCTATTTTTCGTTTTGGTGTGATTACAGCTGCTTCTTCTTTAAACTATCTTGAAATTTTATGCTATTAATATGTAAATGCTATCTACAAATTCAAAGATTCAAGTTAAGAAATTTAAAATATTATTCATATAATTTTAATTAAAAATTACTTTAAAATTTTAAAGTAATATCTTTGTAGCCCTAATTAGCAATTTTTTAATATTTCACTTAATTTATTTCTCATATTATTGTTAATTATTTTGTCTTCTCCATTTCTCCCAATTAAAATTGGTATGACTTCTCTCCTTCCCTTTAAGTATTTGTAGATGATAGTAATTAATATAAAGATTTAGTATGTGTTGTTTAGGATCTCAAAGGTCAAATGTAAAAATAAATTCAAATGGGTAAGTATTTTTAAAATAACTGAATCTTGCACGAATTTGTCAGGTTAGCTTTGTGTATTCTCATATATAATGAATGCTTATAACATAAATTATTAAGCCTTTTTGAGAAACACAATACAATGAATGCATTGATTAAAATTATCTTTAAACAAGCAAATATGTGCAAGTTGATATTAATAAATAGAATCATGCATTTATAGAATTCAATAGTTATAAAATAAAATGATTAGATAATTATAAATGCATTGTCTTTTCAGTTGCAAAGTCTTACATGGTACTTTTGTATATATATATATATAAAGATTAAGTTCAAACTAATTTCTCTTTACTCTGTATATATATGTGCTTACTCTTAAGTACTCTAATTAAATTGCATCTATTGATTTTGTTCCTTTCTCATAGATTTTATAGGGAATTGATGTGACTAATCTCATTTGTAGGTATTTATAAGGATGAAGGGTTTTATAACTCACCGTGGTTTTCAGTGGATGGTAAATGAATTTATTTTTTATTTATTTTTTCATAAATATTAGATGTTATTGGAGATTTGGGGGAAAAAGATGATTTAAGAGAAAGTCAAGGAGATGGAAAGACCAAAAAGTACATTAATATTGTATTTTTTGGAAGGAATTTGCTAAACAAATTATGAGTTTTCTTTTTAAGGAGAATTCAAATAGTCCATGTGTTATTGTTTTTCTATTATGTAAGATGAAAACTTTTAATCGTATGATTATATGAAAGAATATTGGAATCAAATATATTGTAAATGTACGTGTTTCAAAGTAATTGATTAAGAAATTTTGTTAAGCACATTAAGAATATGTAATAATTTCAATGGAACAAGGTTACTGGTAAATCTTGATTTCAAAGAAGGTATTGATTTATAAGAATATGTAAGTCATTTTCTTCTTTTAGTTGTCCCTTTAAGAATGGTTATATATTAATAAATATATTGTTTATTTTATTTACTATAGGCCAATGGATATGTGTACATAAATCAAAATTTACAAATTTATTACAAGGACCTTTTATTTAACTTTATGAATATAAACCTACCTGCTAAATAATTCAGTAAAGTTTGGAATTCATTAAACGTTAAAGTAAACATAACTAACCTGTTAACGTTATGATACTATTGAAAGTTATGTAGATCGTAGCAATGTCGTTCTTATTTTATCGAGTGCTCTGAGTGAGCGAATTATGTAGTAGCTATTACATTGATAATTTGATATATCCTAAACACTTGCACGGCAAAATTTGACCAGATAAGTGCTCTGGGTATTTGTAAATGTAATATCAGGAAAAAAAAATGTAGGAACTTGTTTCAAAATCCTAGGTAATTTACATGAAATAAAAAACCTCCCAAATCTAGTTCAAAACAAGTAAAAGTTATTGAACAATCAAAGTTCATAGAAAAACGTAATTCTAAATGCATTTGTTAAAAATTATATCGTCCATATTTCGGTTTTGCAGTAATCAAAGACTCAACAACTGGAACCAAAACCAAGAATCTCCTTCATCAAAAACTCAAAAGGAAAGCATATGAGAGAGTTTCTTTTTCGTATATTATAGTATTCTACACTAAGGCAATGGTATTATCCTCATTCTAATCAACTGGAACCTCTGCTTCCATCTTCAAACCCGAATTGCCAAGAATCTACCAGCAAAAAGGGACAGTCAAATATTTTTCATATGAAAGATGGCACATTAATAAATATCAAACTGACAGCAGTGTTTAGTATGCATAGTGTAAAACCCGCATGAGTATGAACATGTATGGCCCTCAAATAATCATGAGCTTGAATTCTGTTGTATGGCCCTTGGACAGTCATGAGTTGGAAATGCAATGCCCCTTGACCAAGATAAGCATAAGTTTTGCGCTAATTATGATCTATGTTCCGAATGAAAATAATGCAGTTGGTTTAACACATTGGCAGGGAAGGTAAGTGGTAAGATTGGCCTTGCCACTGCAAGCTAATACATATGTAGCCATATAGATAACTCTACCTGTAAATAATTAACAGGATAAATCAACAAAATAGAGCCTCCGCTGGACATTATTAACTCATTGTGCTGTTACTTAATTTCCTTCCTCAAATCTCTTTTCAAGGCCCAAGGTGCAATAATGGTTTTAGGCAACTATCAAAGGCTTTCTATGTCTTTGAACTACATGGTAAGATTGTAGTAGATATGAAGGAGAAGCTAAAAAAATAATAAAAGACTCGATGCACTATCCCTTCCCTTGCCTATTATAATGATTATCTAAGTTAGCTTATGAATTCTAGTGCAACAAGTCATGCTAGTTTCAGTACCTTCATGAAGTCAGACAAAACTAATAAAGAATCCTTTGTATAGCCAGCCTCCTCAAGGACCTGTGTCAAAACTTCCTGTATGTACGAAGGAAACAGAATGCATCAGAAGCTGTTATAACCAATTGAAATCAATTGTCAAGTAACAATATCAACAAAACTGATATCCACCAATAAAATGTCCATTATGTTTTAAATTGCAGTTGTGGCTACTGCAATTACAGATATTGCGGTCACAGCAATGCCCATTGCGGCCGTTGCGATGTAAATTTATTTTATGTTTTCAAATATTATAACATATTATTATCCATATTTAAAATCTCACACCTCTTTTTACTCCTTCCCAAATCTCTCATTTCCTTCATCACAAGCTCACCACCGTCCTAAAATTCTCTTAATCCTTCGTAATTCTAACTAAATCTACTAAATAATAAAAGAAAAATAATGAATAATACTTTTTGTGAGGACTCTAATGTTTGCCGCAGGATAATGCAGCCCGCTGCACCCGCGGTGCTGCGGCGTTACGTTACAATTTTCTCAGTGAACATTAATTACACCGCAATTGCGGTCTGAAACAGTTACTAACACCACTGCAATGGCAATATTGCGACCGCAGTGGTCGGCAATTTGAAACACTTTAGGTGGAGCAAAATGATGAGTGACCACGAGTATTTTATTTGGTAGATAACTAGGAAGATGACAAAGAAAGGCTAAGAGCCTCTTGGTTCGTGAATGCATTTAGTATTTTTATTTCTTATTTTTGCAAATAATTACAAAAAAGTTAACTTACTTGATTCTTATTTCCAACACAAATCTTTAAAAAAAATAGTTAAAAGCAGATGGCATTTTTATAATTATTTACGAAAACGGGAAGTAAAAACAGAAAGCATTTTCTCAAACTAAACAGGTCTTGAAATGGTTCATTCGGCTTAACTCGGATAACTCAGGATTCAATGTAGCCAAAAGAAAAAAAAAACCAAACAGGCATTAAATTCCAATATAAAATGCAGAGAACAATAACAAAATTACATAGCAGAAACAAAAGAAAGCGATAATTAAACACGACCTCTCTCTGTTGTTCAGACATAAAGGGTCCAGTCATATCCCTTAAAGCCCTCAACATGTCATGGAAGGTTACTTTTCCGTTGCAGTCCGAATCATACACTTTGAAAATAACTACAAAATAAGCAGAGTGAAATGATGAATAATGCTTAGGCATTGAATTTGAATGAATATAGAAAAAAAAAAAGCTTTTAATAATAAATTGTATTGAAAATATTACATTCGATTTTGTGGTGAATGGTAGCACGGGGACTGAAGGCAGACAAGAAGGCGACGAATTCCTTGAAGTTCAAGCCATCAAGCATTCTCAACAAGCTCTGTCATATTAGCAGTAATACCTCATTCATAAATTGAATCATTAATTCACAATTTATATATATATATATATATATATATATATATTATATATATATATATTATATATATATATATATATATAGAGAGAGAGAGAGAGAGAGAGAGAGACCTGAGAGAGAGGATTGACGGCGAATTCGGGTATGGAGAGGAATTCATCGGAAGAGATGAAACCGCAGTTGTTGCGATCGAGCTGACAGAAGCGATGGTAGAGAGAAACAATCTCCTGCTGCGTAACTAGAGAGAGAAAGAGAGTGAGAAATTGAAAGACGAGAAAAAAATGAAATGAGAATGGGAAGAGAGAGAGAGAGAGAGAGAAGTTACAAGCGTGATTGCAGTGTTGCTGAACCTCTTCGATGTCGTATTGGGTGAGCATGGAGGATGTGTTGCCCATCGTCTCTAACAACATTCAACAGAAAGTGGATGAACCCCTCTTCCATTGCATTGTCATTCCCTAACTGCCCAAACTACCTTCTACCGTCGCATCAACCAAATCTACAATGGTCCATTTTGGCCCACTGGGCCACCTCGGCCCTGCTAAAAAACCTTTTTTTTACTGAGTTCATAAACAAGACCGTCATATTAATTTCACGACTAAAACATGCTGTCTACAAATTATGCATTATGACTTCTCTATATTAGAATTTCCTGCATGTGGAATTTGGTACATGCTGTGAAAACAAATATTATTTTTCTAATATGATGAATGAATGAATTGAAAATAAAATTAATAACGGTAACGTTTACACTTATTTTTCTTTAAAAATAATGAATTTATGGAAAAAAATTTAAGAATTATAAAAAAAAAATCTATTTAAAAATTCTCAAACAAAAAATTTAGTTAAACAAAAATGACCCATTATTGCATGGCATAATAACCCTGCCGTCTTTTAAATTGTTAAATACTTTTGTCGGCACGTATTCCGATTTTGGATAGATTCTTAAGCTAAACTTGTAAGATTTTAGTTTATCCTTTCATAAGCCTCTCAATAGGTATGGAATAGAAAGATTTGATCATGTTACCTTCCACTTGCCAATCTTCCGAGTACCAAACTCTCCACTTTTGATGCAGACAATAAACCATCCAACACTCGGAACAAAGTGATCAATAAAATATAAACATGCATGATTATAGCTTAATTGACACTTATTCAAAGATTTTAAGATTTGTGTGCAACCATCATGTTAGTTACTTTTTTAAAATAAGGAACAGCATTTTAGAAAGTGAAGTGTGTGAAATTATAATGGTTAATTATAAATATTAATAAAATACATTTTGATAATAATTTTATATGTTGTTATATTAATGGTTATGGTTAATTAATGATTTTTAAATGTAACCCTTGCTCTCGAATTTGATCATGTTAATGTATATTTAATTTATTTTATAAAGATAATTGTTTTTTTTAATTTAGTGAGAGTTTTTAATAAAATAAGCGATTATTTTACTAAAATTAAACTTTGCCAAAAATGCATGCTATTAGATGTATGAGCATTCAGTTAGACATATATGTCTCTTATCCACGGTGTTTTTGCACTTTTATTTTGTAACTTTAAAACAACAATAATTATAATTAATAATGTAAGGTATACAAGTTCAAAATTTTCACCAATTACGTAAGTAAGCCTCACAAAAACACAATCAAAAGAGAAATATCACAGCTTTCTACAAATTCAGTTTATAAACTCCAACTCACATAAAAGTAATATATGTTCTTTAAAAAGAATTTTTCTTTTTATAGAAAATATACATATTTTTTACGAAAAGGATAATTTGTAAACTGAAATGGTAAAAAGATATAACATTTTTCTAATTGAAATTTTCACTGTCGCTTTCATGTTTTCAACTTTTCGTTTTCTCGTCGCATGATGGTGGTCTCCACAGTCTAGCATAGTGAATATGTCTGGTTTGTTACCATTTTGCTAGGTAGTGCTATAAATGATTCCATAATATGGTAACCCATATCCCATTTGGGGCAAGAACAAATTTATTAATATAGCCTGAAGCTTAGTTTGGTGATTAAAATGATTCCATGAATATGGCAATAATTTGCATCTCTCCTTCCAAGTAAAACAAAATTAATAACATCGTTAGTTGATAGTTGTTAGAGGAGTAAATCTTTACTTTAGATCCTCAACATTAATCAATTTAATCTTAATTTTATAAATTTTTCTTTTACTTTTAATATGATAAAAATGATTTATTTTGTATCATCATTTTACATAAAAATATTAAAGTAATTTATACATATAATCAAGACTAAAATAAAAATCTATAGCAGGCCTTAATTAATACAAATGCATCGGGGTGGTATTTCTTTGTTAATTAATTGGAACCGACAAGGTATCCGATGCAAACTTCGATCCGACGAACAAAACAAGAACAAAATCGGCGAGAGTTTAGAATCATGCAATTTTCTTTTGTGGCAAGGACAATATATAGCCATCATTCTAAATTATTGTACAATTTATAATTAATTATTCAATAATATTCACATGGATTTAACACGTGGCAGGTAATGATAGTGTCTCGTAACAAATACACACAAGTCTGAGAAGTTTAACTAAATACCAGCAAATCTAAGTCTGGAAAGTAAGAAAAAGAGAAAACACAGGACTAGAGGAAACTGACAAGTTAGAGAAATAAGGGGACAAGGAAGGGGTATGACATATCCATGGAAAAATTTGTACCCTCTTCTTTGTTGTAAAAATTGAACGTTTAATTTTATTTTTATTTAAATAAAAATAAAAATTGATTAATTTTTGTTGGGTAGGAGTTTGGGTAGTGGACTTCTAATAAAGTTGATTGCCACATACGTAGCAATCAAGAATCAAATTCAATTTTACCAATCAGAGATTGATTCATAACTCATGACAATACAAGAAATACAGCGTGTGTTTGAGATTTACGTTTAAATAGATATACATTTATATTTATTTTAACGTTATCAATTGTAATTTTACCATAGATTAATGTTTATAAATTTTTTAAACACAGTTATAATCGATATTTGAAATGTGATGAAAAAGATTTTTTTTTTCTAATATGCAGATATAAATAATCACCAATAATAAATGGGTATCATCGTTCTAAAAGATATATAATAAAAAATTGTCGAAGGTGCGAGGCCAATGATAAGGAAACAGATAACGCATAAAAACAAAAACATGAGCTGAGATGAGAGATACGTGTCGACATGTCGGCATCGCTGCATGTGGTGGTGACCATCGCAGAGAAAGAAAACCCCACAAGTCGCATGTGCCTTTCCGTTATATTACTACAAAACTATTTTTTTTTAATATAGTTTATTTAAAGTTTTTATAATAATATATTTTATGCTATAAATATTTATATACATACAAGTAATTTATAAATAACAAATTTCCCCCCCCCAAAAAAAAAAAGAACAGAAAGAGACTAAAACTAGGCCTTGAGGTTCGGCCCAGAAGTGTTTTTACTCAAATAGTAGTATTATAAGTGGAAAGTGAACCAAAAATATTATATTATCCGTGGAACTGATTGGACCGAAAAACACTTCAACGTGGAACAGTAATTGCCAAAAAAAAAAAAACCTTGCAATTTTTATTGTTAAATTTATATTAATAAATAGTAAAATTAATAATTTAATTTAAAAATATGTTAATAATTTTTTATTTTAGAAGAATTATTTGACCTAATTTATTTGCTTAAAAAAATAAAACTATTAAACAGTCCTTTTAAGATTGTTTTTGTGAATCATGTTAGTCTTTTCTCAATATAATTCTATTTAATTTAGCAGAAGCGCTTCCACGATACATATCCGATTGATATGACATTCCACAATTTTTACCATGTGTATATAGAGACAAAAAAGTGAGAAATAAAATTAATTATATATTAATATTTAATCATTTAAATAATAAAACTGGAATCCCTGTTAACAATCTTAGGTAATTGCAAGATTCGTATGTCTTGTATATTTGGAACTTGTCACAGTGTGAACATCAGTAATTCGATAAAAGTAAATAAACTTAGTCCCAGAATTACACTTGTCATTGATTCAGTCATTGTTACCCTTATCACAAAGTTCAATTAGTAGTTGAGTTAGGAGAGCTAAGGAGCCCTTTGAAGTTTCCCATTATTTAGTTTTACAAAATATTTTTTTCATTTTGTAATTAAAAAATCGTTTTTTTATTTTTAAAAAAGATTTATAAAAGAGAATGTAAAAATATTTTCTATTTGTATATAAATCTTTAAAAATAAATAGAATTTTTTTGAAAAACTAAATATCAGCGATGTGCTTGATGGTTACGCACACAAATGTTGTTCCAACTTTCTTTCTGAAAACGACACAAAAACTCTAAAAGGGTCAAAATAAAAAGATGACCAATTGTCAAACTGATCTGACTAACTTCATGGAACATTCTCTTCCAAAACTCAAACTACGTTAGCCATTCAGCGTTTGACATTTAAACGTGCAATTAATGTTGTATGACGTGGCGGTGGTTAATTGGTTGATGTCAAATGGTTAAAATAATCCGTTTTTGAGCTCAAGTTGTATCATGGAGAAGGATGATTCGATGAACGCAAAGAGAGACCGAAGATAATATAAAAGCAGATGCAATTAAGTAAACCACCGATCAACCATTAGCTTCCAATCAGAAGAATTAAACAGAGAAAGCAGACATCAAACTAACAAAGCTATTCCGGAAACTTCTGTTGATGTTTCTGGACACAGGAAATGACAAAAGTAGATATTTTAGATGAGAGGAAGAGAAATTTCACTGTTGTTGATAGCGACCCAGTTTGATATATGAAAACATCGTGTTGATTTAAAAACTAAAGTCAAAACGTTTTATAAAAAATATTTATTATATTAAGAATACAGAAGTGAAATAAAAATTTATTCTTTCAATAAGAACTTACTATTTTATTGAATACAAAACCTTCATCCTCTAAGGTTACAGGTTCTTCCTGTAATAAACCTTAAACAGAAGTATACATATAACATGGAAGTTATAAATTTAGTAATGTCATTGTTTATCAAGACACGTAGTCTACTTGCTTTTTAGGATTTCCTTACTTCCAAACTGGAAATGGTGTGTTAGAACACAGATGTACCATCACAGGGTCAAATTGCTAGACTGAACCATGAGAATCCGGATGATGATGAGTTGAACTTGGATTGATTTGCTACAACTTTTTTTTTTTTAAAACTATTTGTATAGCTAATTTAGTTTTGATATAATAATGCTTTTATTAGGACTTTGAATAATTTATCATGTTAGCGATTGATTAATGAACTTTAGCAACATAATTTTATTTAAACCCAAAAACTTAGCGATGGATTACCTACAATTTAGTGTTAGATAACGTAAAAATGTGATAAATCAGCGAGAGAATAATGGTAAAAATATCTTAGCTAATTTGCAACAAATAAAGTAACATTTTTAAATTGAATTCAACTATGTATCAGTATTACCAACCCAATTTCTGATGCTAAATAAATAATAATGATGACTTAGTGACAAAATTTTTCGAGTAAATGTTAATGTGCTTTTATATAATCAACGTGAGTTTCTTATTTTTAAAATAATAGTTGTTTTATTCTCTATTGTTATTATTATCATTATCATTACTATTATTATTACATACTTATTTTATACATACTTATTTTATATTTAATATTTTTTTTCAATTTAATTAAGTTTAAAAAGATTATATTTTTAAAATTCTATAAAATTTGTTGAATTAAAAAATAGTCATGAAATATAATATTTTATATTTAAAATTTATTTTATTTAATAGTATTAATAGTGTGCGAAAACTTACTAATTTATAAAATTCGTGTAGTGAAGTTTCTATTAAATAAAATTTTATTTTGTTCATGATCCAACAATAATACATTTTAAAAGTCTTGATAAAAATACCTTGAATGGAATGTTATAAACATAACACGTTGACTTAAAGAATTTTATATATAATAATATTGTTATTTTTTACTATATATCTCTGCAACATTTGCCTAAAGTCACAGTTTACCTTTACTTTAACCGACTAGCATTGAGTTAACTTGCCTAAATCGTACGATTATACATTAAATTTTTAAATAATTAATTGTTAAGATTTATTATTTCATATAAAAAAAAAACCCATCATGCCTAACAAAATATAGAACATTTATAAATTTACATTCTTTCACTTAAAATAGTAAATTATGCTCTTCATGTAAGTGAGGAGAAAAATAAAATATATTACATCAAACAATAATAATGTATCATTACGTGAAAAAAAATCATATATCGTTTTATCTTTAACAGTTAAAATTCATAAATATATAATGAAAATAAATTACTAAATATTCACACATAAATAGCTTATATTGTTTGTATGTACACACATACACACGTTTAATTAGGTCTGATTCGTCAAACAAAATTAGGAATCGAACTAAACTAATAATTTTTTACAAGAAAAAACTGAAAAAAACTAAAGTAAATTAATTTTTTTATTTTCAATTTTTTATCGTTTAGTTTAGCTATTAACACTGCAAATCCTGAGCTTGTGTCAAATAAACAATTTTAGTTTTTGTATTAATTGACACATGCTGTCATGTGGTGCCAAAACGCTAATTAACTATATTCTCTCACTCATTGAAAGAAATATAAAAAGGGGGGCACCTTCTTTCTTTCGCATTCAAGTATTAATTATTGGCACACATATATGTGAAACTGTAATTGATTAAATGGTTCACTACTTCCCATTATTATTTGTAAGGTCTCATTTATTTTGTTTGCAACTTAAGTCTACTAAGCAAACAGATCCGAATCAATAAATTTGATTTTTTTTTCCAGTTATATAAATGTGGAAAATGTTAAAAAATATATTTCAATAATTTTTTAAACATACAATCATAGAATATTATTTTCATTTACATGCTACAAGTTTATCTTTATAAAAATAAAAAAAAGACAGAAGAAAATTCTATATTAAATGGTGATGGCGTGGATACGTCGAGATGAAGAAATGTAAAATAATACAATATAAGAAATTATATATTACATCCATTTTAGTCAAATCCAAAGAAATATTTAACAATTAATATCACCGTGTAAATACGATGAAAGCTAAGTAACCAAATTTAATTAAAGCATAACTACTTTTTCGTAAGTTCTAGTTGTAACATGAAATTGATTAAATCCTAGAATTAAGGAACGTGTATTTGATGTTAAGCCTCAAAACAAATAACGTGGCATTTAAACATTTAAGGAAGAAAAAAAAAAGGTTTTCTAGGTTCTAATTTTAATGGAGTCAATACTAAAAATAATAGTCAACGTTTGGATAGACGCATCGGCGAATGAACATTTGACCACTCGTTCTTACGATGGTTTCACATTGCAAGCAATTGGATAGAACCTGTAATGTACTTTTAAAATTAAAATAATAAAAGGTTAGTTAAATAAAAAATATTAAAATAATAAAAAGTTTTTAATATATTAAAATAATAAAATGGTAACAATAATAATTAACTGCATAAGAACGAAGAACGATTAAAAGTAGGTGGCGCGAAAACAACTGTCCCTACCTCTCCCTCCTTTTTTCCCAACTGAAACCGTTTTCTTATATTCTCTATTAATTTTTATTATTTTATTTTACATTAGAAACTTTTTCGCTCTAACACGAAAACATAAAAATTTTCCCCTCTTTTAACTCTTCTTCTTCGCTTTTTCTGTCTGCTTCCAAATCACGAAACTGCCATCGCCGGCGAAACTGACTCCGGCGACTCCCGCCGTCGATCCTTCCGTCTCCGGAATCTGAATCCTCGTCTCGTTTTTTTTCTTCTCTCTGTAGGGTTCTCTCGCGTCGATTCGTTGTTCCATTGATGCGTTGCGTTTCGAGTCCCTTTAATCTAATCGGAACTTATTTATCAGTAATAGAAGGTGAGAAATTCGTTACAATTGAGTCAATTGGGTTCTGACTAATTTACTTTTCCATTTTGGAGCTTTTTCCTTTTAATTCTTGACTCGATCTTGATTACTTCATTTACTATATCACATTATGATTTTTGTTTCTGATTAAGCTTTCTGGTCAATAAATTATCATTATCAATAATCATGTTCTTGAAAATCTTGAAATTAGAGAAAGGTTCAAATTTTGTTGAAGAATTTGTGAAATATATTCATTCAATGCACTCAGGTACTTAAATTGTTTCTGCGCGATTACATGAACAGGGAAACACTTAAACGTGTCTTGAGTGAGAGAGACATGAACCTGTCAATCCAGACATCTGTCATCAGAACCCTTTGTTTCTTTCACGTAAAAAAGAAAAGTTTTCTTTCTTTCCTTTCTTTCTTGGATTTCAGCGATATTCCTTCACACTACTCCCCAAAATAATTCAGGGTGTCAAAATCAGAATTACCATCAGTCTTGTTATTTTTTAATATTTTAAAAAAATTTGCAGGAAGCAATGTTTCTGAATCATGTTAGGTTTGCACAATAGTTTTATGGGGATGGACAATGATCGTCCCTGCACGTGGACCTCTTTGTCTTTACCCATCTCTCCCAAACAACAATAGCACCAATGAGTTCAAACTCCAACCTTCAATTAAATTAATATATAATATTGTGTGCAGCATCTACATACAGACAAAAGATAATTTAGAGGCTCCATCGAAAATTCTGTCTGCAAATTTCAAGAGAGGAAACTCATGATATAGTTATTATATGGTATGGTAATTAAGCCTAGATGTTGATTTAAGTTTAACTTGTTGGGTGTGTGTGTTTGGGAAGAATGGGAGAGTATTGTAAGAGGGATGAGATACTTTTTTTTATTTTTTTATTTTTGGCCCTGCAAGTTATGGCATCGCTTTCATTGAATTCCCTTTCATGAAAAGGAGTTGAGAGAGAAGGAGTTATAGGACAGAGTGGGTTTATGTGGAGTGAACCCATTGCCAGCCTACCCGACCATGGCATTCCCGTGAGAGAGACAAAAGGGGAAAAATTAAAGCCTTTCTTACCCTACGCACTTCCTCTCTCTTATCCTACACCCTCTAATTATTCCAATTCCCCTTCCCAGTATTCCCAATTTCCAAGGGGACCCCTCTTCCCCAGCACTTCAAACCTTTTTTTCTCTTCAGTTAAGTGGTTAACCGTGACCAACGTTTCATGATAAAACGTTAAATGTACGTTGAGACAGTTTCCGCGAGTTCCTCTCACCCATTACACCAAATGTTGTTTACCCTCTCCATATTCTTCTTGCCGTGTCCTGATCTTGTTGGATTCGGGTCTTTTTGTATGAATAAAACATACCCACTTGCGCTAATTGCCTGTGATTCTCAAATTCCCACTTCAATAGATCTGAGTCTCTGTAAAGACGTGCGCTTTTCGTGTTTTTCCTTTTCCTTTTTCTCTGGGGGTTTATTCCTTGCTTTTCTTCTGTTTCCCAGTCTGTAGTATCTTACTTTATGTTCATTCGTGGCAGATTTATTTCACAGAAAAGGATCTTCTTTCTGGATAATGTATGCTGTGCTGTTCATTTTCTCCATTGATACATGATTGCCAAAGATGCTGAATTTGATTTAGTTATATGAAAGCTTCCATCAATGCGGTGTAACTGGAATAGAGTGGATGGATGTATGTGAATCAGAGCAAGCATTAAGGAAACACAGAACCGTGGAGACCCAAAGAGCACCCTTGGTTTCGGCTGAAAAGAACAATGCAGTCACCACCCGGCGCTCGGCAACAAGGGAAGTTAGTCCACGGTACAAGTCACCAACTCCGGCTACCCCTCGTCGGTGTCCCTCTCCAAACCTCACAAGAACAACACCTGCATCATCATCCAAATTGTTACCCAAGAGGGCTCAATCAGTGGAGAGGAAGAGGCCTGCGACTCCTCCTTCCCCATCAAGTCCTTCTACACCCTCCGTAGATGTGCATTTATCATCATCCAGAAGGGTAGTTGGTGGCAAACCAGAGAGTCTTTGGCCTTCCACTATGAGAAGTTTGAGTGTTTCTTTTCAGTCAGATACCATTTCCATTCCTGTTAGCAAGAAAGAGAAGCCAGTGACAAATGCTTCTGATCGTACACTGCGCCCTGCTTCAAATGTGGCGCATAAGCAGGTTGAAACACCAAATATTCGGAAGTCCACTCCTGAGAGAAAGAGGAATCCTCTTAAAGGGAAGAATGTCCCTGATCAGTCTGAGAATTCGAAACCAGTTGATGGTTTGCATTCTCGATTGATAGATCAGCATCGATGGCCAAGTAGAATAGGTGGGAAGGTATCTTCTAATGCATCAAATAGAACTTCTAGTGTTCCAGGAACTGGTGTGTCTTCGTTGAGGAGATTGTCTTTTCCAGGTGAAGCGAGTAAGCCCTTGCACAGAACTTCTAGTGATGCTGAAAGGCTTTTGTTGCTTGTTGAAAGTGGTAGAATAGGAAGCGATGTGAAAGCAGTTGATGATAGCTTCCAGGTATTAAGGCCTCTCAAATCTGTGTCTGTAACTCAATCTGATAAAACAGGATTAGCAATTGCTGGAGTCAGATCTCAGTCCTTGTCAAATCCGGGATCACGGCTCCCATCACCTATTAAGACCTCAGTGCCATCGTCTTCTGGTTCAAGGGGTGTCAGTCCATCTCGGTCACGGCCATCAACTCCTCCTAGAGGGGTTAGTCCATCTAGAATAAGGCCAGCCACTCCATCCAACCAATCCAACAATTCAACTTCGGTGCTTAGCTTTATTGCTGATTTTAAAAAGGGGAAAAAGGGTGCATCCCTCATAGAAGATGCTCACCAATTACGACTTCTCTACAACAGATACTTGCAATGGAGATTTGTCAATGCCAGAGCAGAGGATGTATTTTACATCCAAAGTGCAACTGTGGAGGTATGACTTGCTATCTTTGACAGGTTGGCAAACTCTTGTTAGTGTGGGCATTCCACTATGTAGAAGATTGTATTTGGTTAAATCATTTGGGTACATCATTTTACAAGAACTTGCTCGATGGTGCAGCAAACTCTGTATAATGTATGGCGCACTACTTTGTCCACCTGGGAATCGATTATTAGGAAGAGGAGCAATCTCCAGCAGCTGCAGCTTGAGCTGAAGCTGAATTATATCTTGAATGATCAAGTAACACTTCTCTCTTGACTAAAGTATTTATCATTCTAAATCTTTTGTTGTTGATGATACATCACGATTACTTTTTTTTTTTTTGGGTAATTTAACTAGAGACAATTATTGTTGAATTTATTAGTGACACACGTATACTCAGCAAGAGATGGGCCCTACATTGAAAAGTTAACTTCATGTTGACTACGATAACATGTTATTTGTAATTCCTGTTAATCGTTGAAATAGATTATTATAATTGCGTAAAAAGTATATCTGTTCTATTTGATCTAGTTTTGGGAGGTTATTTCCATTTTGATCTAGGTTACAGCTTAGAAAACATTTTGATCAAGAAGATAGTGATATTGTGTGATATCTTTTCAAAGTTGAGGTTGTAATTTCACTTCCAATAAATATAATGCTATTTCCTTTCCTTATTTAATTGTTTTTAACTTTCCTTCAATACTTAGTGATCATTTTTTTAATTATGGCCCTTTGACAATCAATGAAGCAGATGGCCTACCTTGATGACTGGGCTGTACTTGAAAGCGATCATGTTGATGCTCTGTCTGGGGCTGTTGAAGACCTAGAGGCAAGTACTCTTCGTCTTCCTCTAACTGGAGGGGCAAAGGTATGTATGGGTTTTGTTTATTCTGGTCTGATACCTCCAAAGAGACACTAGCATCATTAATGTGATTACACTTTTACAGGCAGATATTGAGCATTTGAAGGTTGCTATCTGTTCAGCTGTTGATGCCATGCAAGCAATGGGATCTGCAATCTGCCCTTTGCTTTCACGGGTGAGTTAATAATTCTACTGGTTTGATTCATACACCTAGCACTCATCTATCCTGCTATATTTTAGGTCAACACATTTTGTATCAAACTTTTTTTCTTTGCTGTTTGTATGTTTTTCTTTTGATTTTCCTTTAAGATTGATTGGTAAATCTGTAAAGGGTTAAGGCTGACACCATGTTATTTTTTGTGTCTGAATAGGTGGAGGGCATGAATAACTTAATTTCTGAAGTTGCTATTGTATCAGCACAGGAGAAAGCCATGCTTGATGAATGTGAAGCGCTGCTGACTTTTGCAACGGCTATGAAGGTCAGAGTCACGATAAATGGCTTAAGTACTTCAATAATGCACAACAAATCTCTCAAGTTTATGGTTTTGTGTACGAGCATAAATTAGTGGGAAATAAATTCCCATTGCTAATTAGTGATGAGTGTATGGATGTATAAGCACAATTTTTGTGACCAGTTAGATGAATGTCTTGTCGACGAAAATATGTGGCTAATGTGTGTAGTCCTTTATCTTCAATTGAAGGATGAGTGGAATGGAATATGCTTCATCATGATCCTTGTATCAGTTTCTAATTTTCATTTTTATTTTGGCTAAAACAGGTTGAGGAATATAGCCTTCGAACGCATCTCATGCAAATCAAGCAAGCTATGGAGGTAAATAAGTAACCAACCTCGGAAATTCCAACACGCATAATACGAGCCTGACCTGCTTCTAAGCTAACAAGAAGTCTCTTGCGGCTGCAGCCAAGTGTTGTAGTATATTAGTATCTAATATCTTTCAGGTTCCTTACCATTGTAAATTTTTGTGTGATAGCCTTCTTTTTCCCCCGTTTCCCAAATATGATGAATATTATATTATTCCATTATCCTTTTTCTTTTTCTTTATAGTCAACAGTCAACACTGGTGACCCAAGCCTTCCACTTGTAATTTTGTATCAGGCAAATGAAATGAAAAGAAAATTCAAAGCAAAGGAGGAAAATACTGTCATCCATCCAAATTTACAGTTTTTGCATTTATTTCATCACATGTGGTTATAAAAAAGGTAAATTTTGTAGTACCTTCAAAAATGTCTAAATGCCCTATATGAAAATTTTAATTAAAAATATTTAAATACATATTTAAATAATAAATTATTATATTTAATAAATTGAAGAGCAGTTATTTTCCTGACATAATTAAAATTAAACAAATTAAAATTTAAAAATAAAATAAAAATATTATATTAATATATTTTTTATATTTTAATTATATTATTATTAATATTTAATTATTATATTAATATATTATGTTATAATTTTTTTATTTATAATAAATTTATATTTTATTTAAAATTAAAAATATTTATACACGGGTTTAAATAATAAATTTATGTAATAATAATATATTTAAATAAGTTAAAAAATAGTTAAATTTTTTAATAGAAACATGATCTAATCAAAATTAAACAAATTAAAATTTAAAAATAAAATAATAATATTATATTAATATATTTTTTAAATTCTTAATTTTATTATTATATTATGTTATAATTTTTTTATTTATAATAAATAAAAATTATTTAAATATGAATTATATTTTGATTGAAACTAAAAATTTATAAAAAATATAAAATAATAAAATAAAAAATTCAATATGTTATATGATAATAATAATAATAATAATAATAATAATAATATCATATAACAAATAATATAAATTATAATTTTAAATAAATTATATATAATATTTTTTAAAATTTATCATGTATTTCATTTTATTGATATAAATTTTTTGATTACGTTAACTATAAAAAAAAAATTTAGAATATTAAAGCACACTCTTATAAAAAATACTTTTTAGTTACCATTACCAAGTAAAATAGAAGATTAGAAAAGCATATTATAAGGCATGCAGAAAATATAAGAAAAAGTGAATATGAAAATACAAAAGATGTGGTGACATTATCTTTGAACAGAGAGATATAAGCAGTTGAGTACTCTCTGAAAGCTACGCCAAAGTGGGTGTCCTGTCCTGCATGGACATTAGCCGCAACACTCTGCTGGCCCTCATCAACAAAGCGTGCACCTTCCCTCACTTGGCACAAACCCACGCTCAGGTCATTCGCAATGGCTTTCAATTCGACCTCGCCACCGTCACCAAGCTCACCCAGAAGCTCTTCGACGTCGGAGCCATGCGCCAAGCACGTGCCCTCTTCTTCTCCATTCCCAAACCCGACCTCTTCCTCTTCAATGTTGTCATCAAAGGCTTCTCCCTCAACGCATCCCCTTCTTCCATCTCTCTCTACACCCATTTGCGCAAAAGCACCACTCTCTTCCCGGACAACTTCACCTACGCCTTCGCCATTGCTGCTTCTCCCAACGACAACCTCGGCATGCTGTTGCACGCTCATTCCCTCGTCGACGGCTTCGCCACCAACCTCTTTGTCGCTTCCGCTCTCGTTGACTTGTACTGCAAGTTTTCGCGCGTTGGGTATGCCAGAAAGGTGTTTGATGGAATGCCTGAGAGGGACACTGTGTTGTGGAACACTATGATTACTGGGTTAGTCAGGAATTGTTGTTATGGCGATTCTGTTGTAGTGTTCCGGGACATGGTTGCACAAAGGGTGCAATTGGATTCCACCACTGTGACTACGGTGCTTCCTGCAGTTGCAGAGATGCAAGAGTTGAGAGTGGGGATGGGGATTCAGTGTTTGGCTTTGAAGCTTGGTTTTCATTTTGATGGTCATGTGCTGACAGGGTTGATTTCATTGTTTTCGAAATGTGGGGATGTTAATTCGGCAAGTTTGTTGTTTGGGATGATTGGTAAGCGGGATTTGGTTTCTTATAATGCCATGATTTCTGGGTATACTAGCAATGGTGAGATTGAATGTTCGGTGAATCTTTTCAGAGAACTACTTGTTTCTGGTGAGAGGGTCAGTTCAAGCACTTTGGTTGGGTTGATTCCTGTGTCTTCTCCCTTTGGTCATTTGCATTTGGCTTGCTGTATTCAGGGTTTTTGTGTGAAGTCTGGTATTATTTTGCATCCGTCTGTTTCAACTGCACTCACTACTGTCTATAACAGGCTCAACGAGATAGAAGTGGCGCGCCAATTGTTTGATGAATCACCAGAGAAAACTGTGGCTGCTTGGAATGCTATGATTTCAGGTTATACGCAGAATGGTTTAACAGAGACAGCTATCTCTCTTTTTCAGGAAATGATGACAACTGAATTTACTCCAAATCCGGTAACAATCACTACTATCCTCTCAGCTTGTGCTCAACTAGGAGCACTGAGTTTTGGCAAATGGGTTCACCAGTTAATTAAAAGCAAAAATCTTGAGCCAAACATTTATGTCTCAACTGCTTTGATTGACATGTACGCCAAGTGTGGGAACATTTTGGAGGCTTGGCAATTATTTGACTCAATGAGTGAAAAAAACACTGTCACTTGGAATACTATGATTTTTGGTTATGGGCTCCATGGATATGGGCATGAAGCACTTAAGCTTTTCAATGATATGTTGCACTTAGGGTTTCAACCATCTAGTGTAACTTTTCTTTCAGTCTTATATGCTTGCAGTCATGCTGGCTTGGTGAGAGAAGGGGATGAAATTTTCCATGCAATGGTCAATAAATACAGGATTGAGCCCTTGGCTGAGCATTATGCATGCATGGTGGACATTCTGGGACGATCTGGACAGTTAGAAAAGGCCTTAGAATTTATAACGAAAATGCCTGTTGACCCAGGTCCTGCAGTGTGGGGTACATTGCTTGGAGCTTGCATGATTCACAAAGACACAAACATAGCCCGTGTGGCTTCAGAAAGGCTATTTGAACTGGATCCACGGAGCGTGGGATACTATGTCTTACTTTCTAATATATACTCAGCGGAGAGAAACTTCCCAAAGGCTGCATCAATACGGGAAGTAGTGAAGAAAAGAAAACTGGCAAAGACTCCAGGGTGTACCCTAATTGAGGTTAATGGGACCCCGCATGTCTTTGTATCCAGTGATCGTTCTCATTCTCAAACAACAGCTATCTATGCAAAGCTTGAGAAGTTAACAGGCAAGATGAGGGAGCTGGGCTATCAGTCAGAGACAATCACTGCTTTGCATGATGTGGAAGAAGAAGAAAAGGAGCTCATGTTTAATGTTCATAGTGAGAAATTAGCCATTGCTTTTGGCCTTATTGCAACTGAACCTGGTACCGAGATCAGGATCATCAAGAATCTTAGGGTTTGTTTAGATTGTCACACTGCAACTAAGTTTATTTCCAAGATCACAGAAAGAGTAATTGTAGTTAGGGATGCCAACAGATTCCACCATTTCAAAGATGGGATATGTTCTTGTGGCGACTACTGGTGAAGCTGAATAAATAATTGTTCCCCAGTCAAGTTATACGGGCCAGAAACATCTTCCAAACTTTTGGTTTTATATTCTTACAACAATATGATCTCAAGTCTGGACCCCCTCCTGTGACCCTCCACTTAAGAAGCACAACATTTCACAACCCCGGTTGAAAAGAACATTTTTTAAAGTAAGTTAACTGAATGATAGTTGAATTCTAGCTCTCTTTTTAAATAAGATGTATTTTTGTATACTGTCCTTCACCCAAACTTCATACAAACCAGTTGAGGTGAAGTTCTCCTTTGCCGAATTTTGTCACACAGCTTCTAATTAATCTTTTTCAAATTTAAATTCATTCTGTAAATGAGAAAGTACCATGTCTCTTCTTCTATATAGTCATAAAGTACTTTACCGATTATCTTCTCTAGATTGCAGTCAAACTAATTACTGTACGTGCTATTTAAACCATTGGTTGAATAAATGCTAAGTAATATTGAACTAATTGCAACAAAAAATGTCACCTGTAACACTTCTTTTCCTAAATTTGTTGTTAGTGACTAAATTATTGTAGTATCCCAAGTTATTTTGCATTGGGTTCCTTGGTGTCGACTCCTGTGCTTGCAATTGTAGGTAACATCAAATATGAAATATCAACTGCTTTTGTGTCACTGTTGGTAGAGAAATGCAGGAGACCTGAATGGAAGACAATCAAACTATGTCTGACGATAACGATCAATGGAAAACCACTTTGGAAGCTGGGTCGATTATTCATGATAATATAAGCCAAATTTCTCAGATTACAGACGTTAACCAGAGTGCATTTGCATCAAGCACTGGGTGTGCAAGACTTCTGTACTTAATAATGTAAGAATGGCAAGCCGGACCACAAGAACCATTCTATAAGGACTGAGTCTGCCTGACGGTATTTGTATTTTCAGCCCAAATTCTATTAACCTGAAAGACGATGTATCAGTGATTTATAATAGCTTACCGATCATCGTTCAGCAGCGCACTGCACACATCGTTGTATTATCCTTGTACATGCCATGGGCTCATGTATCCTTATCCCGTGAAAAGAAGAGAGAAAATAGCAAGCGTGGCAGGACCCACAACTGATAAAGGAGAAGTCCAATCATACCAACCTCGGAATGCACCTGCAAGCTGCAAACAAATAAAATCTTTGTTGCTGCCAAAACAAGTATTTCAGTTAAATGAGAAATTAAAAGCTCAAAGGCAAAAACCTTTTCATTTTAGGGCGGAAAACCATATTATATTTTCTATGCTTTAATTTCCCTATATCGGGAACCAGGCATCTATTATCTTCCGCTATTATTACCTGTGTTGATTTAGCATTCTTACGAGTTCGTCTTCCCTGACAGCATCTCTACATGCATTTTTTTTTTTCTATTTTTTTGACTGGGTTCAATAATTTCGTGTAATCATGTAACTAATCTCACTTAGTGAAATAATGCTTAATAATTGTTTGTTTGTTGCCTTTGCCTCTCTTCTTGCTCAAGCTTCTTCATTTTTTGTATCATTTTGAATGCGAAATCAATACGTCCCCAGCATCTTAATCTTCCTCCACTCTGGGGATTCCCATGCACATATCAAAATAATAAAAATTAAAGATAAAATCCATGTATGATATATGCTTTCTTGTTAGTGCAACTAGATGTGGTAAAGTGAATGTCATACCGTTTTACATTTACCTTAGATACGTGTGTTTGATCACGTGCGGCACTGATGGCAAACTAAGTCCCTTGTCTACATAATTGTACCACTGGTTAGACCGTTGGTTGTGGAGTTACTATTGGCTTGAAGTTAAATTTGCAGCTAATCAATGTTCAACGCAGGGCAGGGTAGAAAATGTTCTTCTGTGGATGAAAAAAGTATAACACATTTCAGTTTCACAACGTTTACACAACAACTGTGGAAAGTTGACATTCTTCCTAAGATGTTAGACGTTTCGTACCCATTTGTTAATTTTAAATTCAAGTTCAGATTCATTTTGCTTCCAATTATGAACCCAATCATTTTCAGTATATTTTGATCCTGTCTTGATGTTGCCTCATAAAACGTTTTCTCTGACTTTAACTTCAAACCCAACCACAGAATGATTACAAGGGAATAGATCAATAGGATAGTATGTCGCCACCTTCTATCTTCACATAAAAGACGTAAGTTACCATCATGGTTGTGGTGATTTCAGCCATTTCTTGGTAGAATTTGACATGATAGCAATGTAAAAAGTTTCTGATTCAAGGTATTCATTTCTATATGAACCTAACTTCCTACTTTTCATATCCTGGCACACTAGAAAACAAAGGAAAATGGATTTTATTAGTTCACATTTAAGTACCCCTTTTTATTTTATTCCTCTTTCCTATTTATAAAACAAGAAGTCCAGACCCAAAAATGATTGGAATCGAAGAAACTAGGAGCGAAATCCAGATCATTAGATATCAATTTGTTGCCCAAGTAAGTTCTTCCCCGCCCTGCTTTCTACTCCAGGTTTTAAGGGATCCATTCCATTGAATGTTTGTGAACAAATACCTGTGGCTTAATTCAAACAATATTGAAGTTAAACATGCCTTTTATCTGTTCCTGATGAATAATAAGGCTTAGGCTTTACTGTTAAATATTCTTAATTCGTACTTTTCTTCTTTTAATTATTCTTGGCATCATAATTCTGCATAAATTGTAAATAATGCATGAATTTATTTAGTACACAATATCAGTATAAAACTCTTCCGCTAATGTTCAATAATATTTTGACACATTATTATTTTATTCACTGTTTTTATACAATTTTACCAAGAGACTGAGGTGGTAACAAATAATGATTTGTCAAAATATTGGTAGATATCATTGTGAAATTCTTTTACACTAACTGTATATAAATTAAATTCATGAATCATGATGCAACTAACTTGATGCTTCCATGACTGAAATGAACTAACTGGGTCAAGAATTCATTTTGCTGCCAATTATATGAAATTTTTTTTGCAGATTAACAATCCTGTTCAAGATTTTAATGAAGAAGTATATGCAATCTGTTACAAAACTAATGACAAAGCTTTGGTTATAATTCTATTAGTACTCCCATGTAAATTTTACGCATGCTTTTGGATCAGAAGTAATGAGCTAGACTCCTGCAATAGAATATTAACAATATATACTGACTTGCAACAATGTATTGGTAAACCTATAATCTTGATTTACCATTCAATCCTTGGGCAATTTGAGCCAAAACAATTGGTAATCAGTATGTCATCCAGTACATTTACAACGGTGAGACAACTGCATTTGCACTTCCCAGTTTTCACTCTTTTTTCTTCCTTGTACATTCAAACTTTGTAGATTCACACACCTTACATCACAATCAAAAATTTACATACATCTTCAAAAGATGTTCAACAAAGAATACTAAAGGAAAACCAGTCTTTCAACAGTTGATTCCACATAACTTAGTATCAGGTCCCTTAGTTTTTAATACAAATGGGTCAATTCTTACCCAAAGCAAGGAGAAAATGGAAGCCAATAGCACTGACCATATAACAACAATTGTGGGTGTGCGGTTTTGCCGGCCCATCAAACCTTTAAGGAAAGGATACAGATGAACAATCACCCAAAAAGAAAAGAAAAGTTTTCCAAATAGAGGTCCCCAAGATTGGTACCCATTGTTTATGGCATCTGAGATTCCAGCAACAACCCCAACAATGTTGATTATTAAGATAGTGGTTGGAGGAATCAGAAGAGTAGTCCACTTAAAGGTGTATAGTTCTCCAAATTCCTCATCATCTGCTGCCTTGGATGTAACAGTGAAGTTGGTATCAATTCCGGCCAGAACCTTCAGAAGACCTTGTATGACAGCAAAGAGATGTGCTGACACACCACCAATGACCCAAAATTGCTCATTTCTCCACCATTCCTCAATGCTCACTCCACTCCATTTCAACTCAAGAAGACCCGTTGCAATGATTGAAGAGAAGAGAGCAACAAAGTACAAACCAGCAAAAGTGCTTATCTGGATCAATTAGCAATAGAAAAAATTATAAGCAAAACAGTTTGGCATCCATTATATAATTATGGATTGAAGTCCTAATAAAAAGATCATGAACATCCATATCATGTGCTTTTTGAAGGTAACAACATTATGGAAATTTGGCATGTTATGACTTCAAAAACATGACATGTGTAACTCATTCAGTAGCATGAAGGGAATGGAGTAATGTTGTTACCGGTGGCATGATGAATTTATCAGTGAGTAAACACACAGCAGGAAGAATACAATAGGCAACAAGAGGTATGGAGGTGAAGGGATAAACAGTTGTGTTTGCATAGGCAAATCTCTCTAGCCACTTCAGCTTCCCTTCCTTATAGCCATACCATAAAGGGCAATGGCGACTGAAGAAGATCTCAATGGAGCCAAGGGCCCAACGAAGAACTTGGTTAAGTCTATCTGACAAGTTGATAGGAGCAGTGCCCTTGAATGCAGTTCTCTTTGGCATGCAATAAATAGACCTCCAACCACGGCAATGCATCTTAAAACCTGTTAGAATATCCTCTGTAATAGACCCATAAATCCAACCTAGCTGCATATTTGGAAAGCGAAATAGCATTTAGTTTATTTTCCTAGTGTGAACAATAAGATATCAAGGAGTCTTTAAGCTGTCATTGTTGGTGTTACCTCAATTCCCCATTCAGTTTTATCTTCATATCCACAACTGATTACATGAATGGCTTCTTTAAGCTGGCTTGCTGGACTTGAGGTAGGAGGCACACCACCCTCTTCCATCAAGGTTGATGTCACAAAAATAGATGACTGCCCAAATTTCTTTTCAAAATTCATCTGGGACATTAGCACTTCTTTGTCATCATCAGCTCCTATTTGGACATAACACAAGTTAGAAAAGGTTAAAGTGATATCAATTTGGATAGAAGTTAGTCTCTACATTAGTGATCAGAAAAGTATGAGAACCTCTTAGGCTTGCAGCCTCTCCATTTGCTTCATTCTTTGCATGCTTCTTGCGCTTTCCAAAACATGGGCAGCAATCACAAGTTACCATTTTGGGACGCTTAGGATCCTTGGGAGGATTATAGCCATATAAAGCTTGCCTCCTGAATACACAACCTGTGCCAACATATACAGGACCCTGAATACCATCTAGACCCTTCATGTTAATCTGTAGAAACAGAAAGAAGAGGGAGTAGTTATATATTAGCTTACACTACTAAAAAGAAAAAAAAAATCAAATGCTTAAACAGAAGGCCATGTCTTGTCATGCTGATGTAGGTTTCTTGTGGTGACTTACATCAAAGAAAACTGTGTTCCTGTTGGCATAACGATCATGCCTATCTATGCCATCAAATCTTTGAGGAAACTGGACATAGCAGACCTTCTTCCCAGTTTGGGGATCCATTAAGAAGCACATGGCCTCTCTAGCAGCCTTGCTGTTGTTCACATAATGATCACAATCCAAGTTCAACATGAAAGGAGCATTTGTTAGCACAGCAGAGACCCGAATCTGGATATTACAGCAATTGTTGCAAGAGTCAAGTAATCGTGGCTCATAAAGGTGAAATGACAAACAATAAAAATATGATAAATAAAAAACTCTACCAAAGCATTCATAGCACCGGCTTTCTTGTGGTGTTGGAATCCAGGCCTTTTCTCTCGAGAAACATAAACAAGACGAGGAAGTTGGTTTCCTTCAGTATCATGACCTCCACTGTGACCAAGAAAGACTTGAATCATACCAGGATGGTCCTTAGTATTGTTTCCTGGCCATGGTGTCCCATCCTGCATAATCCATCCTCCTTGAGGAACCTTCTGGGCTTTTGCCACTAATGCATTGATCCTAACCTTGAACTCCTCATATTCTCTCTGACAAACAAACAATTTACAGTAAATAAGCTATAAAACTCCATGTTTTCAAGTACTATTTTGATAAATATGATACAAACCTTCATGGCTCTACGCTCCTTAACAAAGGTGGGTTGCACTTTGTCCTGTAAGTAGTCAATTTTCTCACAGAAGTACATTTCTGGTGCTCGAGGTTCTATGGAAAATTTCTTGCAGAATGGTACCCACTTCCTAGCAAACTCTGCAGTTTCTGACAAGGCTTCAAATGTACACATTGAAGCTCCATCATCAGAAATGTAGCATGATATCTTATCAACTGGGTAATCCATGGCCAAGATTGAAAGAACAGTGTTCGCTGTAACCAAAGGAGGTTCCTTCATGGGATCCACGGTACTAACAAAGACATCTACAGGAGCAAGCATGTTGGGTTCACCTTCACGCTCATACCTAATAATAAACAACATTTTGGTCAGCAATATATCATAGTTAACAGAACTATGGCACTATAACAAGAGTTAAGGTTTCTTTTTACCTGATTGAAAGGCGATCAAGATAGGTCTCTCGATCAATAGGAAACCATTTAGGAAACTGATCAAGGATCCATGAAAATGCAAACCAGATTTCACATATAATAGAAGTTAGCCATAGCCCCAATGCATCATGTACTGGGTTCAAAATTCTGTATCTGAGGAAGAAGGCAAGAATGACAAGCCGTGCCACAATCACCATCCTATATGGATTCACTTTGCTAGATGCTATTGGTACCTTCCTTGACAGTGGTTGCCTTGCTTCATCTAACCTGCAAAAATTTACATCATATATAATAAATTAAAATATCAGTTAGTTTCTTCACATCATTGATATCAAAGTTAAAGGCCTAAAACCACATGACAGTTTCCTAATTGTAGCATTGTAAGCTTACATGACTGCATCTGGATCTTCATCAGGTTCAGGTCCCAAATTCCCTTGTTGTAATTTCCAGTCATCCACTCTATCCTCTTTGGTTTCATCCCATCTTGCATTTCCTGTTTTGATCACAGCATGCCACCACATATTGTAAATAAATTTCGCCGTGTTGAGGTAGACTAAGAAAAACATTCAGAGTTGTACTTAAATTAGTGCCAAAGAAAAAGTCTATATAACTAGCCTTTAAACTTGAGCCTGAAACCAACATCAGCATAATCCGTTTTGCAAGTGTACCAAGAAAAGAATGACAATTATGATAGAAAGATGATAAATTTTTTCAAACACCATCATCAATGTCTAACAGAAAAGGCTATAAACTACATCTTACGAGGATCAGAACCCGGATATGGGTGCACTCGATTATGCAGTGAAGAAGATAATATTTGCTCCCCATAATGAGACGCTATTGGGAACTCCCCACTAACCTGCATGCATGCAAATTTATTATAGTCATATTGAATATAGGAAGTTTTATAGAGTATAATAATAACTGGTGCAAATCTTACAGGCCTAGAGCGACCCCCAGAAATAACAGCTGGGAAATGAGCATTCTCATCATCTTCAGGACCTCTTCCATAACTCATCTTCCCATGCAGCATGGCCTCAGCAGAATGGTTATGCTTGCTTTGTTCCTCAATATTAAATTCATGTTCAATATCATCATCATCTTCCTCATCTTCATCTCCCTCAACCCGTGGGCTCCCTTAGCAAAATCAAAACACAGCAAATGAAAGATATATCAGTTCCCTCCTTGTTTGTTGTTTCATTTCAACCCACTTAACCCAATACTACAATTAGCTAACTAAAAATGTATCATATAAACTACACATGTAGTAACAATTAAATCTATTGAAATTAATGCATGCTGAAAATGCATTGAAATTTGCTTAGCTAAAAATGTATCATAAACTACATGTAGTAATAACTAAATCTATTGAAATTAATGCATGCCAAAAAGACATATTGAAACTTGCTTAACTAAAAATGTGTCATATAAACTACATGTTAGTAACAACTAAATCTATGGAAATTAATGCATGCCAAAAAGGCTTTGAAACTTGCTTAATTGTTTTCTACCTTTGAGACGTTTGTATCTGGTTTTACACTGAGGGCAAACTTGTCTCCCTTCTCTCCTTTCATACTCATAACATGGTCGACATACCGGAAAACCACACTCATTGCATGCCACAAACAAGTCACCATCCACCGTGAGTCCCACATCATCGCCACATATCTCACACACTTGACCATCCAAGTTCTTCAAAGGCTTGTGCTGCAACGAAACGACACAATATATATTAATAAACTGTTTATGAAAATGAACACAAGCACCATTTTCTGAAATTTTCTCTAGTAACTTTCATGCATGGCTATTACCTCTTCATGGTTATGAATGACAACGAGCTCGTTGCGGTTGTGAGAACCAGCGACCAGACCAGCGCTGGCTTCCATGTCTTGGTGGTGACTTGGTGAATGGGACAATGAAGTGAGTGACACAGAGAAAAGTGGGGTGGTGAGTTTGAGAGAGAGATTATATTTTAGGAAGGAACACTGAGGCTTGCAGGGATTGTTTACTCAACTCACCTAATTTGTCCACATGAGGGGCTGCTGCTGTTGGTTGCAGGGTCGCCATTGCCTTGAAGCTAAGCTTCTTCCTTTTTTCTTTTTTTTATCAACAACCGTCTTCTTCGTGCTATCACCAACTATGACTACACGTTGGAGAGGTGTACATCTTGCACTTCCTTGCTTCTTTTTCTTCTTTATTTTTCAAGAACCTTGATATTTTCACATGTTGTTTTTCACTTATTTTATACTCTATCCTAAAATGAGTAGTGATTTGTACATAAAAAAATTGTATTTTATACAACAAATTTGTGTAAACTTGAGTAATAAAGAGGAAAACGTATGAAATAAGATAATTAATGTAATAAAAAAAGTGGCAAACACTTGTCTTCGATTAGTATCTTGTACCATTTTAGAGTATAAAAAAGTGTTAAAAGCATAATGTCAAAGAAATATTTTTAATTTTTCAATCTTCCAAAAGTATACTACGCTCCAAAAAGAGACATGGTTGGGTACGGTACATTATTCACCTTGTATATTTGTCTTTAAATTGATTTGTGTGGTTACGTTCCGGTTGTTCACAAATCATATAGTGCAAGACGTAACAAATGAGCAAGAAATCAGAAAGCCGAATCATTCAAATATTGATCGCGCGACTGATGTGAAAGGACAATTTTTCATGAAAATGTATGAGAAAATAAAATTTTATGAAAATGGTGTGGAAATATGATAATCATATTGCTTTCTCTAAATATATGTTTAATCACTTCATTTAAATATTTGTCTTTAACTTTAAATATGTCATTGTAAATATATGCATGTACCTTCGCTGACCCTCCTACCGTTATTAATCAACGTAACCTCATAGGTATTGGTGTTCTAAAAATAATGACATCTAATCATAGAAAATCAGATATAATAAATGCATAGAATCTATGGCGATTCAACAAGCAATATAATCAAAAAGCTCTATTTAGATACCCTCTCATAGAATCACGCAGGATGATACGGTTTTTTTATATACTGAAATACTTACATCACTTTCTATATTGTTACCTTATCTTTCAAAAAATGAAAATAAATGCTCTTAAAGCTAATTATTAATTCACTAATTAAAAAACACTCTATTGCAAAATATTTATTAAAAAAAGGACTAATTAAAAACATAAAATATTTCAAGTGTTATTAATATACAATTTTTTATACACTTTATTGCATTTTTTTTATGAAATTTTTTGTTTATTGATTTTTTAGCCAATACTCATTAGTTAAATCATTATCCTTATACAAATATTATAAATCCAAGTGTAACTCGACAGCTTTTGCTTGTCTGATAATAATCCCCGAGAACAATATACTTATCTATTTAACATTTTGTATAGGAAATTATATGAATATCCCGTGAATATTAGGAATGTATGGAACCAGAAAAAGGTGCACTCAACATCCCAACTCAAAGAAGGTTTAATGTCACAGCACATAAAGCGGAGGATATTAGAATTTAAAATAAGGTACACATGTTCACCAAAAATAAAATAAGGTACATATAAAGTGTTGCTTTCAGGACTCTGCTGTGTTTACTTGTGCGAGTAAAAAACATATAACATGTTAGCATTCTTCGAACGTAAGCACTTCAAAACTAAGCTACCTTCAAATCGTTAGGTCTGTAGGTTGCAGCCTCTACATCTTGAGTTAGAATAACCACCGTCCGAGACCAAGTTATACACAAGCAGCACCCACAGAGAGGTGCTGCATGTTGGCCTAATCATATCAGGCAAGCATATTCCCCAGAATTGACAGGTTTCCTGCTAAAGCGTTTGTTAGGACCATGTGCTTCTTGTCTTGATGAAGGTATGATTTGACATGCATTGGATTGAAATAGAAGTAGATAAATATTACAGTCAACTTCAAAAATTAAATCAGCATAAACTATTCATGTGTAATTATACTTTTATGATTAGTCTCGTGAAGACTTGTTAATGATATCCCTTCTGCAAGTTCTGTTAGAATAGACAAGGCTGTCTCTGATTAAAATTCTCGTGAATATTTATTCTATTATTGAAGATGAATTATACAACGCTATACAATACTCGGAAAATTTCAACCCAGATCAATATAAGTTACTCACGATCCATTCTACAATTAGAAACTAGCGTGGAAGTTTTCTGTTATGATTGGACACTGACGGAGACTTCATCCGCTGCTGACTTGTCTCTTTTCTTTGGTGTTTCTTGAGTCTTCTGCACAGCAGCTTTATTTGGAACCAAAACTATGAAGACGTTCCTGTCACGGAAGTTTTTAGCCTCCTCTACTCCGATCTGCAGACCACCCAAGTGTGGTTTGGATATAAAATTCAAACAGGCAATAAGAAATGTCTCCAATGACCGTAAAATCAGATATTGTCTCAAGATGGCTATGAAATGAATTAACTAAAAGTAAAACCAATGCACAAATGTAATCAAGATAGAAATAACAAATAAAGCGCTGACTGAGAATTTTTTTAGTGTGCAAACTGCCAAGCAAGAGAGTGTAACACACAGGAATTACCAGTACAACATCCCAGAACCTACTTTTCTTATAGTCCTAGTTTTTCATGCTCAAGAAATATATTACTCGATCATAATATAGCAAAGTGGCATGACATACCTCCCCAACATCATTCTGAAAACGTGTAATAAGCTCAATAGCAATATTTCTGAATTCATTTTCACGACCTTTAAGGTTTACTATGACTTTAACCTGCAGGAATGGATCACAATGATCTCAACACATTTGTATGTGCAACAGTTGAATTGATAAAAACTAATATTTTTAAAAGGTGATTAAAGGTATTATTTTGTCTGGTTGGACATCAGATATCAATAAATCCTTTGTGTGTGTCTATGCGCATGTGCATGTGTTTAATATGACATAATATAATTCATGGAACCTTGTCACCATCTTTCAAAAATTTCCGGGCAGCTTTCAAACGCACAGAATAATCATGTTGATCTATATTGTATCTGTCAAAATAAAAGTACAAAGAATTAGTCAAAAAGGCACAATCAAATGTTACTAGCAAGATAATTGAGCATAACGCAACTCAAACTAAACCATGTCTCATGAAAAACAATCTCTTCAAATTCTCTAATTGAATTTTTATGTTATGATGTTATAAATAGAAGAAAAAAGTAAATCTTAGCATAAGTGTTATGCATTAAAATGATATCATCACATTAGTTGTATATATCTTTATAGCGTGAAGCATCACATAAAACTTCCTCTGTTTATCTTTGAGCAAGCATAACTAAACAAACTCTTCTTGATGCATCCGTGCTTAATTGATCCCAAGTTCACAACCAAGAAACAAGATATTGACAATAAAATGCCAGACACATGCAGATTATTTTCTCTCTTATTTCCATCAGGTTTCTCAAAATAGTACGCCATAATTAAGAGGATCAATTTTATGTGCCTACAAGAAAATAACTGGATAGGATAAAGGACAAAAGAATTAGACACCTAAGGTTTTGTGGTACACTAGCAAAATTAAATCAAGTAATTGGGTGGGTAGAATTGTAGATGAGTATTGAAAGATTGATGTTGTGGATATAAAAAGATTAAGAGATAGGATCATAGCTCTATAGTGGAAGGGATGACCTCCTCAGATGACGAGAGATGTATTTACAAGCTTGCTAAAAGTAAGAAATGAAAGTCAAGAGACTTTGATAAAGTGAAATGCATTGAGGCTAAACCAAGGAGAATCAAAATTATTCCTTCTATAGTGGAATTCACGAGTCTTTGGTCAAAGAAACATTGAAGAGGATGACAAATGGCAAAGTAGTTAGAGCAAGCAATATACCCATTGACATATGGAAGAGTCTAGGTGAAGAGATATGAGTTAGCTTGCAAAGTTGTTCAACGAGATTAAGAGGTCTATGTAAATACTGGAAGAATTGAGGAGTAATACTCTAATCCCTATTTATTAGAACAAGGGAGACATTAAAAATTGCACAAACTATAGCAGGAGATAAAGTTCATGAGTCATTCTATGAAGTTATGAAAGGGGTAACTAAGTGAAGATTAAGATAAGACTTACATTACTTGAAAATCAATTTAGTTTTATGCCCCATCAGCCCTGAAAGCAATATGCTACTGAGATATATCAAAGAAATAAAAAATATTTGTGTGCGCTCTCGATTGATTAGAAAAAGGCATGCATCACATGACAAGAAAGGTATTGTGAGAAAAAAGGAGTTTGTATTGCATATATTTAAACAATCAAGGATATGTATGAGATCACAATGAAAAGAACACAAAATAAGATCATATCAAATTTTCCTACAATCATAGGACTACACCAAGGGTCAAATTTAAGCGTTCATATCTTTACCTTAGCCTTGAACATGGTTACAAAGAATATTTAAGAGTTGATGTCACAATACAAGCTTTTTCCAGATGTTTTAGTTTTAGTTGGAAAATCAAGTAAAAAAAGGTAAATGGAAAGTTAAAGATGTAGAGACTAGCTTTGAAAGTTCATGGATTTTGCTTGCTTAAGTAGAACATTAGATGAAGTAGATGGAGTGTAAGTTTAGCAAAAGAGACAACAACCCTAATGTTAAGGGTATAACTTGGAGAGCATACTTTACCACAAGTTGAATAATTTAAGTATCTAGGGTCGATTACAAAGAATGGCAAAAAAAAGGAGATAAAGAATGAGAATGTTGCATTTGGAATTATATATAATATAAGATTAAGAATAAAGAATGAAAAAATTAGAATGGCATCTATTGTAGATGAGATGGTAGAAAAGTGCCTTGGGTAGTTTGAATTATGGATTAGACTTATAAAGCTCCAATAAGGAGAATAGATTAGATGGAATGTAGGTAACCCAATCGATAGAGCCATAGAGGTAGAGGGAGATTGAGAAAAACTATAAGCAAAATCATTAAGAAAGATTTAAAAGTCAATGGTCTGTCCATGTATCAATAGACATAAGACAAAGTATTATGATTTACGATGTCATTTGATCCATGCAACCAATTCCACCTAGTGTAAAAAGGTTTGGTTGTAGTTATTCTTCCTCTAGTTTTTTGAAAGTAATGCAGAGAAATAATATGTATAATGCCTTTCCGGAGAACCAACAGTTAACCTAAGCCAGACTAGATTGAGTGGAAATAACAGATATACTTCTTCACATTTCTAACCCTTTACTGATTAAAAATATTAATAAAAGTAACATTTGCCCATAACTATGTATTAGTCAAATTAAATTAAGAAATCCAAAGAACAAGAATCTAGAACCAGCTTAGGACATTACCCCATTTTGAGCTCCTTCAAATCCATCCGATTAGCTGCATTTAAAAGATCATTTGGTCAGTAATTTATTGTTTGTTCTGAATTTGAAAAAATAAAATTAGAAGAAAATAAATGCTTACCAGCACTTTTCTTCTGCTGTCCTCTTTTTTTCTTTTGTTGTTCATATCTATATTTGCTGTACAGAAAAAAAAAAATATAAGGATTACTAAATTTCAAGGTCCAATTATTCTTGAAAATAAGTATATAAGTGCTCAATCATTGTGAAACAGAAGTAGAACTAAACACAGCTTTTCACACAGCTTCATTTGATTTTATCAAGCAGTAGAAGTGAAACTTAGATGACATCTACGGGTGTGTGAGTTAATATCTCCCCATTATTTGTTGTTCAATCATGTCTTCACAACATTCCCATCCCAAAAAAAAATATAGGAGCTCAGCATCCATTATAGACCAATGAGTGCAAATGATACTTCCGCCGTGACCACCACTATGTCCAACTTCAAAATTTGGACCACTAAGTAGCTGCCCAAGGTGCCAGAAGCAAGAGCAACTGGGACAAATTTTATTATTCATCTATCAACCAAATTAAAACTACTTAATCTTCAATTATTGTTGAACATGTATACAGGCAGGTCATTAACTACCAAATTTATCGACGGATGCCCAAAACTCACAATCTGACACAGTTTCAGCCACACCTTAACACGACGACTTTATACAGCCATCAACCAGTAGTATTTGAGACTAGATTTAACGAGAATAAATTGAAAAAAGGGAAGAGAGAGCCAAAAATGCATGATCTTTTCTGAGGATATACAAAGTTCACACCTGTAATTCATTATTCTAACAACGGGAGGATCTGCATCCGGGGATAATATCACCTGATAAAAAAAAAAAGAGATAAAATAAGATTTTCCATTCATGTCACCAGTATCCCATGTTCCAACATACATGCAAAAGAAAGTGTTCACCAAATTTACTGACTCGAAACAATTAGATTTTCAACACCATAAATAAATGCCTTCCTATCTCTTTTAGTCATTGTACTTGTACCTGTCTAAGCTAAATTATAGGAATCTCTTCCTCTTTCTATTTATCATCTTTTTCTCATCATAAACAAACAATGAAATATAGTGTAACAGTACAAGTACGACAATAAGATAATAAACAATTGGTACCCTATTTAATTGAACTGAAATTCAATGGCAACAAATAGATGGAATATTGAAGTATAGCTGCGACAATGACTGGGAAAAAACATCGTACCAAATCAAGCTCTGCATCTTCAGCCATTTGAACAGCCTCATCGAGCGACACTACTCCAACCTACAAAAGCAAAAACATCTTCAGCATCCTCCGATATATGCAGACTGAATTGGAAAGTTATAGAACATTTAATTCAAGCTTTATTCACGCGTGATTCTTAAGCACGAAATTAACAGCGTTAAATAAATATACGAGAAAGAAAAAAGAACAAACCATGTTCTGGTTCTGATCAATAAGCCTGACGGTATCTGACCTATTTCAAATCGAAAGCATTCTTAAGCACGAAATTGAAACAGAGATTGAAAAGAGGGAAAGGAACTGGGAGGAATGAGTAGAGTACTTAAGAGAGGAGAGGTCGAGAGCTTGTTCGTCTTCGGAATCGGCGTGGCGTCTCCGGGAGTTGCCGGAATCGGAAGTGCGGGGGCCACCGCCATAGCGGGCGGTTACGTAGGCGGGAAGGGGGAGAGAAGAGTGAGATTTGAGAGAATAGGGATTAGAGAGGAGAAGGCCGAAGAATTTGGAGTGGGAAGAAGAGAAGAGAGGTGAGGGTGTGATTGTGGTATGGAAGAGTTTGAAGGGGAAGATGCTGATGCCAGCCATGGATGGCGCTCTGACCCTTCACGCTTCAACTTTGGCGCATATCTCCCTTTCTTATCCTAAACTATGAGGACACATCAGTGCCTTGAAATTTCAAATAGATGTTAAGGACTCGAGGCTAGTTTTTTCTGGAAACAAAATGTTAATTTAAATGAGTTTTAAATTTATGTAAACTAGTAATTTTGATTTTGTTTTTATATAAAAGACAAGTATACTCGTAATTTTGTTTAAAATGGGTAGGATTAATATAAAAAGTAAAACTTTCCTTCCAACTATTTCCATTTTATTTTTTATTTGACTCTTTCATTTTGTATTTTGATACTTAAGTTTTTAAACATCAAATAAGTAGGGTTTTTCTGTTAAATATATTTAATTTTCTCATTATCATTATTATATTTTTTTCCATTTAATTGATGTAATTAAATATAATTAATAACAAACTATTTAATGAATATATTCAAGTATTATTTTACCTCCATTTTAATACAACTATTTGAGGAACTTCACTGTTAAATAGTTTTTCCTTTTTCCTTTCAAGTCACGAGCAAAAAATAAGTTTACATAAAAGACTCTGCATAAACTATTCAAGTACAACATATCATTTTTATTCTGTTTTTTATTTTCTACTTTCTCTTCAATGTTCTTTATTTTTTAAAATTTTATTTAGTTAAATTTTAAATCATAATATATTATTTAAGACTTTATTTTGATTTATTTACTGATTGAATCTAGAAAATTCTAAATAGTACTGAACGATGGCTCTCCGTAATTTTTTATTTTCTTAACTGGGTAATAAATGATTACTGTTTTGCAAACTTTTCGTACTAAATTTGACCGCAATTTTTCCAAAACTGGATCGAATAATTTTTATCTTTCGGTTAATTTAAATCAAATTACAAACGTTCTTAATCTTTGGGATTCTAGACAATATTTACTTTTATTAAATACTTTTAATTATTAATAAGAGAATTGCTTCACATAGTGCACGAGAAGTAACAAAAACTGTATATTATGACACGGGGATTTCTGTCCAAATTCTCTTATTCTTCTATTATTATAAATAATTTTTAACGAATAAGAAGTTAGAGACATGATACTAAAATCTCTCGTACTATACAGTAGCTATCTATTAAGAAAAAACATGTAACTGAAAGTAACAAACACACACGAGAAAGATGAAACCCGAAGAGAGAAAAACATTGTAATTTGTGTTTTGGATGACAAATATTGCTATATACTAATTTATGACGATATTGGTTAATAATTCAAGTGTTATTGAAAAATAATGGTAAATAAAGAATGGGATTTCATTCGACTAAAATAGCATGATGTACAGTTCTTAAGAAAAGACGAGGCACCAAAAGCATACATGATATGCAGGATGCAATGAAAAGAGAGAAAACGGAGCTGATGATGAACATGGCCGAACTATATTAAATAATCTCAGTTTAGCTTAAGAGAAAGACTTTATTCATGATTCACGAAGCCTCACATCACTGGATAAACAGATAAGAAAACCAGCAGAGTACATACATACATAATAACTACAACCTAGGCCTTATAGTAAGTCAAAATCAGCATGCTCAATCAACCTCTTCAATCTTAGGTCCAGCACCAGAACCAGCACCAGAACCAGAGGCAGAGCCATCACCAGGCATGTCATCACCCATAGGCACATCACCCCCAGCACCGCCACCTTGATACATCTTAGCAATGATGGGATTGCAAATCCCTTCCAACTCCTTCTGCTTATCCTCAAACTCATCCACTTCAGCCAACTGGTTCCCCTCCAACCACTGTATAGCATCTTCCACTGCCTTCTCAATCTTCTGCTTTTCCTCTGGACTCAACTTTCCTCCAATCTTCTCATCCCTTATAGTGTTCCTCATGTTGTACGCGTAATTCTCAAGCGAGTTCTTCGCCTCCACTTTCTTCTTCACCTCCTCATCCTCTGCCTTATACCTCTCTGCATCCTTCACCATCTTCTCAATCTCCTCCTTGCTCAACCTCCCCTTATCATTCGTAATCGTTATCTTGTTCTTCACCCCGGCAGTTTTATCCTCAGCGGACACATTCAAAATCCCATTAGCATCAATATCAAAACAAACATTGATCTGAGGCACTCCTCTTGGAGCAGGAGGGATTCCAGTAAGCTCAAACTTTCCTAGAAGATTGTTATCCTTTGTTCTTGCTCTCTCTCCTTCATACACCTGAATCAAAACCCCAGGTTGGTTATCCGAATAGGTAGAGAAAATTTGCTCTTTCTTGGTGGGAATCGTAGTGTTCCTTGGAATCAACACTGTCATAACCCCACCAGCAGTTTCCAGCCCAAGACTAAGAGGCGTCACATCCAACAACAACAAATCCTGAACCTTCTCATCTCCTTCACCACTCAAAATAGCTGCTTGCACTGCTGCACCATACGCAACAGCTTCATCAGGGTTAATACTCTTGCAAAGCTCTTTCCCATTGAAGAAATCCTGCAAGAGTTGCTGAACCTTGGGGATCCTAGTGGACCCACCAACAAGAACCACCTCGTGAACGTGACTCTTGTCAATCTTGGCATCTCGGAGACACTTTTCCACAGGCTCCATGCACTTCCTGAACAAATCCATGTTCAACTCCTCAAACCTCGCCCTCGTAATCGTGGCATAGAAATCAATCCCTTCGTACAACGAATCAATCTCAATCGTTGTCTGTGCAGTCGAAGACAACGTCCTCTTAGCCCTCTCACACGCTGTTCTCAACCTCCTCAAAGCTCTTGCATTCCCACTAATGTCCTTCTTGTTCTTCCTCCTGAACTCAGACACAAAGTGATTCACCATTCTGTTATCAAAATCTTCACCACCGAGATGCGTATCACCCGCAGTGGCTTTCACCTCGAAAATCCCCTCTTCGATGGTTAACAGAGAAACATCGAAAGTTCCACCACCCAAATCGAAGATAAGCACGTTCTGTTCACCTTTTCTCGAAGCTTTCTTGTCCAACCCATAAGCAATAGCCGCAGCGGTAGGCTCGTTGATGATTCTCAACACGTTCAAACCAGAAATAGCACCTGCATCTTTCGTTGCTTGTCTCTGCGAGTCGTTGAAATAAGCAGGAACCGTTATCACCGCGTTTTTAACGGCGTGACCCAGAAACGCCTCTGCTACCTCCCTCATCTTTATCAAAACCATCGAAGATATCTCTTCCGCCGCAAACGTCTTCTCTTCGCCTTTGTAAGTTACCACGATCATGGGCTTGTCGCCTGGGCCAGCGATCACCTTAAACGGCCACAGCTTCATGTCGTTTTGAACCGACGCATCGGAGTATCTTCGACCGATTAAACGCTTGGCGTCGAAGACGGTGTTCCGGGGGTTCATGGCTACTTGGTTCTTTGCTGCATCTCCGATTAGCCTCTCTGTGTCGGTGAAGGCTACGTAGGAGGGGGTGGTTCTGTTGCCTTGATCGTTGGGAATGATCTCTACGCGGTCGTTTTGCCACACGCCCACGCAGCTGTAGGTGGTGCCTAGGTCTATACCTATAGCTTTGCCTTCTTTTGTGGCCATTAAGATAATTCTAACGCAGTAGAAGAAAAAACAGAGCTTTCAGAATCCTATTGTGTGTTGCTTGCAGAGTTGTTTGTATGATGAAGTAAGAATGAGGAGAGAGAGAAACGAAAGCGTTATTTATAGTGGGCATTGAAGAAAGAGTACGAGAATTTACGAGGTTAAGGAGAGGAAGCTAGAGGGTTCTGGAGTGTTTGGTAAGGTTCGAGAAAAGGAAAAAGATGAATCGGGAAGTATTGACTTTATCTGGTTTGAATACGTGGACTTCCTACCTAGGCGGGACAAAAGGTCCAACCATGTTTTTTGTTTTAATGTTTTCTCAATATAGTTTCGTCATGGAAAAGGTTTGATCAAGTTCGCACTAGCGGCTTATTTTGTTTGTGGTATAAATTTCAATTTCATGTTTTAAATAAAAATATATAATTTAAATTAATTTATATATTAGTTGTAGTTAATAATTAAAATAAATTTAATAAAATTAGTTTAATTTAATTTAAATTAAATGGACATTAAATGAGACACTTAAAAGTATATCTATTTTTTAATAAATATGATCAAATATAAAAAAATAAATTAAACTCTTTAAATACAACAAATAATTTACAAACAATAATCAATTGTAAAAATTAAATATTATTATCATTAAAAATAAAAATTATAAATTTATTTTAAAAGTTATAAATAAAGTACTAAATAAAAAAATATAAATTTTACAAGACTAAAATTTATATTTGTTAGTTAAATATTATATTATTTATTATTCAAAGTTGTAAACTTAAGTAAATAAAATTTTTAATAATTTAGTGAATGATAAATTAATATAAAAATATAATAAAAGTTAAAAAATATTTTTAAAAATTATATATATATAATTTATTATTACAGTTGTAACAAAAACTAAATATGTGTAAATATTTTTTATGAGATAAAATATTCAACAAATAACAAAATATTAATTAATAAAATTTTAAGTCAGGAGTAATAATAAAAATTAATATTTAAAATATTATAAAAAATTATTTTTAATTAAAAATTAATATTTCATAAATTTTGATATATTATTTTAAAAATCATAAATTACAATAAATATATAATTAAAATTATAATAATAATATTTTATTTTATATTATATTCTTAATATGAGATAAAAGATAAAAGATAAAAATAAAAATTTTATTACTAAAAATTAAATATAATTTGAAAATGATGTTAAACTATAATATAAATGCTTTTAGTTTATGTATAGTATTTTATACTTTAATAATTAATTATTTAAAATATATATTTATTTATAAATATTTTATATATTTAAAAATTATGTTTTAATATTCATATAAGTATTTTTATTCATTTTAATTCTTGTTTTTATTAATAATATTATAGCAATAAAAGTATAACAAAACACTAATATAATAATTAAAATGTAAATTTTTTAAATATAAAAAGAATTCATAAATTAGTATGAATCATAAAGAATAAATATAATTTTAAAAATGAAATTATAAACAATTAAGGTGATGACTTAATGTATGTACATAGCTTACTGTGTGACCTAGGGTGAGTTCCTGTAGCATCTGGAAATTGAAGAGTTTTAGAAGAAGAAGAAGGAAAGCTGAGGTGTGTCCACTTGGAGAAAAAAGGGACTGTACGTGGCGGCAGACTATCATGGTTTTAAAACACGTGTGAAAAGGTTTAAGATCCAAATAGAAGACCAATGATAAAAGATCAATATGGATTTAACTGAGCCACAAGAATTTATCCTCACACCAATTTAAGAATACACATTTTTTAAAATATTTTTTTACCAGTGAATAAAAATATTTATTATTATTTAAATATTTTTATAAATACAATATTAATAAAAACAGTTTATATAAATTAAATAAAAACAATAATAAACGTACAAAAATGATATGAAATTTTTTTTAATCAACTTTTGAATTGTGAATAAAAATATATTATTTAAAAAGTAAACTATTTTATAAAATTACCTATATATGTGTTTTAAATTTAAACTTAACGAGCATTATATGTAAATTGTAAATTTTTATTATTATTTTAAAATTTTATATATTTTATAAACACTTATTGTTACTTTATAATTTTTTTATTATTTTATTTAGCTTTAAAAATTTCACAAATACATATATTTATAAAAAAATATATACTTATATAAATTTATATTATTTTAAATACTTATATTTATATTTATATAATTTATAATATTTAATATATTAGTTAAAATACTTTTAATTATTTTTTAATAAATACTCAGTTTTTTTTGTTAAGCATTAAATACTCATGTCAAGTTTTATAAAGAATGTATTTTTATTAAAAATGGCTAAATTTATAACTTTAATTAATTTTTTAAAAAATCGACATTGTTTTTATCAGTTTTTAATTAATTAATGATTAAAACGTGTCTAGTGTGTTAAAAAATTATAGCAAACAGGTGTTTGGTTTGATATTATATATATAAAAATATATAAATATAAAATTTCAACATTTTTTGTGTGTATATAAATTAAAATAATGGAGAGCATTTTGTGGAGTTGTTTCGGGTGTCATTGTTCTTATTTTATCCCTCCTTTGTTTTATCATCAAGTTCTATTTTATAAATGCATTTAAATCACGTAGGATATGATTCATTCAATTATCAATAGTTATTAGTCCTCTTTTTTAGGGCTAGGGTACATGTATCATTTTTGGAAGAATACATATGATAACTTGTTGACTCATTAGAGTGGTAAGACTCAAGCCAAACAATATATTAATGCAAGTCATTTGGCAAACTGGTGATAAACTTTTGCCTAATGGGCAAGTGAAACTCATTTTAATGCAAGTCATGCACTTGGCAGGTGGTTTAAGCAAGCATGTAGTACAGTTCTTCATCTTTCTTATCTGCTGTATCTTTTTTGCTCTCATGACTTGAGATGCCTGTTAAGAAGTATCAATACTAACGATGACAATCATATTGACTTCATGTTTTTGAAGTGCGAACTTGAACCACACATTGAATTCACATAATTCTATTTAGTATTTTTTTATTAATTTATTTGAGTCAGATACACCATTTAAAAATGTACTCTTAAAATAATAATAATATATTTGAGTCATGGTTTTTATTGTGACTATTTTCACAACGGGTAGAAATGTTTTAACAGTCAGAATCACATTTATGCATAAGTATGTAGTTTGTACTTAACTATTTTAATTTATAAATCAAATTAATTAATATCCAAAACACTACAATTAATTGAGATGATATCAAAAATAACGATTCATTATTTAATAATCGGTAAAGGTTGTTTCGTTACCCACATCTCTCTGTATATATTTGAAAAAATTTACTCAAATAAAAATAAAGTATGAAATATTTATTTAAAATAAAATATTTGATCAACAGTTTTAAAAATTTATCCATGCAATATTCACTGTGACAATTAAAAAGTTCGTTTACAATATATCATTTTAAAAGATATGGAGTTATTTGAAAAACAGAATTTTAAAATAATTTATATGAACAAAATAACTTTTAAAATTATGTATTTAAATTTTTGAAAACTTTGATACATGCAAAATAATTTATTTGTGCAGATCATGTGCGATTTAGTAAATAAAATTTGAATTATGTATAATTTAAATTTTTAAAAATTTACGCAAAATTTAAACTATAAGAACTAAATATTGCATTAGAAAAATTTAAAACTCCATTAAAAATATTAAAATTATTATTATTATTATTATTAAAATAAACCCATTAACAAGAAAAGATAAAGATCTTCCTATCATATTTATTGTTACCATTGGTCATGTGTTGCATGCGCAGCTCACCTACATTTAAGTTTTGAAGTGTATATAATAATTAAATATATTTAAAAAAAACAGACTATTATATATTATAAAATTTTAATTGAAATGTACTTACTGTATAAATTTTAAAATTTATTATTTAATTTTAAAATATATTTGCACTATATTTTTATTTAAATAATAATATATATTTTATATTAATAATATATTAAAACTACACTCATATATAAGTATATAATGATACATAATTAAGAAAAAAATAATTTGATAATTTATTATTTAAAAAACAAAAATTTAAATAAATTTTTATATTAAAATTTTTAATTGAGCCTTGTTAAAATATTTTTTATTATAAGCTGGTCACTTCTATTTGATTTCTACAAATGTACAAGCATTTATTTTATTTATTCTTATGTTTTTTGTGAAATATAATATTTATAAAAATTAAATGAAAAATATAATAAAACAAAAATAAAAAGTAAAAAGTATATCATAAAAATATTAAAAATAAAAAAATTAACAAAAATAATCAAATTTCTTAAAACAGGCAAAAACATAAATTTGTGATTTGATTTGATTTGATCATGTTAAGATGGAATTATGTATCAACAATTCCAAATACTGTTGAAGATAATGAGGTAATAACTTACTTGGCTCACCACCGACCATGGGTTGCAAAGTCAAATTGCTGTTTTTGTTGGGGGTGTAATACTAATTTTTCGTATACCTAATTTTGAGAAATTAGAAATAATTTAGGACGGGATTGGAAATTCGCATGTCTACGCTACCCTGCGCACAACTCGTCTAAGAAGGGTTTTTTGTCACCCTTCCATTCTCACTCACCCACGCAGTTCTCTCTTCTCTTCTCACTCGGCAGAAGAGAGAGAAATATCCAATACCTACCCTACTTCCAATCCAATCTGTCTCTGCCAATTTATCCCTTTCTTTTCCCTTCTCTTCTATTTCTCTTATCTGTTTATTCGTTGTGGTTCCGCGACGCTGAATCTATTACCCTCTGTTTAATCGACGGCCAAGATTGCATCCTGAGTTATGCAGAAAGGTGATCAAACGGTGCTAAGCTTGAGGCCTGGTGGTGGTAGAGGAAGCAGGCTCCTCGGCCCTCGATTTGACTCCTCTTCATCCACCTCTTCTGCTTCTCCTGCTTTTGGCTCCTTTTCCGCTGATCTCCCTCTTTTGCGCCCTCATGGTGCTGCATCCTCTCCATTTTCTATCAAGGTATCAATTCGTTTTCTCTGGATCTGCCTTTTTCTCTTCTTAAATATTCGCTTTCTTAATTAAACTTTAGCTATATGTGTTTTTTCAAATTTATTGAGATATATTGATATTGCTATTGTGTTCTATTTGATGTCATGGAGTTGGAAGGATTCTGTTCACCAGCATGCTATTCTTTTTTTTTTCTTGATTTGTAATAGGTTATGGTGTGTGTGTGTGTTTTTTTAAAATATTTTCATGTATATTTTTTGGATCTCGTATCAACTTTATGGTGGCTCTTTTTTATTTTTTTTTCCTTTTGAATTTAAAATTTGAGGCTTGTGCTGAAGTTTGGATTCAGGAAATAATATGTTTCCACCTGTTGACGTTCATTGGCACTCTTGAGACTTTTTTGTGTGTTTTTTTGTTTGTTTGTGCAGTGCATCGATTTGAATATGTCTGGATTTCATGTATTTAACTAATTTGTTTGACACCAAAACCTAAAGAGAACTCTTCAAAAGAACCAACTGGCAGAAACTTGAAGGGAGAGAAAGATGTATCTCCTGTTATTACTGTGCTTGTTCAACTTCTATGAGGATTTAAGTTAAGGTCCTTAAGACAAAGGGCAACCTGAATTTGGATGTCCTAATTCTTGGTGGGACACTAAGTATGTGTACCTGCTGTAAATATGGACAGAAAGCAATATGTGGGCTTTAGGTGGGATTGACTAAATTTCAAATTGCCCATAAAGGTCCCACATACATGAAGCTTAATTTTAGAATTCTGGTGAATGTGGCAACTTCTTTGTAGCATAGAAACTGATATCATTTGCTTGATACCCTGGTCTATTTTTGTTTTTCTTAAATAATTCATTTATTTACATTTCACACTGAGTAGTATTGCTTGGTTTTCTGTCCTTTTTCCCTTTCTGTGGAGTCAGTGTTTGGGAGGCTGCAATTAATTTTCTCTTCTTTAGCCACACTATGTGATTACTGATTGATTTATTTTTTGCTTGCTTATAAATTTTTATGCAATGATTTTTTATCACCATAACTCACAAAGGATACAGCTGAAAAACAATTGACAGCTGTGATGTTTGTGCATAGAACTTTTCGCTGAATTTTTTACCTTTCTTACGGCACTGCATATACTTTTGTCCACCTACCTCTAACATGTTCATTTTGAAGTTATATGCTTGAATGATAATGGTTTAATGTGTACTATGTTAAGGGATTTGCATCTAAAACCTTGTGGCTTTATAGGCTGGAGATTCGCGGTTTGAGGGTCGTGAACGTGTGCGATATACCAGAGATCAACTTTTACAGCTTAGAGAGGTAATTAATAAATGTACTTGCTGCTTAAATGTTATTGTTAATTAGTTATCCTTCTTCTGAAGGAGTTTTATTATTCTTATTTTTTATTTTGAAATCTACCTACTGCCTATGTGTTTCTTTCCCTATTAATTAGGAAATTGTGTCTACTCAACATTCTATGATGGTCAGTGATTGATTTTATCTTTCTAATTGTCCCTGTGTGTATATTGCCACGTGTGTGTGTTTTATTCTTTGTCTGAAATTTACTTATGTTCCCCAAATAGATGCTGTCAGGAATTTTCAATGGAAGTCCCTTGTTCATTAAGCAATCTATGTTGTTCCATAAATCTCTGGATAAATGTTTTGCATATTTATGTTTCATTCTTTTACCTCTTTTATCTATTCTCTCTGGACAATTAACTTCAAAACTGTGTATTTCGTTGTTTTTGTGACTAATACTTCCTTTGACATCTAAACTCATGTTTATTTTTCATAATTTGTCTGATTGTTGAGCCTTTTTTACTCATAGGCTGCTGAGATCCTTGATGATGTTTTAAAGATCAAACAAGATATTGAAGCTGAACTTTTTGGTGAAGATCAAAGTTGGGGCCGCTCAGAAAACATTGTGAGTGTGTTTTCTGTCTCCATTTTATGCTGTTAACTTTCTGAGAGCCTAATTCTCCTCCATCCTGTTTGGTAAATTGATTTTGTGAAGTTGGTTAGGCTTGATTTATATTTGGCAATGAAATTATCATACAGGAGGAACTCTTCAATGAATAGAAAAACATCTAATGTTTTTATGAGATGCTGCTATTTTCATTCTTTTGATTGGTTTAATTCAATATTATCAGCTTTATGAATTTATTTATGAACATTTTCAAAATAGTAAGTTCAATTTATGTGTAATGATGTATATAATATCTTCTGCAGCCCCCACAACAATTTCAAAATCGATATACTGAGCCAGATAACCGTGACTGGCGTGGCCGATCTGGGCAACTTCCCGCTAATGCAGATGAGAGGTCTTGGGACTATCTCAAGGAGAGTAGGGAGTTTGGCAATACTAATCAGGCTAATCGTCAAGACCAATTGAATTCTCAGTTTGCAAGGGCACAAATCTCTTCTAACCAAGGGGTAATAAAAATTGACAGCAATGCTTGATATCTATTATGGAGTTAATATTTTAAGAGTTTAAATTTGATCCAGTGTTCGTGTAAAACACTTTACATCATCACTAAACAAGACTGATACATCATTATTATAAATATGTCCACTGTGTGGTTCACTCACTGTACAATTGATAAATTGTTTTATCTTTGTAATTCTTCTGTCTCTGTATTAATTCAGGGGGGACCTACTTCTCTAGTCAAGGCTGAGGTGCCATGGTCAGCCAGAAGGGGAAGTCTCTCTGAAAAGGATCGTGTCTGGAAGACTGTTAAAGGGTAATATGTTTTAATTTTTGGCACTTATAGTTTGGTGGTGATATCCTTTTGACTTTGATCTATGGTATCTTCTGGATTTCTCATGTGTGCCTATGTATTACTATTATGTTTACCCTGATTGCTAAATGAGAGATGTTAGTAATGCACTCTTTTTTACATGCTTTTTATTATCAGTGAATTTCAAATGGTCCCACTAAATGAGTGGTGGCACCCACTTGATTTCTTAGGTCTCATGAATTTCACCTGATAATAGAAGTACGTCAAAAAGACTCTTGAGTGCTGACAAATAAGTAAAAACAAAGTTGCAATCAATATCATTTTGTGGATCATACCATATTAGATATCATATATGGATTTGGATCCTCTAAAATGATCAAGTATGTAAAATGAGAAAGTAAAATCATGTCTATCATTGACTTGAAATAAAGCACCCCATAAGCTCAACCCACTTCAAATTAAGGGTATATACAGTCATACTTTCTTGCTTTGCACATTCACTTTAGAGGAGATAAATTTGTGAATAATAATCATATGTCAATACTGTGGGTTGTGATAAGATTTGTGTTTATTCATTTTTCCTGTATAAACTATTAAACTACTTTTTAAACATCTCTTATTTACCTTTTTCACTAATGCAATTCTGTTAAGATTCTTCAAAATTATGTTGTTCCTTATATTGATGTGCTAAGTACTGTTAACCATTTTAATGCAGAATACTGAATAAATTGACTCCTGAGAAATTTGATCTCCTGAAGGGTCAGTTGATTGATGCTGGCATTACATCAGCTGACATATTGAAGGTTCTTATTTTCTGTTAAAAATATATTTCCGTTTAAATCATTTTTCTTAATTGACTTGTTTGGCAAATGCAGGGAGTCATTTCACTGATATTTGATAAGGCAGTGTTAGAGCCAACGTTTTGCCCCATGTATGCCCAGTTGTGTTCTGATCTTAATGAAAAGCTGCCTCCATTCCCTTCTGAGGTACCTGGTGGGAAAGAAGTCACTTTTAAGCGAGTACTCTTGAATATCTGCCAGGAGGCTTTTGAAGGTGCAGATAAACTGAGGGAAGAGGTGAGACAGATGACTGCTCCTGAGCAGGAGATGGAGCGACGGGACAAGGAAAGACTTGTCAAGCTTCGTACCCTTGGAAACATCCGGTTAATCGGTGAGCTGTTGAAGCAAAAAATGGTTCCTGAAAAGATTGTTCATCACATTGTTCAGGTTATAGCAGGACTTGAGATTTTGCTGTTATATAATTTCTTGTTGGTTTGCGAGTATGCACTTATATGCATGGTTGACTGATACGTGGAACAGGAGCTTTTAGGATCTCCTGACAGCAGGGTCTGCCCGGCTGAGGAAAATGTTGAAGCCATATGTCAATTTTTTAACACTATTGGTAAGCAGCTGGATGAAAGCCCAAAATCACGGCGTATAAATGATATGTACTTTAGTCGGTTGAAAGAATTGAGCACCAACCCCCAACTTGCACCACGGCTGAGGTTTATGGTTCGTGATGTTCTAGATTTGCGTAATAATAACTGGATTCCAAGACGTGAAGAGGTACATTTACACAATATATACTTCTGAGATATATTATGACTCAATTATAGATGGTATTTTTTTTTTCAAGTATTAATGTTTACTCGTGTAGGTGAAAGCCAAAACCATCACTGAAATTCATTCAGAGGCAGAAAAAAATCTTGGACTGCGTCCTGGTGCCACTGCAAGTATAAGAAATAACCGTGGTGCAGTTTCTGGAGTTCAAGGAAATACCAACCCTGGAGGCTTCCCCCTTGCCAGACCTGGTACAGGGGGTTTGATGCCTGGGATGCCAGGGACCAGGAGGATGCCTGGGATGCCTGGAATTGATAATGACAACTGGGAGATGCCTAGGACAAGATCAATGCCAAGAGGAGACATGTCAGGCACGCAAACAGGGGGACGTGGCCAGTCTCCTTTCCTTTCCAAGTCATCAACTGTGAACACAAAGTTACTACCTCAAGGTAGTGGTGGTCTTATAAGTGGGAGAAATAGTGCCCTCGTGCATGGAGGTGGTGCTCCTGCTCCTCGTCCGTCAAACTTTAGTTTTGGTACTGAACCTGCTCCTCAAATTGCTTCACCTGTTAAAGCTGTTTCTGCCATATCCTCTGAGAAGCCACAAGCTCCAGCTGCCAAATTGAACACTGCTGATCTTCATCGTAAAGCTGTTTCTCTTCTGGAAGAGTATTTCAGTGTTAGGCTTTTGGATGAGGCATTACAGTGTGTGGAGGAACTAAAATCTCCGGCTTATTACCCTGAGCTTGTCAAGGAAGCCATTTCCCTTGCTCTAGACAAAAGTCCACCATGCGTTGAACCTGTTGCCAATCTTTTTGAGTATCTGTTCATGAAGAAAATTCTTTCAGCTAGAGACATAGGAACCGGGTGTATGTTATTTAGTTCTCTGCTGGATGATATTGGCATAGATTTACCTAAAGCACCAAATAATTTTGGTGAGATAATAGGGAAATTAATTTTGGCTGGGGGTTTGGATTTTAAGGTGGTGAGAGAAATACTGAAGAAGGTGGACGATGATCGGTTCCAGAAAGCAATATTTTCCTCTGCCCTGCAGGTAATTAGTTCTGCATCTGGACAAGCTGTGTTGGATTCACAAGCATCTGATATTGAGGCCTGCCAGAGCCTGTTCAAGTGAATCAGACGACTTTGCACGAGAATACTGATCTCTGTAACTGGATGAACCTCTCTGCCTTGTTTCACTACTTTCAAATTCCCTTCTCTTTACGCTCGCACTTTATAGAGCATTTTGTAATACAGTATGTTATAAAAGTGGAGCTTCCAGTATCAGGTATTTCCATCGAGTTGTATAATTTTTTTCTGATGTCGTAGAGGTGTTTATTGAGGGAAAAGTCAAACCATAAAGCTACGGATTTTGTTTTCCACTTGGCTAATCATGTGCCAAGAGAGTGGCCCATCCACCAAGGGGTCCAAATGTTTTTGTATTTCATTAGTTTCATTTTTTTCCTTAATTTTCTTGACAGTAATTGTTAAACTGGTCAGTTCATAAATATCATTGTCGTTATTTCCACTAATTTTTCTACTAACTGCATGTCTATTTTCTCACGCTTAATTCATCCCTGTAGATAGGGAGGTACGTCCCTTCTAGTTCCCACAATAATGTAGAAGGAAATTATCGTCCTTTGTTATTCAAATTAAAAATATAATGGAAATTTTCAATCTCTGTGTTTTCGTGGACAGAGCACATGTTTGTTTAATAGTTTAGTAGAATTGATTTTGAAAGGATTCAGAATAAAAGAATTATTTGCATTTGGAACATTTAAAAACGAGTTCAGAAGAATTACTTTTATATGGATAATATAGTGTAGTTATTTTTTAAGTAAGTATAAATATAATTTTTTTGGTCTGTTTCTGGTAAGTTGTTGGTTCGATGTGTCTCATTGTGGACAAACATTCTCATCGGTTTATTTTAATTCAAAATATTTTCGCGTTTTTTAAAATTAATTTTAAAAACCAAAAATGTTGTCAACCTAAGCGTCATGCATTGCCGCGGAACCGAATTTAATTGCTGCAAACAAAAGTTATTCAGATAGGTTCAAAGTAGTGGAACTCATATCAATAAATACTTTCTAGTTGTTTAGATTAAATCAAGAGAGAAATGAACGGAGAGATAGAAATATGTTCATTTGTTTGGGAGAAAAAAATTTAACAGGATATGAAAATTGTGGTGGGTGTAATTAATAGGCTATGCGACAAGACCTATTAATGGGTCCAATTTACCCTTACTAAATCACTAGAACATACATAAAGCTTTGACCTAAAATAAAACATACATAAAGCTAACGGGATTTATTGGGATTGTTCCCAAACCAGCTAGTTCTACAATCAGAAAAATTTATCCTATGGTTGTAGCATCACTTATGATCCTAGCTAGTCACAAAAACATACAGTTATTTTTTTAATTTTAAAATATAATAGTGTTATTTTGTGCTTAATTGAGACCGTAGACATATGATGATATTGGATCATACAATAATTTTTCTACAATTGAAAATTTGATTGCTCAAGCCTAACTGCACTCACGAAATTGGATACCACATTTCAATGTTTTATCTTTTCTTCTAATTTTATTGTTCAACCAAATACATAAAAGTTATAATAATCATTTTTTTGTTTCTATTGCTATTTATTTTATTTCTTTCAGCTTACAGATGAAATGTTAAAAAAAATATATAATTTATCTGTAATTGATAATTTGATATTATGATTTTTTTATACGATATAAAAGTTTTAAATATAATTACTCTCTTTTTAAAATTAATTTTAATTAATATTATATCCAAAATCTTTTTAAACGTTCACCAATTCTTGTTTTTGGTCTTGAGAAGACGCAGTAATTGCCTTTTAAATCTCCTCACAAGCTTCGCGCCTTTTTCTTTGCGACTCTCATCTGAAACAAATGGCAGAGGATGAAAGTGCGAGAACGAGCGATGAATCGATGAGGCTAGCGGTTGCAATATCGATTCTCCGATCGAAGGTTCTGAAAAACATGAAGGACTCTCCTTCGCAATCTGAGGCTCTTCTCCGTTGGAAGCGAAAGGTTCGAAACGCTTCCCTTTTTCCTTCTGATTCCGATCCATTTTTCCTTATAGCATTTGAATTTTCAGGCTAAGGAAAGAAAGCAAGAGATTCTGAGGCTCAGAGAAGATCTGAAGGAAGCTCAAGGTTCGATCTCCTACAATCGCATATTCACTACATCGGCGAATTCATTCTGAGTTTCTCGATGTCGTGTAGATGCTTCGCACTGCGATCTCTTCCCAGAGAGTGCTTCTTGCAAGTGTTATTTCTTCGACAAGTTGGGGGAATTAAACCCTAAGCATCATACAAATGGCTCTCACAGCAGATTCAGTGATGTCCTTCGCCGCAGGTTTCTGAGACAAGGTTTCATCGTTATCTTCTTCTTTGTTACGACACCGTGCTCTTGAATTCCATATTAACGTTGAAAATTTGCTTTATGTAGTGCGCTTTAAGGAAATGAGGAGAAGAGTAGGTTCTTCTTCTTCTTCTTCTTCAAGTCAGCAACGGCTTTCTTTAGGTATATAGCAATGGTATTTGTAGCTTGTGTGGTAATACTCAAGAGGTTATCTGTGTGTTTCATGATTTGTAGTTAGATTGGAGTTGTGCTAAATCTGTTTTCTTACTTGAAACTAAAACCACAGGTTTAGTTGAGGAGGATGAAACAGAGCAGCTTAGGGCTTCCGCTGATTTTCTTGTGGAACTGTGTGACTCTCTATCACCTGTCAGTTTTCAGTTTTTGCATTTTTTTTGGCCCAAAGGATACGTTTGATATTTAAATAATGTAGTTCGTTGTAGAGTTCGTAGAAATACTGGTGTTATTAGGTAGAATGTAAACGATACTTTTGGAGGTGCTGAGTTGATGTATTTTGTTTCGTCAAGTGGTCAATTCAATGTATTTTGCAGGTGGGTGATTACAAGTTTGCAAATCTGGTGCATCAAGCGGTAGACTTTATATTAGGTATTTTGCTCTTTTCACTGATTGAAGAGCTCTTCCTACCTTTTTTTTTCTAAAATAATAGTTGAAAATTACACAAGTAACCGCAATCATATTTCTTTGTTATCCACACTGATGATTATTTTATGTCTTTTCTGAAGTTTCTTTGAAGAATATTTTATCAATGGGAAGGAACCTGGAACTTGTTGAAGGAATTACCAACGTTCTAGTTACACGTTTAATTAGGCAGATGTGCTCGCCCTTGTCAGAAAATGGTATGCCTACTTTCAAACAGTGTAATATGTAAGACCATGAACGAGTGTGAAATTGTCGCATATGTGTGACCTTCATTCTGCAACTTCACCATTAAATATAATCGTTTATTTCTCAATCATTCTAATTACTGACTGATGATCTTTTTGTTGCCGTCTCCTTTTTCAAATTTGTATCTTCTAGGGTCTCAACTTACAGGCACCAATGCTCAATTTTGCATTCAGCACTTGATCCGTAAACTTGGAAGTGAGCCTTATATTGGTCAGCGGGTAATACTTTCAGTTTGTCAAAGAATTTTGGTGCTATCAGAACGTTTGCTTTTCTCTGATCCTTTTGATGACGGCTTTCCTGAGATGCATGAATGTATGTTCATAATGTAAGTTCTTTGCAAATGCACATTGGTAATGCTGGTTTGTCGAAAGGAATAGTGTTTTTTAAGACATATATTTATCTGATTTTTATATGTGGATGTCAGGATCCAGCTTATCGAGTTCTTGGTGGCGGATTACTTATTAGAGTGGTCAAAAGCTGAATATTTTGACAACAGTATGCTCCATACTTTCCGCCAATGTTTACTATTCTACCTATATTCTTCCTAACTGAAGTAATTTCATGGCATCCCGAGTCTTGATTTCTGTGACTTACAAGGCTAAAACAAATAAGAGTGTGCCCGCACCAGCATTTTATTTTCTCTACTATTATATTTCATTTTTATTATAAATTTTCTTTCAATTTCTGTCTTATCAATCAAATATGCTTAATTACTGTAATCATTTATCAAGATGAACCAAGGTTGGCAATTTAAACTTAGTGGCAACCAATCCATTACAGTGCTCCTCGAAGATTGGGTGACATCAATTATCCACGCAAGAAAAGCATTAGAACTTCTAGAAAGCAGAAATGGATTATATGCGCTCTATATGGACCGAGTCACAGGTGAATTGGCAAAACAAGTTGGCGGGATCTCATCGTTTCAGAAGCTTAAACCAGATATTATTAATTGCCTTTTTCGCTAAACATTGATTCATTGAGTAGTACGCTGATTTATGGCCCCATATAGGAAAATTGTTACAGGTGGAAATGAAAAGAATGTGATGCCTGGTAATGGACCTATTGTAAGCCAGAACGTGCTCACGTGCATTACTGGATGGACTTGCATGTGTACATCTTTTACTCCATGGTGAGTAGGGTTTATTAAAACTTTCAATCCCTTTCAAGATTATAAAAACTCCAAAACAGATGTTACCGTCTAACAAACTTTTTCCTTCCTTTCTTTCTTTAAAATTAACTCCCAAACACAGTTTAAGGAAATTAAAAAAAGAGCATATTCGGTGGAATGAAATATAACATTTTAACATGTTTTGCCCTGTTTTTTTTTTTTAAAATAATTCAAATAATAAAACTTAATTTTATGTCATTTTATTTTATTCCTTTTTTTATCAGTTCAAATATTCCCTGATTGGTATCTCTTGGTAACAAAATGCTACAAACCCTGCAGTATTGTCACTATCGATTTAATGGATTTTTTTTTTATTCCCTCGAAGAAAAATTGAATCTTTTATTGACCAAAGGTAAAACAAGGGCCAAATTTAAAATAGTATCAAAAAATTAAGAGAGGTAAATTTGGAATCTAATGCTACCGGATCATGGCGGTAACCATTTCTGTACATTTTCCTAACAAAAAGAATAAAATCTAGATTGCCACCATCTCAGTCTTAGCCAAATTAAAGGGATTAAATGAATCTCACTCAGCCGAAAGGGTCTTCTTATTTCTCTGGATTTTGATTTGATAAGGCCTAGGAATGGCCACACCAATAGAGCAGGGACTAACGAATCCCACTATGCATCTAGTTAGGCGGAGGGGAAAATAAGAAATAGATGTTCCACAAGACGTGTTAGAACTTAAAAAAAAAAACTTCCAAAAGGAACCCGTCCATGAAGTATAAAGTAAACAAATATTTTTATCAATTTAATTCAAATTATATCATAACCTTAAGAGGAATGCTATCAATTTCACTAAAATTTATTGTTAACTCGTAATTACACCTTTTCTTGTGGGCTCTAGTGCCCTGAAACCTACAAGCAAATGTCCCAACCAAGTTCAACTTCACATAACAGTCAAAGGATGTCCTTATTATTATTATTTTTTTGTCACTACAGTTATAAAAGAATGAATTCTCAACCAATATTCAAAGGATTTTCTTGACTAAAAAAAGTCAAAAGATCTCCTTGGTTATTTATTTTTCCGTCACTACAATTATAAAAGAATGAATTTTCAACAAATATTTCAAGATTGGCAATATTTCATTAAACCAAAAGAAAGTCATACACTAAGTTAACAAAATTATTAAATAAATTAAATAAAATATTTTGAAGTATCTTTTTTTATAAAAAGAAATCATTCTTAAATTTTTTACAGTTTGCATGAGAACTGGAGATTACAATTTTATTTTTATTTAAACAAAAATGATATTATCTCTCTTTTTTCTCTTAGTCTCTTAGTTCTCCCTCTTCTTTTACTTTCTTTTCTATTCATCTCCTTCTTTTAAATCCCTTTTCTTTTTTTTCCACTTAGCCTTCCTTTCGCTTTCCTTTCCACCCTCTCCTCTTTCTGCTTTTCTCTTTTTCCTTCTTATTTTTTCTTTCTTATCTCTCATTTAAGTAAAATTTTTTATTTTTGTTTAAGTAAATTTTATTAAATTAAGAAAAAATTATTTTTTTGTGTATTTTATTTAAGCAAATTATTCGCTTAAGCAAAAATAGATTGTAAGCTGTAATTTCTACTAAAACTATAAAAAATCCAAATTCATTTGAAGAGGTAACACCAACCATTTGTGTGTATATTTTGTAAAAGCCTTCTCGTTGATCCTTTCCCAATGAAATTAATTTAGTTCAAAATAATAAAATTGCCTCCCTCAGTTTCAAAAGGTCCAAATGTCATTATAAATAATGAACTTGATAAGTAATCCGAGTGCATCTCTACAAACAACTTCCCTTTTTCCTATTGCCTTAACGCCACCAATCACATTCACTTGACATTTTACATTCAATAAAGTTCAAGAATCAAGATATGAACAAAGCACCAGCTATATGGTTGCCTGTGCTAACCGCGAAATCCTTCTTTGTTGGGCAGCACACGATTCTGGAAATGTTCTTTGCATGCATGGTTTGCTTGATTCCATAATCATATCGTTCATTGCTGCATGCAAGAGAGTTGTTTGTTGTCAAAATGACCAATTTGGACGCGAGTTTCATGCAAGAAATAACATGAAAATATAAGAAAAAGAAAAAGTAATAAACAGAGAAGTTCGAATAAAAATTGATTACGTTTAGGCTCCTTTCGTTGCTTGGTGGTCCTAAAATCTCTGGTTTGTACGTGCATGTGCTTCCATAAGCTGAATACGTAAGGATGCTGAACAGCATAAAGAAGAACATTTCCAGAATCGTGTGCTGCCCAACAAAGAAGGATTTCACGGTTAGCAAAGGCAAGACCGAGCAACTTAAAGCCACGCAATGTTGGGAGTGCATCAAACTCCAATTCAATTAAACCTTTATCCATATTCCTGGTGGCACTCAGGCATCTTGTTTTCGGCTTGCTTTTAGCTCCTTGCTTCTTCTGAATTACTTAGACCGGAATGCTCGTCTGTTTCTATTACCTTGGTATCCAAAACGTGCTTAAACTATATATATATATTATACCCATATGTTATATTTACTCTTATTCCATTAATAATTTAATATTTAATAAGTTGTAGTCTCAAATATGAAATTATATATATAACTGCATTTTTAAAACTCCTCTGGGTAAGTTTTCCATAATGTGGATGAAATCAAAAAGCTGGATGTCTTGCTGACTCGGTGCCAATATCCTCTCAATGTCTAGAGACATCACTTCATCTAGAACGAAATCATAGACAGCTGGCTAGTACTCTGAATAAAAAGTGACCTGATTCAAACTACAGAATCACAACTCACCTGAACGATTATCCATCGATCGATTACCAATTTCAAGTTCTAGCAGTAGAAAAATACCCATAAACATAAATATTGGAACCATGAGGTTCCTCTATTTAAGAAAGGGGGAACAAAAAAAAATGTTAAATTTAAGAACATTAATTCTGGAGATAATTGGTTATGGTAGATGGCTAAGAACATACAAGAAGTAATACCAAATAAAAAAGAAATAATTAGAACACTACCAGGTAAATCCAGTATATGAACTTGAGATAACGATCTTTTACAGAAATACATGGCAGATTCATAGAAGCAAACAACATATAATTACATAGACAATGATAATAATTTCTACAATATATATTTGAGTGTGACAGTAACCATATAAACTCCAGTAAGATCTCCACAGATCAGCAGAAAGAAGATGGAGTGATGGACTCACAGCATTTACATCTTGGATTGATCTTATTATCAATGCTTAGATTCGGAAAACATCTGTTTGGAACCTTTCATCATACAATCTCCAATGTCCATATCTTTCAGTGTGGAAGACAGCCCTCGGAATATAGAAATTTGGCTTTTTAATGTCTTTCAAGTTCGCCAAACTAGATGATGCATTTGCAATGTCTCGACTAGTTAAGTTGGCACACCCATACAAATCCAAAAGCTCAAGGTTAGGACACCCCTGACATATAAAATTGAGGCCCTTAGCTGACAACTTGGAGAACCTTATCTCAAGCCATTCTAAATGAGGCATAGAATTTGCAATGGCAGCAGCTTCAGAATCTCCATCTTGCGGACAAGCATTTAGATAGTCATCAGGAACAATCCCTTGATGTTGGGAAGGATCAAGCCAATTCATGAGATTTCTCTTCAGAACTTTAAGGTTGGGACACTTTCTTCCAATCAGCACCAAAGAGTCATAGGTTATATCATAGCAATAGCTTATGTCAATTTCCCTAAGCTTTGGACAACTCAAAGCTATCCTAGAGATAGAATCATCAGTAACACGAGGGCAGCTTCTGACTGACAACACTTCAAGATTTGGGCATCTGAAACGCAGTACATTATATTCAAAAACAACAAAAAACAAAACAAGGTGATGTTTCAGATGTTGCACATGAGATAAAGGCTATCCTTACTTTTGGATAAAAGAAAATTAAAATTTGAATTAAAGGAAAAATGTGAGGAAAGAAATTTTTAAATTTTTGTTTTTAAAAATAAACTTTCTCGTTATCTTTTTGTTCTTAGTTTTTACTTTCCTCTCATCCAATGATGCCTCAAATGTTATATTCACAATACAAGGCACAAACCATCATATAAACAGAAAAGTTAAAATATTACAATCACAGAATCAAAACCCTAATGAAACATCATAGCATATTTTCAAATCTCAAATCCAATCAGAAGCACCAAATTGAGACCCAATTCCGAAAAAAGAGGAGGGGCATAATAAACAGAATCATACACGCGGTTTCTTCATTGGAAAACAAATGGGTATTGGAATTTGTGAAAAAGCTGCTACCTTTCTGCGACCAAAGAGAGAGAGCGATCAGAGCAGTGGCGGAGGCGAATCTCGGTGAGAGAGGATTGTGCCCATTGGGCCACCGATCGAAGCATGGAATCGATCTTGGCTTCAAACTCGGGGGTCCACCAGTGAGTCGACTCGCGGGGCGAGTCGAAGAAGGGATCGAGGTTGAAGATGGAGTGAAGAGAGGGTTCCTTGAAGGCGCTGAACCATGACTTGCAAACGAGCATAGTGCCTCTCCATCGATCCTCAAGGGTGATTCGACAGAGGATGTTTATGAGGCACTCGCGAGTCAACTCGCCCCACTCTGACTCGGTTTCTTCTTCCTTTCTTTCCATTTCCATTCTCTGTTTTCCTCCTACAGAGCCTTCTGTTTTATGTATTCTCTGATCGGATTAGATTCATTCGCAACTCAGTCCTCTAGTTAAAAAATGTTACCTTATTATGAGATTATTTTTTTATTTTTTGTCATAATAAGTATTTGTTAAAAAAAATTACTTAAATTATGGCGTACTCTTATCATCATTTTTAATATGCTTATAATATAATTTTTAGTAACTTTTTATTTGTTAACTTTTTAATGAGTAGGTTAAAAACGCTTGTTGACAAAATTTATGTACTAATTGTAATATGTCTATAGATTTGCTTATCATTGCCTAATTAAAAAATCAATTTAAAGATTTTGTTTCAAATATTAATAACATTGAATAAGGAGAAAAATTTTGAAAATAAATTATGAAAATCAAAACATGTAATCTTTATTGATATGACATATATATTACAATAAGAAATTTAAATAAGCTTAATTAATATTACAACGTCTAATATTTTAGTTATATATGTTAATTTTATATAGTATATTAATACTTAGAATTTAAATTAAGTAAATTACATCCATATTGGATATTGGATGTCAACTTATATTTTTTTTTTCAAAATAAATATGATTGGTTAGTAACAAATGCGATACCTATTACGAGTAGAAAAAAGAGGGAAGTGTATATTTGAATATCAGTATTTTGTTATCAATATTTCAAATTTTACGGGGATCCTAATAACAGGTATTTAAGAAATGAAAACTAAGGTTTATGTCTCCTTCACAAATAAACCAAATCAACAAAAACTTCACTCCTTTCAATTCCCTATGCCATAGTTCCCAGCATCCACCAAACAAACGATGACATCGACCAAGATGGCACCACAACCACCGTTCATCGTCGTATCTTTAGTTTGTCAGAGAACAAACACTATGAGTGGAGCAACATGTTAAAGGGTCTTTCTGGTTCTTGGTGTGTTGGTTCTTCTCATGGTTGGCTTGTGATTCTAGACAAGAACGCAAAACCTATTTTCTAAACCCTCTTTCTTCTACAAGAATTCACTTGCCACCCTTTCCTCGTGCATTCATGCACCCTGCTTTCTCACAATCCTATTTTGTCCAATTCCTACGTAAAAGCTTCGTAGTCAAGGCTGCACTGATGTGTTCTTCTGCCTCTCATTCAGAGTACTTACTTGTCATAATATATAGTTGCCAAGGTAAGATTGCGTTTTGTAAATCTGCAACGTGGGTTGAACTTTTTGGTGCTACTCGCTCTTATTGTGACATTGTGTTCAAGAACAATTATCTTTATGCTTTGGCACAAGATCGGTCAGTTGAAGGATGGGATATTTGTCAACATGTTCCAAGAAAGATCTTGGATGTTAAGCCAACCATGGAGATAGATGAGGAATTAGAGACAGAATTTTCAAGAGATCTGTATTCAATAAAGTCATACTTGGTTAAATCAGAGGGAGAGATGCTGTTGGTGATAAGGTATATTGGAAATTTTGTAAACGATGATGGGGCAGCTGTTGATGAAGGATATCTTTTATCATCCATGGATATACACCCTTTGCTTTGTCCTTACCAAACAAAGCACTTTAGTGTGTATAAATTTGATTTTAGAAAGATCAAGTGGGAAAAGGTGAGATCTTTACCGGATCAAGTTCTGTGTCTAGGTGCTAATGAGTCCATGTCAATATCTGTTCGAGCCTTTTCAGGATGTCAACCAAACTCAATTTACTTCACAGATGATAGGTGGTTTGAGATGAATTTGGATTATTTATATGGTGGGCATTATTGGGCTTGTTTCAACCTGCTAGATAGAACTTTCAACCATTTTAGTCCAAGTGCGTATAAGCTTGATCCACCGCCTATTTGGGTCATTCCCACTCCTGATAGTTACCATGACATGCTGACTATGTAGTATTAAAATTAAATTATTATTAGAGATTAGTTAGGATTGTTAGTAGTTAGTTAATTTCATAGGCTATATAAACCCTCTATCTCCTCTTGTAATTCAACCTTTTCACTCATTCAGATTAATACAAGTTTACTTTTCTTCCATTTTAGTTCTTATTTGTTCTGGGCCATGTTTCTTGACAACGTCCTTTTTTGGGATTATTGGACACTTGTTGTAGGGATTAACATTTAAATGATTATATGGGTTGTAATTTAAATTTGTCAGCTTTCTGTTTTAATTACTTTGAATCTATAACCTGTCTTCCAAGTCAGATTTGTCAAACTTGAAAGCATTATTGTCATAATCAAGAAGCGCAGATTAACAAGTTAAAACCACACTTAGAATGTAATGCATTCTTTTCTATTTAAAAAACGGAATTGAGCAGCAACATAATGCTTCCAGCACTGAATATCGATTTGTATGGTAGTCATGAATCATGATTCCACGGGTTTACTATCATAAGAGCAACATGAGAACTTAGAAAGGGCCCAGCCATAAAGAAAAAATCGACAAAAGTATAAAGATAACGCTTTTCAGCATAAATGATGAGAATAATATTATACAGTATGGTAAATTGACAACACCACATTCAATTTGACAAAGAAAGGGGAAGAGAAGCGTATCTTATGTTTATTTATTTTATTTCTCATTCCTATTTCTCAGCAAACATAGATGATCCCAAAGGAGAAAAAATAAGGAGCAAGAAAGCTGGCATGTCAAGATCAAACCCTATAGACACGGATCGAGATCGGATCGAGATCATCTTAATTGTAAAAAAACTTCACATGATGTAGTGTTAAATCTGACCTTCGATATTAATAAACTAATTATTTAAATGGGCAAGATAGTTATTTCAATGGGACAAGATTCTCTTGAATGAAAATGTCACTGGAGAGGATCCATTTTCCCTATAGATACCTTTATTCTAAAAATAATCTCACTCTAATTTGCAAAAGAAGTTGTGATTTGTGAGGGAAACAGATTTGTGAGGCAAGATAGCCACTCTAAGAACTGGATCTAGATTGAACCTACATTACTTAAGTCATTTCTTTTGCAATCTGGAATCCTTTCTCAATATATCTTACCCTGTCTATGACAATGCAAGCACAACTTTTTTTAAAAACGAATTAGGATAAACCAGAGAAGAAAATACAACAGTAGACATGTGCTTTGTCTTTAAATTTCAAGTTTTACCTGAAAGAACCCAGTCTGTATTTTGAAAATCACTGTACAAGTTCAGTCACTAGAAGTACTTAATGCATTTCAACAATAAACCTTGAAGGTAATCAAGTCTTGGTTATACTTTTCATCGAATTATATGTATTCAAACTTAAGTAATGTGAAAAGGTGAAACCAAAATTAAAACAGTCGTCATGGTCATATCAAGAAAGAGAGGTTTAGAACTAGATCCATCACAATTTCAAATCATTAAATACTCAAGACATTTCTGAAACTCAGGCATTTAAAAGATCCACTAAACTCACTACCACTTCATCTCCCACAGAAAGAGAACAGGAGGAAAATAAATTTCAATTATCAAGACTCGTACTCCAACACCTTCTCATAAACAAAGTTGGAGAAGCTACCCTACCATCAACTCTCCCAAAATAAATAAACATAACATGCGTGTAAGACTCTCACTTAAGGATGATAACTGCAAGCTAGGGAAGGTAAAGTAGAAAGGGTCATATGTAGATATTTGCTATCAAAGTATTATACCTAATCAAGGAACAACATGGACTATAAAGTCCCTGCAGTTCGCCAAAAAAAAAAAAAAAATGTTGTAGAGCTTCAATAGCAAAAACAAGAAATCTTACTAACTATCAATTTCAACAAGCATATAGACTTAATTTCAGTAATTATATGCATATGATCAACTACCGAGCAAGCCATCAACATCACTTCTAGGCTTCTACCTCTATCATTATCTTCTACAGCATGAGTAACCCCCATTTCCTTTTCACAATTTGATAACATAAACACCCAAATAAATCCATAGATCAACAATAACATTACCGTACCAGACAATTGTCCACAAGACTTTAATACTTTTGAGTATCTGTGCTCAACTTAAACACCATCAGATAAATGATGCAGATCACAAATTGACCAACTCCAGTCTCAATGACAATCAGAAATAAGAATCCATCAGTTTCAGCGGCGTCCATTACAGAAGAATCACGCACAGTAAAGAAGATGAAAAAAGGGGACAAACCCAACCCAAAAGGATTAGTATTGTGCATAGAGAGGACGCCTGTATTCATCAAAGTACTGATCACGATCAACGAAGACAATGGCATAGAGGGCATAAATTATGCCAGGAATATACCCTAATATAGTGAGGAGCAAGCAGATGATGAATTCAACCTACATAAATACAGATCACAATCGAGTAGTAAGAAATTCCAACGAACTGAATCATATCATACAATATCAGATCCATCATTTCATCGCCTTTTAGCCCAAAATTATTTTTATTTCACAGCATCAAAAATTTACTTTGTTCAATGTTTAACCAAACGCAGCCATAAAAAAAAGATGGGGGGGGGGGGGGGGGGGGATTTGATTTTGAATAGTTAATTAAGAAAGAGGGTAAAAGGGGTTGTTTGGGTAATGAATTGCAAGGGGAAGAGAGAAGGAGAGAGAAAAGCATAAACATACACTGCAACAACCGTGGCGGAGGCAAACACCCAACGGAGGGAGCAAGACTGCGATCATTATCTCGCAGCACATTTCACAACGTGACGGCATCTTCTTCCCCTGTAACGATGATGATGCTTCAGACTTCACTTGTCAGATATGCGAACTCAACAACGTGTGATCGCCAAATATCCAACCAGCAACGTTTGTTTTAGTACACTTATTAAAACAGTAAAGTTGAAAATGCTGTACAGTACCAAGAACAGAAAGGACACGTGTGCATATTCAATTCAATACGTTATTTATTTATTTATCAAGTGAGGAAAAAGAGATTGGTTAGGGTTTTACAGAAATTATGAGTGGTGGTTCTTTGTTTACAGTTTTGACACTACTTTCATTCATAATTTTTTGTATTAAACATTATTTCTCAAAATGTTAATATCAAATTTTAAAACTTAAAAAATTATCATGTTAATAATTTTTTATATAAAAAAATTATATTTTAAATGTTTCTCCGTGATCTTAAAAAAATCTAATTAAATAGATTTAAGTAGTGATGATGTATAATAATTTATTTCTAATTTTTCAGTAGTCCTTTAAATTTAAGTAAAGTTTGACGTAATTTTTTTTATTTAACTTAAGTGTCTAAGTTATTTCTTAAAAAATAAAATAATTTTTAACATTATTTCTTAATTTAACTTAAACAAATTTTTACAAATATTAGCAAGTAATTATTATTATTAAATTTATTTTAAAAACATAAATATTTTATAATTTTTAAGATATTAAAAGAATTGTCGTTATCAATTTAAAGAAGATACTTATACCATCAAGTACCATATTAGTATATTGGATAAAAATTTTATTTTTTTATATATTTTATTATTAAAATACTATCCAAAATTTTTAAATCATTGTTAAAAAAAATTATTTATCAATAAATCATTTCTACTAATTACTTATTTTCATCTTTTTTTTATTGTAAATATCTAACAATCACTCCAAAATTATCACTCATCAAATATCATACATTTATAATTTTTTTTGTTGATATTTTTATGTGAACCCTTATCTACATTAAATACTAGATGATTTTTCAAAACAATAAAAATTAGAAGTTAAAGTTAAGTTTTAGGAAAACTTTTAATGCAAACAAAATAGATAACTAAATTGAAAATAAAAAGTATGGGGATAAAACTGAATCTCCACTCAAACTAAGAGGATAAAAAGTACAAGTTACCTTAACTGAAAAAACAAGTTATAGTCTCTAAATAAGCAAGTTTGTTGATGACAAGTTAGTTATAAGTTTAACTCGTAACATGAAACTTTTAGCTTATAACTAACAAGCTAATTTAAGTGTTGTAATTTATAATTAAATGATTGAACTATAATTATTTGGTAAAACTAGTTGTATGATTAGCTAAAATGCGTTAAATGTTAAAAAAAATATTAAAGTTACTTTGTATGAACATAGTGAAAGATGACAACGTGATAGTTTAGTGTGAGATTAGTATTTAGTGAGTCACATTAATAAGGAAACAATGATTGAATCAATAGTACATAGTTATTAACGAATAATTTAGTTCATCAATAGTTACACGAGTGACACAGGTAGTTTCGATGGTACGGTGATGACACGAATCTGAATAAGGAGAAGAAGATATAACAAAGAATCTCAATAAAAAGCTAATGATAGCTACTCTCAAAAAATGTTTAGATGACTCAAAGATGCACTAAAGATACTTAATTGTTGCTTACCTTTTCAATTTGTCAACAAACAAATGAGTCTCGTATTCTTAGTTTTTTTTTAAATATTTATTTATTTATTTTAAATAATTTCTTTGTCTGAGGTGGTTTTTACTGCGTCATCACTAGTTTTACTAGCGTATGTTAATTCCTTTCACTTTTCCCAAAGGTGGAGGCCATCACTGGAAGTCACTTATCATGTAGTTTTGAAAATAGGAATCAGGTCCCAGAGGGTAGGCAGCTGGTCAAAGTTATGAAGTGAACCCTTTTGACTCACTGTAATTAATTAATGTTAGGAGATTGGTAAAATGAAATCATATCCAATAAGAAATTATATTTTGAAAATAAATTCTAATTATCTTTACTCAATATGGTATCCTTCTTTCTTTTAAAAATTATATATATATATATATATATATATATATTGATATTACAATTTTAATACTTGATAGGAAATTTTTTTATATTATGATATCATAATATATTGATATTATTTGTTTTAATATATATACATACTATAAAATATGTTTTAATTTTTGTTTTATACTTTATTAATTTTATTACTTAACTATAATAATGATAAGATTAATTATTTTATTTAAAAATTATATTTAATTCAACCCTGTTTTATTATTACGATGTCTTAATTAAGTTATAATAGAGTTAAAAAACAATTTTATCAAATTTTTGGACCAAATAAAAACGTTTCACCGTTGTTATATGCGGCATGCATCCGCACGCGCTGCCTAAAGCTACTGTGTGTGGTCATAACAATCACGTATGTATCAAACAGTACTCTCGCAAGTGGGCTTCACAATTCACCAACCTCCGCATGCAGGATTCAATGCGTCTTATCTATCAACAGCTTCCATTCATGCCCACGTAGGCCCTACCTGGCCACGTCATTGGAAACGTCAACGTTGATTTTTACAAATTTTTTGAGGAATAAATAATACTAATACTTATTTAACAAACTCTTTTTAGCTAAATTTATTAAAATTAAAAAATTAAATTGCTGGTATTTTTTTATATTTATAATTCTAATATTTTTTAATATATAATTCTAATATTTTTTAATAAATTTTAAAAATGAATTGTTTGTATTTTTTTTCAAGAATAAACTGTAGACTGATGTTGAAAGTGTTTAAGCATTAGCTGACGTTGACATTGATCAGGACTTCTTGGGAGCATATTTTGACCGTTGACCTATATTTAATTTGATTATTCTATCATATTATCTATGGCATTTATTTTTTTTTACAATATTATGGCATTTAAATGAACAAGATGGCATTCTTTTAAAACTTAAAAAACAAAACATAACAGCTACTATAATTAGTTTTGACTATCCCATTGTCAAATATAAATTCCTAATAAAAACAATAATAATAATTATATATTTTCTGACATGATAAAATAAAACAAAAAAATTAATAAATTTTTTGTATTAACCTCAAATTTTAAGAATAAACAGTTAATAATAATAATTTTTTATTATTTTTTTTATAATTTTATTTATTTATATATGTTTAAACCCAGTCATAAAAATTGAAATTAACAAAATATTAAAAAAAATAATGCAATGAAATATGAGATGTTATACTCGAACAACATCATGAGAATATACGAGTGACCACTCTCCCATTCAAGTATATGCTTCTGTTGCCAAAACAAAAAACAAAATAAGAGTCCAAATAAAGAATCTAACGAATCTAATTGCTACAAAATCTCTCACTTTGGCGTTCACGTGGACACCATTCAACCGAAGAAGGAAGTGTTTTTGTCAATGCTGTGTTGAATAGAATCGATTCGATTGACTACAATTTTTTGAACAATATATAGAAACTTAGCAGTAAACAACATATTATTTCTCGTGTTAATTTTTTTAATTTTTTAAATACTGCTTTTAAATTTAATTTCAAATCCAATCTAATATCTAACTTAATATGCTTTATCAAATTGAATATATATTTCCTTTTTACACAAGTTAAAATTTAAAATTATTATAATATTAACTAATATAAAAACTTAATTTTCATATCGATTAAAATGATGTCTCTTTATTTGAATATTTTTCAATAATTTCCTTCTAAAATCTAAGAATCTTATCTCCGTAATTCATTACTCCTTGATATAAATAACTACTTACTATTAATAATAAAAATATTTACTATTTATTATAAATTTTATTTATATTTTTTATAAATGTAAAAATATTTATGTAACATGGAATCAAACTATTTTAAAACGAAAAATTGATGTGGGAGTTATAATACTCATAACATAAATTTGAGTCCTTTAGGAGTTTTTTTCCCTTGTTAATCACATATCTTTTTAATTAAATTAGATATCCCTTCTCAAAATTTTAACTTTAAGTTAAATTTCAAATTCAGATACACTATAACAAATTAAATAATTTTTTTATTTTTTATAAACTAAAATTTTAAATTGACAAGTTGAATTTTTTAGTATTTTCACTTTAATTTTAAAATATTTTTTCACTTTAATTTATTTACGCCTGATAAAATAAAACATGTATTACTAATAATAAGTTATTTACTATCATTTTTATCTTTTAATTTATAAATTTCATTTATTTTTTTAAATTTATTCACCCAAAAATTTGCTATTTGTTTTAATATAACTGAAGAAATGAATTAGTTTTCATACTAATTGTATTGTAATATTAAAAGACATATATAAAAAGGTAAAGAAAATAACTTTATATGAGTCTTAGTAATTAATGTTATAAATTTAGTAGATAAATAAATTATTAAAATTAATGATAAAATCTCATTCATAGCACTTTTAATAAATTTTAGTAAAAAGTTACTTTAACTTTAATTAAAATTTTTGTTTAAATTTTAATAAATATAACTGTGTTAAATGTTTAGAAAGAGAATTTATAATAATATTATATAATTTAAATAGAATTGCGCTAAGTGAAAGATAGTTTTAATGTATGTGTAGTGAATATTGTGGCAAAGTAAGAGAAATTCCCCCGATAAAATGGCAGCAGTTTCATAAAGAGATAAGGGACAATGGACTCAGGTTGCTGACCACTGTGGTCCCATTCAAATTTCAAACAATTTTCTTGACATACTTGAAAGAAAGAGTGGGGAAAAGATTTGATCAACATCAACCCACAAAGTAACAGAATCACTCTCCCACATCCCCCAAACTTACAGACCAAGTATTGGTTTCAAGAACAAAGCTTCTTCCCATTAACGCACATTAAATACGCGTGTCAAGCCCCCCCTCACACTATCACTCTCTTCCCACAAAACACACTTCTTCTCTTTCTCAGGTTTCAAGTTCCAACCTTTTTCCATGGAATTCAAGTACCGCGCTGTCGACAACCCACCGACGCCAACGTCGCACCCTCTCTCCACCATCACCTATTTCTCCGATCGCTCATCTAGAGGTAACGTTTCCGATACGCTTTTTGGCAATGTCCCTTTTGCGCTGCTGCATGTTAATTGCGGAAAAAACTCAACTTTTCTCACGTTTGTTCCTTTGATTGATCGTCCACTTTCTGGGGTTTGAGTTGAAAACAGGTTGCTTTTCCGGCAACGTCCCGGCGAAAAAACTATTCCGAATGCCGGTGGTGGGCAATGCCGGCGAAGCGTTAAGGCGAGAGCTGGAGAAAGAGCAAATCCGGCGAGAGATAGAGAAGGAGGAAATCAGAAGAGAGATAATCGCCGGCGAGATTGCACGGAGGCGAGAGCTGGAAGAGGAAGTTAGGAGGGAACTGGCGTTGGAGAGAGGGTTAGGAATCCCAATGCAAAGGAGTTTATCGTTTCAAGAGCACGTTTCCATGTGCTTGAATCCGAGGCTGAACCCGGTTGATACATTATATGGTGGGTCACAGCCACAATTACCGCAACTTGTGGCACCTACTCAAATCAAACCTTCTCCGCAGAATAACAAGGATAAAGTAATCATACTGGTTAGTTTTGTGCTTGCTTTAACCTTTTGTTCTCTCTTTATCTTTTTTTCTGCTTCTTCATTTCTTTGCCAAGTTTGTCTTGTTTAGTACTTTCACTGCATCCAATCTGGTTGTTTAATGGCCACGGACTGAGGTCTTTTTCTAACTTCTAAAACTCATCAAGGTAGTTTTGATTTGTTTTTTGTGGGGGCGGTGTAAAATTGCGAAGGTGGTAATTACAAGCTCATTTAAATTTCTCATTTTAATTATAATTACTGTTGTGGATGGGATAGGAATAGTGGTAGTATGGAATAATATAATTGCATGGCGTGTAACTTTTTTTTAATGTAATACACTGCATCTACCATTCCTTTCCTATATTTCATTATGTCTATAATATTTCCCATCCCATAATTTAGACGTAAGAAGGGGATGGGTATTTTGATTATGCCTAGAATTGTGTAACCCTTTATTAATTTCTACTATGCCACTCCTTCGTGCTTCTCTCCTTTGTTTCCTCTCTAAAAGTTCAATATGGTTAAGTCTTCAATACTAAATTCCAGATCAATAATTGCTCTATATAAATTGAGCATAAACATTTGTAGGTAGGTTTGTTCATGGTATTTTTGTTCTCCCAATTATACCAGTCAAATTGAATCAAACCTTTGAGTTTGGTTTGGTTTCTTTCAGAATCTAAGTGAGCTCAGCTTGGTTTTAGAGACGATTTCCATCATTGGTTTAATGCAAGGTTTAAAAATATTTCCTTATTTTACAAATTGGAATGAACCAGAATATTAAAATGAAGCCGATTTCCTATCTCATGAATGATTGATTCATTGGCTGCCGTGAACTCATGTTTGAGATGAGTAAAGGAGTTTTAAAAATTTTCTCAGTACTACAATTTCTTGTTATTTGCTTTGGGGTATGTTTTGTAAGGTATTTTGATGAATGATGAGCCATACTGTGCCTTGGGAGAGAAACAGGGGAGCTATAGTTGGAGGAATTTTGATATGAAGTGTTATTGTTAGTTACTATATCCCACTTGTACAAATATAATAAAAAAATCCAAATAATTTATTAGTTGATTGTAGTGTTGAATGACATTGTTCATTAGGAGTTTATTGTTGACTCAAACAAGGAAGTGAAGTTCTTGATTTGATCCAAGTGTGCTTCTTGAAATTATGTATGTTGAGTTTGTATACCCATTTTTATGAGAGAGCAAAGAAACAACCAATGCATACAAATTCAATTGCCACAGTCAAAGAATACAAGTAATTATTCCTGATGAGTCAAGTGTAATCTGTTCATGACCATGTGATTTGACATTATAATTAATGATCCATTTAGCTGCTTTATTTTAGAGTATATTCCAGTACTACTCATTTACACTCCCTTCCTGTGAGAGGTGCTCAAATTACCCTACCCTATTGTTTATTTTCAACAAATGCTCTTCTTTCTCTGAAGAGATGGAAATGTGCTACACTATAGTCCTTCTTGATAGTGATAGTAAAAATCTATGAACGAGCTCTTGAGGACATTCTTCCTTACTTAGTAACTCTTAAGTTTAGAAGATGAAATGAAGCATTGAACAACCTTTACTATCAGTTTTGGGAGTTTACCCAAAATCTTCATTTTATCTTATAAAAACACAAAGTTGGTAGTATGAGTTCAAAACTAACTATCAGTGACATTGAAAGTTGCAAAGAGAGAAAAAACTGTTCCCAAGAGGTTATTTCACATGGTAATCTCTAAGGAGAGGGGAGATTAGTGAAATTTGAGCATATCTAAAGGAACCAAAGTGTAATTTATTTATTTATACAGGTGGGCTTTCTTGTAATTAACTAACTACTTAACTGGTAGTAAATAATTAAAAATGACAATTGATGTTAAAGTGAGTAAGGGGACAGATAGATTCTTCCGTGGTTTCTCTCTGATAAAAAATATGGTCTTCCATACAATGTGGTGTTACTTATGGGTAGTGAGAGTGAGGAAGCTATATTGCACGAATTCTTGCTATTGGTTTGAGAAAATGTTTTCTATTTTGATTTTGTTTTCATTCTTAATTACAAAAATGTAACTTTCTTTTCATTGTGTTTGTTTTCCAAGATTGATATAAAAAATAGTGAAAGTAATAAAACACTGTTTTCATTCTTTCATACAAATATTTGAAAATAAGAAACAAAAGAAAAATAATGACATTTTTAAATTATAAGTGAAAAGTAAAACTGAAAATAGAAATCATTTTCTCGAATTAAGCGGCAATTAGGTGCTTATAGCCATGGCAGGCGAGTTTTTACTCGTGTTCCACAATGACAAAGGAAATGGATAGTGTCCAAATGGTTACTCAGGTTGCGTTGTATGAGATGATTTATTGTTGATAGATGGAACTTAATAGTATTGTTTTAGGATCCTTATCACATAGGCTATTGCAAGAGTGATTTATATCACAAAAAGATGAATTTGTGAACATATATCACTCTTCTAAGGACCATATGACCAAAGGTCATACTAGACTACATTTAGATCTATATATCAGAGTAAAGGATGCATGAAGTCACGATGTGTTCCCTTCCATAAACACCTTATTCAGGACTTCATGTTACCTGTGTTCATTGACTCTTGCATTCTATCACACACATATTTTCTCAAGCATATCGTTTTATTATTATGTTCAAATGGCAACTGCTTTACTTTGCTAGATTTTCCACGGGCTACTTTAAAAGGGGGATTTTACTATGTAAGTAATCAATACTGTGTTGCGGTCTATATTTTGATGTAGAGCATTAGTAGGGGATTAGAACCCTATTCTGTTAACAATGGAATAACTAGTTGTATTCAGCAATAAAAGAGGATTGGGTGAGTTAACTAAACTCAGCGGGATTTGTGAGAAGAAAATTGGGAGGAGAGTTAGCTAAACCCAATGTTGCTCATGAATGCTCCTTACTGAAGTTTAGTTGAGTGTATATCGAATGGAGTTTGGACCTTCCATCCAAAATTTATTTATTTATTTTTCTAAATTTGTTGTTAGCTGACTTTAGCAATTATTGGTTGTTTTTTAATTCCAGAAGTTTTGTTAGGCACTTTTGTTGTTGAATTACATAAAATATGTTTTGAAGCTATAGCTTGAATTATGCCATTTGTTGAAGCTCTTAATTGACCAGTGTGTGTATGTAAATGAACCATTGCAGGCTAAGCCAGACCCTGGTCCTCATGGTGCAAAGCGAAAAGTGATAACACCTCCTGCAGTTTATGGCAGGGAGCATTCTCCATTTGGTTTGCAGAAGAAACCCAAGGAGGAGTGGAGTTGTGCACTATGTCAGGTTAGTGCCACAAGTGAGACAGGCTTGAATGACCATCTTAAGGGAAGGAAGCACAAGGCCAAAGAAGCCGCACTCAGAACTCCAAAGATTGGTAAGAGCACCAAGACATCATTATCATTAAATATAAGCATAAAGTGTGTGAAATCTACTAAAGCCATTGTTACCACGAAAACAGGGTTGGATGCAAAAGCAGATAAAGGTGTAACTTCCTCCACAGACACAAATCACACAACAGTTGATAAAGGTGTAATGGAATCTAAAAATGAGGAACACTCTGCGCAGAAAAGCCAAGATATAGGTGGTTTGGAGAACGAAAATGAAACAGCAACCAGTACAGAATCAGGGAAAGTAAAAGCATTGACGAGGAAGAAGCTCGAATTTTGGTGTGAAATTTGTCAAATTTTTACTCGCTCAGAAATTGTGATGCAAGGCCATAAAAATGGGAAAAAACACTTGATGCGAATAAAGAAATTTAAAAAAAACAATGGGAGTGCCCCATCCACATCCTCAGTATCACTTCAAGATACTGGGTTGATCAAAGATACAGATGCTGTTAGCAAAGAAACTGACCAAAAGATGACATCTGTTTTGAATGATGAAACAATACCAAAGACAGCAGAGAGATCTTCAGATTCAGAGGAAGTGCATCCACCCAAAGGAGATAAAGAAGGTGAAGAACTATGATTACATGCAAGATACTGCGAATTCTGGAGTTGACAAAACAACTCATAATGTATGTCTTTTTGTTGACTTATTATACAACTTGTGTACTGCGTTTACTAATGTGACATTTTAAAACTGCTACGTATGCCTCACATGAGGAACTCGTTTACTAATGGGTTGCATCCTCATTCCATGGCTATATATCCATCCTTGTTTAATTTAGTCCTTACTAACTCCTTTCTTGTAACGCAAACCCAGTTTAGGACCCTAAATGGTTCGGTTCCATTCCATGTCAATATATCCATGCAGAGTTAAGCTTCAACATTAGAACTGTTATATACGGCTTGCTTTAAAGAGAGCAAAAAGAGCGAGTGAGCTTTGTTCTGTTTGATATTTGGACGTTAACATGGACACCAAAAAAGTAAGAATATAATTAAATAATTGTTCAAATGTAAAGATTTTCTGGCTTCAAGCAAGTGAATAACCATGCTATCAGAACTGGCCACGTATTCTGAGATTTCTTAGCAACTTATGCAATGTAAACATTCAACAACTATTTTGTCGTGGCGCCAAAACTCCAACATCCTAGCCTAAATCCTGGTCAAGTAGATATATTTTTTTATTCCTAGATTTTCTCCATACGACGGTCAAGTCAAGTTGAGATATAATAAAATGGAATAATGATCGAGCACAACGGAGAATCTTATGTTACATAACTTAAAAAATAATACCAAATGTGCCAAGCGATTTAATGAATAGACATGGTGAACAAAACCAACAGACCCTAGTCCCTACCCTTCAAAATCACAAGAGCCCTTGAGCCAAGTGATAGAAACAAGCACAAGATTCTAAGGACCGTGGCCACCATCTCAACCACAGAATTCAAATCCAATTTTGGTCTATTTGCCAAGCCAAAAACAACTTGTGTGGGGAAAGATATGATTTTTGGGAATAAATTCTCCATTCCATCTAAATATATATTGAACATATGATTCTATAAGGTATATTTTTTATCTTTACAAAGTGAAACAGAAACCAGAATGGGAAGGTTAAAAATCTGTTACATATCAAAGCAAGACCACACATTCCAAAAGGGTAGGAATTCAGCCTATTGTACACTATAGATCAAACCCTCAACGCCACCTGGTCTTGCCATGAAATCTTCCTCTTCCCAGCCCTATTTGATCCATCCCCAACATTTCTACAAACCGAGAGCTTGATATCGTTGTGCTGCTCGTCGCTCACAACTCGTTGCATACTTCTCTTTGGTTCTTCAATCTTCATGGGCTCACTGTTGCCCTGCAATTCCTCCTCTTCTCTCTGCATGACACCAAAATAGAAGGAAACAATGAGTCTACTTGAATCAAACAAAAACAAGGACTCTTGATGGATGTAAACACAGAATGCGCAGTTAATTACCGAAATCTGGTTCAAGTCAAAAAACGGAGTCACACTCTTCTTTGTGGCTTCCTTGCCACTTTGGATCATATCTCTGTGATTCAAGTCAAATACAGGAGCAGAATTGTGATGAGAAGCATCTTTTTTACTAAAACTCCTAGCATTCTGGTTTAAATCAAACACATGGCCAGTTTTTGGCAATATGACTTCAACCCCATTGGAAAGCCTTCCATTAGGGTTCAAATGAGAACCAGTTGGTGGACGCGACGTAGATTCCTTTCTCTTGTAATTCCTTCCTTTTGAGATAATGGGGGCTTGGATTTTGAGTTTTTGTTGCTTTACAAGTTCTTGCTTTGATTGAGACTTTGGAATAGGATGTTTTAGTAAGTATTTGTAACGTTGCCTCAAGAATCTGCAGTTACAAGTGACAGTGATGAGGCTAAGCTCTATTGATAAAAATAAACTGCAAACTATGAAAAGCCACATTGCTACTTTGAGCATGAAACATTACCTAACTTCAGCTGACAGCAGCAACTTTTTCTGCTTCGTAGCCTGCAATTTCCTTCTCATGGCCTCTGTATCCTGAGATTATTAGAAAATAGAAATTCAATGAGATGAGTTTCTCAAAAACATATTGGGAAAAAAAAAACATTGCACAACAACTCAAACAACACCAGCATGAAGAAAATAGACAAACAAACACACCAACAAAACTATTTTGACAAAACTTAGACAAAGTGAGCAGCCAAAAGGAAAAAGAGGATTAGTTTACAATAAGAATTATTTAATCTCTAAATTCAGGATTTAGTAATTTCAAAAACCCTAAGGAAAATATGATATAATTGGCGTAAAGACTCAAACGGCAGGAATTAACAAACCATGAAGAGTAAAGGCCTTCAAAAGCTTTATAAAATATGTAAAAGAGAAAAGCAAAATAAGAAAATTCGCCATAGTACCCTGCTATGCGATTGTTGTTTTATTTTCATCAGATGCTCAGGAATTTTGCAGATAAGAATAAAAAATTTTGAAATCCAAATATTTGTTTGTGGGAGGTAAAGAAATGAGGGAATTATCAAAAGAAACAAGAGCGAGAGGTGATCAAATACCGCAAGGATGAACATGAAAACCCACCATCCCAACAGATCGGAAGTCGAAACACAAATTTAAATCCACACAAACAATCCAACAACCATGTCAATCAAAACATAAGACCCCTTTATTGTTTCCTCCAAAAAATATCCTTAACTTCCACGACAACATCCCAACAACAAACCCAAATCCACCAAAACCCACAAAGAAATAAGAAGAAAAACCAGATCCAGAGAAAACCATGAAAGAAAATTTCAATCTTTGATAGGAAAACAACGAGGGCAAGGGTGGTGTTGTTACCTTCTGCAGATCTTCATAGTCCTGCAGGAGACTCTGGTGCCTCAACCTTGTTCTCTGATCCTTATACACACCATAAGGAGGATCCATGGTGACAACCCCTTTCAACTTCTTCATCAGATCAGAGAAGAGGAAGGTACCACACAAGGGAAGAACCAAATAAAACTAAAGGCAAAAGGGAGAAAGAGAGAGATAGGAGAAGGTGAGGTGGGTATATGATGGAACAAAACGTGAGAGAAAGGGATAGGAAAAGAGAGGCACAAGAAAGAGAGAGGTGAAGAGAGGTAAGAAGGTTCTCGCTTTCCTGTTTTCTCTGTGAAACTCTGACCAAGACAAAGAACCCCAAAAAGCCCACATAACTCGGTGAAAAATATTGTTCTTTTGAAAGACCAGTGATGAAGATGGGATTTTTTGGGGGCTTGCAGAAGGGTAATTCGGGGAACATAGTTGTGATGAGAGAGAGAGAGAGAAAGAAAGAGAGAGTTGTAAGGTGGGTTTGGTTGGAGGACATTTGAACACATCTAACTTCTCTTTCTTTTGTTTCCCATTCTTTCTTTCTTTCTTTTTTGTTTTTCTTTCTTCTACATAAATTTTGGTCCAGCTGGGCCATTGATGAGAGAGAAAGAGTGTTGGGTGGTGTGGACTCTTTGGTTTTGATGGGAGGATGCGTGGAGTTTCCATGTTTCTTCTCTCATTGTATTTGCCATTTGTTGTTTCCCTCTGTGTAGAGAGAGAGAGAGTGAATGGGTCAGAGAGATATAGATGGATAGATTAGGGGCTGGAAAAAAGGCAAAGGGATAGATAGATGGATAAATGAGATGGCATAGAATGGGATGGAATGGTGCTGTTTCTCTCTGCTATGCTGTAGCAGTTGTTGGGTGCAACCTTATTTTTAGGCTTTGGTTTAGTTTGGTTGGGTTGGGTTGGGTTGGGTTGGGTCGATTTGGTTTTTGTTTGTTGGGGTTGTGAATCTCTGATGGTGCCATGGTGGCTTTTACTAATGATACAGATGCCCCTTTCATTTCACTTCACACAACTACTATTATTATATGCAAGGGTCAATTGATGTGCATTTACCCATATACCCTTCTCTTTTTTTCACCCCCTTGTCCTGGGTGGAGAAATCCAACATGGTTTTTTCATGATGAAGCATGTAAAGTAAAAGAAGAAAAATCCCAAACACTCATTTATTTTGTGGGAGTGTCTTTTCTCTCTAGCACTTGCATTCATATATGAATATGAGGGGTGGATTAGGTACTTTGCCTTCTATGTCCAACTGAATCCCTATCTTTATATTTAATGTTTCATCCATCTTCATGAATGGAATTAGAAAGATCCCACCAGCACCTACTTTCAGGACTTTTCTGAGTGACACCAACCTACCTACTTAATACCCACTAATCCTCTTCTCTCTTCAATGAAAGCTCCATCACCACCGTTACTCTTCATTTCTTCTGTTGTGTAGCCGTGCCACTGTAATCTCAGATTTTCAGATCTCATTGGCTAATTTTAACCAGCTTACCCTTTTTTCTTTATGTGATTCCACTCACACATTTAAAATTTCAAAGGTTTTATTAAATTTATTTTTTAAGACTGAATTTAAGTATCTTTAAATAAGTATATTTTATTAATTTTAGCTTTTAAAGATAAGTTTAAATTTTTATTAATGTTAAATTCTTATTAAAATATAATATTTATTTTTTTATATTCTTTAAATATTAAATAGTTTCTTTTTTGTATAAATTAAAAATAGTGTGATTAATATTTTTTAATAAAAAATACTATTTCTTTAAACACAAGTGACAACTTACCTATTTCTTTACGTATTTTAACACGTATTATAATTTTAAATAATTATTAATTTTTTAATATGTATTTAAAAATACACCATGTATAATAAAATTTTATTAAAATGTATAAATTGAATTCAATGTATCAATAATCTTAAATACTATAACTTTTAACTCAAGTTATAATAATTTATTTATTATTAGGTATTATTAAAAATACGTTAAAAAACGGTATAATCATTTTGCCTTATCTTTATACACTTTTATTCTGATTAAATAAATGTGTGCTTCCAACTAGCTTTGATCACTTGTGAATTCTGATGATGTTGTAACAAGGGCAATATGGAGAATTGCCTCTTCTGGAGGTACAAAATGTGAAACCAAACACAAGAGCCCAACCATGGTAACAAGTTTAACACAAAAACAGTTGCAGAGAAGAGAAGTCTCCCAAAACAAAGATTCTGATATGTGACCAGAGAATAGCAGTTTGGTTAAATAAAGCTGCCGGTGACTGTTAATGTTGTTTGGTTTTTTCGTTCTCTAACATTTTTGTCGGTCACATTTCACTTCTCTCTCCTCATCAGAGACTCTCAGTTTTATATATGTATATATATAGACTTAATTTTTAAATTTTATTTATTTTATAAATTTAATTTAAATTTTTATTAATTTATACGTAATAAATTATAATTTATTATTTTATTAATTTTTAAATATAAATCAAATGAAAATTTAGATTAAGTATAAAAGTTTTTATACTTATATTAATATAAAAAATTATTTTTTTAAATATATATTTATAAAATATCGTTTAATTTATTAATAAGAGTGGATAATGTAGATATATTTATATTATAACTTGAGTTATTTATTTTTAAAGAAATTAAAACAGATAAAATAATACGCGGGTGATGATGTTACAAAATCAAACGGTACTTTTGGAAAAACTGTTCAAAAAGTATTTCAAAGTTTGTACACGAAGAAAACACATTCTTCAATCAAACACGTATTAATTAATAAAGATAAAATTAGAAGAACAAAAAATTATTCATTAATTTTATAAAATAACAATGAAAACACGCTTAACAGAATGCTTAAAATGTTAAAATAAGAGAAAATTTAATAATTATGCATGACATTTTTTCACAAACACATTCTTCGTGATAATATATTAATATTATCAGTTATTATTATTCTCTCTCAACAGAAATAGACTACGAAGCAGAGTATTAATTAGTAGATAAAAAACATAAAAGGAAAACAACGCATCGTCTTATTACGAATCTCCCTTAATTAGTATTTATCCTGTTCAACTCACTAATTAATCCTAGTTAAAATATCAACTTTTTATTATTTAACGTTACAATCAAACATTAACAATTGTCGTGGTAATATATCATTGAACGATAACGTTAATTTTTTTACACTGTTCATTTTTAAAATATCTACGCTATCAACAATTCATATTTTTTATTAATATAATAGTGCATTTTCCGGCAAATAAATATTTAATTTTAAAAATAATTTAAGGCGGAATATACATTAAATAGATATTGTCTTGAGACTTTCAATTTTAAAGAGATTAATTTAATAAAAACATTTAAAAGGCAGTATCGTCATTTCAATTTGATATCATGATTTTGAATCTATATATATATATATTATTTATTTTAATCATTTTTCCATATGATTTTATTTGATACAATTTTTTTTTCGAACTAAAAAGGTTTTCAATCTATCAAAATTATATTTACGAACAATTCATTTGAATTTTTTTTCTTACATGCTATATTTTTGCACCATTGACAATATATAAGAAGAAACACTCTAATTACTTAACGGCAAATAATAATGATACTAATTAAAAATAAGAAGTAAAACAATTTGTTTTTAAGAGATTGTTAATGCATGCCCTTTACAATTTTCAGTGCAGTGTAATATATATGTTAATAATAAAAAATGATCGTTTTCAATTCTCTAGCTTAGAGTATTAATTAATACGACACTTACTTTAAAATATAATGGCAAATATTTACTGAATATTTCTCAATGTTAACTTTTTGTTTTTGGAGTTTCATCATGTATTCGTGGATTTTAGTAATAGTCGTTGAGGGCAAGTTCTTAAATGTATTCATTATAATTATTTATTTATTTTAGATAATTTGTTGTCTTTATTACAATTTAACACGAAAATTACCTTTCTTTTGTTATCTAATTAATATCACGAGGTGTTTATAATTAAAATTCATTATATATGTTCAAAAGACTTATTTATTTATTTAAATTTCTCTGAATGAAATAAACAAAACAGTAAAAATATTAGAATAAAAGTAAAAGTATATTTTATTGAAATACAGATTTAAGAATATTTTTAGATATTTTAATTAAAACAAAAATATTATTTAAGTAATTTATAATAATATTAAACATGAATCTTTTCACTAAAATAATATTTTAATTAAAAATATTATCAAAATAATTGAACTAGTTCGTTGGAGAAGAAAAACAATTAAACAACGAGTCATCTAATTTTTTACGTGGCAATATGGTAATAACCAGTGACAAACACTTAGGTAGGTGATAACCAAACCCATGACAAGGATTACTTGTTGCTTCACAATTGGTCTGTTCTATGAGTTATATGAAATAGTGGTTGTGTTAGCATCATTCATTGCGTCACCAAATCTTCAATTTTCGAAGACCAATATATAGAAGCTAAAAAATATCCATTATCTAACAGTGTTTTTGGCCTCTCTAAGATCAATCACCCCCTTCAATAAAAAATCACACTTTTAAACTTTTTCTTCCCTGCGCGTGGAAGCCAAATCCCATGGCATCCACAGTTCCTCTTACTGGTCATTTATCGAGCATCCACGGAGCAAGTGAATGGAAAAAGCTTAACCCTTCGTTAACATCTCTTTGTAAGTGTACCCCTCCATTCATTTTCATTTGGCTTGCTTCCAAAGTCATTAAAGTTGCAAACTTTTTTCACTTTATCTTATCATAATGGATTTTTGCTTTGGCCATTGCTCGAGTGTGATAAAGCTATAATTCACAGGCAAAGAATAAAATTATTATTATTATTATTTTATTTTATTTTATTTGTTTTGGGGGGGGGGGTGTTCTGTAGGATTTGTATTTGTTTTCTTCGTCTTCAATGGGGCTTTTCTTATGGCCTAGAATGCCCTTTTTCCTTATTCATGTATCGACTGTTATTCCCCGCAGTTTGAAAGCATGAAATGTTTCCTATTATTCAAAGTCAGATCAGTTGAGCTTTGATTTGAAACTATAAGCAAAACAAGAGACATAATTGATAAGGGCTATATGTATGGTTAATCTATTTATGCTTTGGATTGCCAAAATTAGATTGTCATCACTAAGTTATTCAACATTGATTATTATATAGGTAAACTAAACTCCAGTGCAAATGTAGTTGACATGAGGATATTATCTCAGCGTGGACGTAAAAAATTTGGGCCTGATCGTAGAAATTTCCGAATTTATGCCCTATTTGGAGGAAAAAAAGAAAATAATGGGAAAAGTGACGATGCTCCTTCTAAGGTTAGAAAAGTCAGCTTTCTCTCACCATCAATATTACATGTGAATTCACACACAGGATGGCATTGCTTTTGTATCCACAATCCCACATTTCCTGTCTGTTTAAATTTTTCACCAGTCATCACTCACAGGATAATGATCGACGGCCATAATTTTTTCTTTGACATGTTTATTTGATTATATGGTTTATTTTCTTCCTTGTTTAATCTTCAGATAATTAACTTAAGCTAGATAATTGTTACTTCAGATAATTACATGTGAACTAGCACTTGTTCATTGTGAGAACTTCTCAAATCTGTTGTGTGGTAAAGTTCCTTAGGATTCACAGACAATCTTAAGTGATGCATTCACAGACATTCTCCCAAGCTTTTGGGAGTTAGATTAGATATCAGGGAAAGAAATTAGTTACAATCAATTAGAAATGTTAACTAGTTATAGGGGTTAATTAGATATAAACAAGGGTAAGAAGGGTAGAATGATTCGTTCAATTTTGTTAGTGTTTGTGAATTAGGCAGTGGCTTAGTTGTAGGAAGGGGAAACCCTTGGAGAAGAATTATCTTCTTTTCTTGGTTGTAATTCAGTATTCAATAATAAAAGCATTCTATTCTCATATTATGTTTCTGGGTATTCCTAACTCAAGCACATGACATGAAGTTTCTAATCCACCCCCATTTGATGCTTACTTTACTGCTGAGAGTTTTCTCGTTTATATGTTTGCAAAGTACAATATTCACCTTCCAAGCTAAGATTTGCATGTTGAAGATTTTGTTATTGTTTGTTTGTTTGGGGTCATGCTATTCTGTGTCTGTGTGTTCTATATTATTCTGGCTCAAAGCCAATTAGCAAACCAAGAGTATCAATCACAAGATTATAAGTTAAGCTGCATCTTGCATTGAAGATTGGCAAAAAAGACACATGGTGACTCTCTTTTGAATTACAAGGTATCCAAGTATATTGAATTTGGTCAAGTATGTTCCCACTTCCAATATATTGTGTTTCCTTTTATGCATTTAAGATACCTGATCCATAGAAGCACTAGTAAACTTCATTGTCTGTCATGCTTAACAGGATGCTATTTCTGAGTTTTTCTATGTGGCATATATATTATGTCTTTGTCAGGACCTATATTCCTGATATTGATACTTGACAGATCTGTGCTACCTTTGCCAGAATAAAAATGCTGACCTTGATGGAGTACCTCTTTGACTTAGGTCTATTAATTGACTGAAATTAATTATTTCTATCATTTGTGAATTTCCCTTCTGAGTTGGTTGATTTGTCTTCATGTTTTCCACTGCATGATCATCAGATATAGATTATTGATCTGGAACCTTAGGACAATAGCTTGTATGGATCTACACCTTTTCTTTTTCATGATTAGTCTCATCTTTGTATGCTATATACATCAAGGTAGTTATTGTCCCCCCAAGTTGCATAATTTATGATGTTATCACTGCGCACAATAAGTCTATTTCCCAATGCAGTAAATCACTCTTATATTTGGGAAAATGTTTGCAACTCATTCAATTGTGTGTGAGATGTTGCATATGGACAGCATGCTAGGTTAGTTACTCTGAAGGGATAAATGCCATTATAATGTTAATCTTGGTAGGTAGTTGGTAACTTGGTATTGTGCAGAAGTTGCATTGCCAAAGTTTTAAACAATTTTTTGAGTACCCAAGTTTAAAACTTGGTAGAATATATCAGACAGTTATTTAACACCTTTCTTGGACAAAAAGGCTTCTTGTTATGTGTATATACACTAAGCATTTATCTTACACTTTTGACAATCTCTATCAAATTCAAAATTGAGGCAGTACTTTCTTTCGTTGGTTTGCTGTGTGGATTTGTCAATCCGATGTAACTGATCTCACATTCATAATTTATGGGTTTGTGGATTATTTTAGGCAGGAATTCTTGGAAACATGCAAAATCTTTATGAGACCGTGAAGAAAGCACAGATGGTTGTCCAAGTTGAAGCAGTGCGAGTACAGAAAGAACTTGCTGCGTATGGCATTCTTGCCAAACAATTACAGCTTTTCTTGTTTTTCTCTTTTTCGGTTACACTAGCTATTCATAATGGAGTTATTTTTCTCTAATGTGTTATGCAGAGCAGAGTTTGATGGTTACTGTGAGGGTGAATTGATAAAGGTACAATACTTGCTCTCTCCCTCCTTTTGTTTCTCTCTCATGATCTCAAGTTGTGTGTTAGAAACCTTTTTGTGCTTTTTTGAGCAGATTTGGAAACTGGCACTTAAATTGCCCTTCTTTTTCTTTTTAAAACTTGAAAGAAAGAATTTTATGTGCATCATCTTATGAATATTATATGCTCTATGTTAGGTAGGGTATGTCATATAACATTATTATGGCTCATTATAAGTAACAATGAATGCTTGATATCTTCTTTATTGTTCTAACTTTATCCATTGCCATGATGTGTTTGGTTAAATTATCAATACTTATATAATAGCCTGTAAGTTTGATTTCATTTCTTAGTTTGCCTTTAATGAAGTTTAATTTTTAAGGTAACACTATCTGGGAATCAGCAACCAATTCGAACACAAATTACTGAGGCTGCTATGGAATTGGGACCGGAAGTGAGTTGACAATTCAAGTGGTTTTTTAACTTCGTATGGTTTTTTCCTGTCAGATTATATCTCATACCCTACTGCATGCTCTGGTGAACTAGAAGTAGACAATAGAGATTTAAAAATGCAAACAAATATGTGCAGACTATATCTAAGTTCTTTGATTGTTTTCTCCTGCTTACATAAAGATACCAAAATTTGGTTAGGATTATTCACTTTACGAAAGCATATAACAACTTTCCCTTTTGTCTCAATTATCAGCTGACTTGTCTAGTTCACAAAATTATTTATGTCAGACATTGTAGGAATGATTATGAATGACATTGATAGATTTCATGTCCTGAGATATTAAACTGCAATCTAATATTAAACATCTTTTGGTGGCAGAAACTTTCACTTTTAATCACTGAGGCATACAAGGATGCACACCAGAAGAGTGTCCTGGTAAAAATCTCTATTTTCAATAGGAAATGTGGAAATTCATTTGTGTAAGTGGTTATTGATTTTGGAAAACATGCTCTTGCTGTGACCAGGCCATGAAGGAAAGGATGAGTGATCTTGCACAGAGCTTAGGAGTGCCACCAGGGCTCGGTGAAGGGTTGAAGTGATGACTGTAAGATGAACCTCAATTTTGCACACAAAACCCTGTCAGAAATGCTTATTTCTCCCTTTATAGAGATTTTGAATTTCCAATCTTATTTATTCCGTTGTGTACGGATCCTTTGAAATGGTGGACTTTCCACTTTTCTTTTGTCCATTGTACTATTATTTGTTTAGTGGGGAATAATCAATTCTATATGTTCTATCATTTTGTCTATGTCAACTTGGGTTGAATTTGAAAAAAAAGGACCTTTAATGATAGGGTTTCTTATTCTTTTTCCTCAGATGTTATACTTTTTGGTTTTATTAATAAAGCCACTCTTTTTGTGTTTGTGTTTTTTAAAATGAGAAATGATAGTAATACGCTGTTAAACACTTTTTTTTTTTTTCCAAACCCTTTTAGTTATTGGTTTAAATTTGTTAAAAATCTCAAAAATCATGAGTTTTTCTCTTAATTTATTGTTTTTTATTCTTAAGTAAATGATTTTATTTCATACTATTATATATTTAGAAAATTTTATAGGAAATGTATTAAAAATAGTGGTCTTAGCACTTCTCAAATAAAATCTATTCAATTGATTTGCTGTTTTTTCTTTGACGCTTTTTGAATTTAAAACTAATATAGTTTTTTGTTTTATTTTTGGGCCAAAGCAGTTTTTGACTTTTTTGCCCCTCTTTTTTTCCACTGGTCAAGGCTATTGTTTTAATATTTTGGCCCAAAGAGATTCTGGTCTATCTATATATTGACTCAAAGAGGAGAGAAGATTCGGGTCTAGAAAAGCGCATGATAGAACAAAGAAAAAAGACCAGAGCATTAAGATTTCTTCTTTCTTTTGAACCCTCATAATATTTTTTTACCAATTGCAACATTTAGTTATTATAGAGTTCACATTATCCAATGAGATTCATTTGTATTTCATGTTGAAAAGAAAAGCATTGCTATTTAGATTACTCTATGTGAAAATTTGGCTGTACCCACCAAATTGCATGGGATCGTAGGCTAGTTAAATAAATCGAGGTGCATGGAAGAAATATGTATTAATAAATGTTGCAATTTACATTATGTCAATATTTTGGTAGGTCCGTTCCTACCAAAAAGGACTTGAAAAGTACATAAGCTCGCTTTGGCTGAAACAAAGGGACTTCATGGCCAGCTCCTCTTACTGTTGCATAAGTTAGTCCTTCATACACCTCTGTCCACCCACCTACCTATGTAACCCCAAGACAAAACAAAGAAACTTCTGTGTGAATGTGAAATAATCATCATTTTATTCTATAATTTCATATGGCTTTCGTATTTTATCAATTACCTGTCCACTTGAGTACCATGGATACCAACGAGTTTTGATTGGGAGGTTAAGGTGGTTGAGAGAAAACCTTGTGGCAGTTGCTGGAACCACAGAATCTGTGTCCCCGCTGCATTTTAGCAAAAAAAAAAAATGATATTCAGATTTTGTCATCATAAGCTTCTTATCATGTTTCTGTTTCCAATTAGGTTTTTGGGTCATGAGTCCTAGGTTGTTATCCTAGGTGCTATGCAACAATTCATATGTTTTATGACTGTTAAAAGTAGGATTTTGGGTTATGACTCCGAATATTTCATGCTGCTATTAATGTGTATAATGATTATTTTACACTGGATATGTTTTAAATATTGCTTTTACAGTTACCATGTAAATATTTGAAAACATAAAGTGGTAAAAATAAAGCAGTATTTCTGGTAATTATTATTAAAACTAATTTTTATCATGTATATATATATATATATATATATATATATTAAAATTTACAATATTTTATGCATTTATAATATTAAATGTTATAATTTTAAATAAAAATTTATTATTTATTAATTTTTATTGTGTCTCAGATACGCATGAAAAGAATTATTTAAAAAAAGCATAAAAAATGATTATGATTCCTGAGGGGATGAGGGTAATTTAAAAACAAAAATGTACAATTATAATTATTAATTAAACAATTAATGACAAAATTATAATAAAATAAATTTACATATATAATTATTGTGATGTGGTTTTCAATAATCATAACCCTTTTTTGTCCCCCCCCCCCCCTTTCAAAATATATATTTCACTTCATTGAAGTTAAATACATAAAATTACTCGAATTGGTATACCATCAATCCAATAACCAACAGATTGCAAACTCCTCGCAATACAATTCTTGATTCAATTTTATGAATTATTTCATGCTTAAAACTTTTTCTTTCTTTCTTTTCTATGTTGCTTAGACGTAGAAGATTTTTATTTCTATTTAGGTATTATGAAGTTCTGTTGATCAGTTTGATGTACCCCTTAGGTAGCAAATACTCATGAACAAAATTTCTATAGAAAACTTTATGAGAACTCATTTTAAATTTGAGATCCCGTTTTAATGTTGTAAAATAACAGTGTGTTAGTGTTCCTTTACATGTAAAGAAAAGCTCTTTACAAGTTAAAACTATACCTGAAAACCCATATTCTCAATCCCGCGGCAATTAGCTCTTTGTATATGGGCAACACGGAAACTTCAGAATCTTTCCAGAATTTTAGGAGCACATTACTGTCAAACAAACCAAAGGCATTTATAACTTTTCATTTCATAGAATTTATAAAAATTGTATTTTGACTTTAATTTGTAAAACACGATTCATTTTGTTGCTAACAAAAAAATTAAAGCATAGTAAAAAAGCAAACCTGCAAGCAGTCCAATTGTAAGGAATGTTGGTAACATTTGCATGCATTGCTTTCTGCACTTCAGGAAGGTTATAATATTTCTCTGCATAATTTTCAGTACATGGATCATACCCAGAAAGCGTATGAAGAATTGTATTCTTGAATCGCACGTGCCTGATAGTATTATTGTTTGATGCTGTACAAGTAGGAGTATAGACACTGTATGGGTCTATATTTCCAAATTCATAGGTAACCGCATAATTCCAAGCATCATCACATTTTTTAGATGTTTCTTCTGCGGTGAAATTGCAATATTTAAGGATAGATTTGTATGATTGATCAGATATCAAAGAATGGCTCCACCAATATGTGACTGTTCCGATCCCATCATTGTAGCTATCAGTCACGGCATTTCCCACCTTGTAGTTTTCATAATGCAAGCAAAAAGCAAAATATTACTTAAAAGTGATGCGATTTTGACACCTTAGGTAGAGTATGTTGGAGTTAAAAGAATTAACTCACCATGAACCCTTTGAGATTAATAACGAGGGGATTCATTTTATTATAATCATGGATTTTCTTAGCCAACTGGGGGACATAATGACCTATAAACAAAAAATAATACCACGAAATGTTAGCTTAAATTTTACAAAATTAGAAGTTGCTATTGTTGTTGGTAGTGCAAGTATGTACCTGCATAGCTCTCCCCAGTAATGTAAAACTCCCTATATTTATATTGTGGAAATCTTGACATCCATCTAATTAGGAAAATTAGAGCATCTTGAGCTGTGTTACAAAAGTTGGAATTATGATGTTTATTAGTGAGATAGAATAAGGGTGGTAATGAAAATGGATATAATGTGACAATTCAACTAACTTCAACAATGCATGAAATTTATACCTGTCCTTTTGTCCCCTGAAGTTTTGAGATCAGAGCTGGTATTTGTATATGAGAAGCCAACACCAGCAGGCGATTCAAGAAAGAGAATATTTGCTTCTGAATACCAATTTCAAAAGAAAATTATGTTCTTGTATATTGTTATTCTGAATGGTGGCAATATAAGGGTGAAAAATGGAAGTAAAATATTTTAGGCCTAATTCTTCTAAATACCTCAACTTATGTATTTATTTTCTTAAATATCATACGTAAGGTTCTCATTTAGTTTCATATTTTTTTTGGAATCATGTACGCACATTTAATAGACAAAACAAATGAAAGTCCAACAAAGGGACTGTGCGAAAACATAATTTTGATCAAAGACTAAATAATAATTTGAAAAAAAAAACTAAATAAAAATTTGTGATTTTTCAGAGATAAAAATATAATTTAACAAACATTTTATAATACACTAAATGATTTATTTTGTGACTCTCACTCTACCCAATGAAGAGTGTACTAAATAAAATATGACAGAATGCGTTCACTTCAAGAATAAAAAGACAGGTGCTTTGATGGCCATTACCTTTGTTCCATGCATATTCGTTGAGATACAGAGAAGAGCCAGTTTTATTTATCCGAAACGGCCCAATTTCCTCTGATGCTCCATATGCTACCGACGAGCAACCTGGCCCTGTACCACCAAATATTATCGTGTAGCAGTGATTGTTTTAAGGGTCAAATCAAATGCTGGTTTTTTCAATCATTGGATATGCAAATCTAGTTTTATGTTTTCATAATAATATATGCAATTCTACGGATGTCCTTTTCATTCTTAGATTAGAGAACTGATATATGGATATGCACCTGTCATGTGAACTGATAAATGATCGAAAGAGTACTTTTATCTCTGAAACGATTTACTCCATGCATTTTCCCTCACGAGTAATTATTATGTACGTGATAAAATTTTGGTTCAAACATCATGTATGCTTTTAGTAGTAATATTAAAGTTAAAGTTTTACTTTAATAATATATATTTTAATTAAAAAATAAACACAGAAAATACCTATAATATTATATTTGAGTTTTGTCCCTGTATACAACATAAAGGTTCCTCTATTTCGGATGTAATAAATTGAAATAATGCTTTAATTTTTTTTCCTTTCTCTGCAGCTCATGTTCTTCTAATGGAGCAATTGGTTTTCAATATGTAGCTTAAAAATAAGAGACTTACAGTGAAGGCCTAAGTAACTAGTATAACACCCACAACTATCCAATAATACAGTTTCAGATAAATATATAATATCGGAGACTTCATGGCCCCGGCATTAACAGGACCACAGTGGCATTGTGCAGCATGGCTAGCTACTCTTGACCTTTTCTAATTATTTACTTTTGTTAGACATGTTTTATTAATATTTATTTTGATATTGCTTTTTATTTTTAAGATTTTGTTTTAAAATATTACATTAAGTGATCTTAAAAATAATAACAAATTAAAACACCTATCACTTCCATATACCTGTAGTTTAGATTACAAAAAAGACAAAAATATAGTAAAGTACATATTAACGATTATTTTGTCCACGTGAAAACTTACAGTGTGTACAGTACAATTACAATCAACTCCTATTTTTACACTTTCTTTTATATTTATTATGTTTTTTTATATATTTTTTCTATCACAGCATCTACTACATCTCTTAAGAAAATGTTAAGTTAATAAGGGATCAATAAATAACAACTTTTTATTAAAGATTATAATATTTAATATTATCATGTGATATAAAATAATATTATTTTTATTATGTATCTTTAAACACACGTTAAAAAAATTTAAAAAAAATATAAAGGTAAATAATAAATATAAGAAAAAAAATTTCATTTGTATATAAATAATTTTTTTCGCAATAACGTGTTATAAATTGACGAACACAACGTGACTGCATAAAAAAATAGTACGTACAACTCATTCCATTTATAAGAGCACAAATTAAGTAGATTAATAAAAGCATATAATGTGAAACGTATAAATTAAAAAATAAAAGAAAAATCAAGTAATCCTTAGCTTAATTTGCTGGGATCTGAATGTGTCTGATCCCAAGGAAATAAAAAAGACACAAACCGAAAGATGGAGAATGAGAAGACGAGCATCTTTCTGAAGGGACAAAATGAAAAGGTTAATTCACTATGCGTTACGTTGTTGTTGTATCTATTTGTTTCTCCGTCAAATGCAAAGAGTGAACAAAAAGGTGGTGAACAAGTAGGGTTTTGCTGTTGTCTGTTTTTCGGCGGTAAAGCTCTCAGTAGGTTTCGTCCAAATATGGAATAAACGTAAGAAACAGAAGGAATAAAGCACAAAAAAGATACAGACAGAGTAAGGTCACGAGTACGCATATGAGTATGGGTAAGCCTAGTTTATATATATATATATAAATGTAATGTTATAAGAGTCTCACTTCCATAACGTGTATCTATTTTTAATGTCTTGTATTTAATGTGAACTTTTATTATGTATATACTGTATTTATATTACTTTATTCAAATTTTATCTTATTTTTTCCTATTTTCTGGCTTTTTCCATCTGTGGAAAGACTAGACTTGTTTTAACAGTTGATTGTCAAATTTTCTTCCTCAGAATCAGTGGCGGTGAGGTACAACCCACCGTGTGGTAGTAGAGAGAGTACACATTAAGTCAAGTGCGCCAGAGTGGTTGATTGGGTGCATTAATAGGCCAATCTGGATAGGGTTGGCCATTTCAGGGAACGGTCCACACTCCACATGTGCAACAGTATGTGTAAGGGCTTGCTTAATAGTTTAGCAACTACAGTCTACAAATTTACAGACACAGACCATCATAACTTTGAAAAATATAATGGTTTGTAAAATAAATGGCCGGTTACTTGTACTCCAATTCTCGATGGTGCATGTCAATTTTATTAATTTTAGCAATCTTGCTTTGTTTTAAGAATTTTGGTTTATAAGTTATTATTATAACTGGATGGTTGTAGAGAGGATGCATTTTTATTACACCAAATAGTTAACGGCTCTCTAAAATCCTTATTTAGTATGAAATGATTTAATTTCAACAGTCAATTTATAAATGTTAATGGATTTTAGGAAGGGAGTGTTGATAACGAAATGTTCAATCTCCTTTGTAAAATATTTTATAGAAATCGCTTAGAGGGTAAACAACTATAGAAAGAACAGAAAAAAGAGATTGTAATATAACAAAAAAAAACAAAAAGAAAAAGAAAGATAGTGAAGATGAGATATAAAATTAATTAGAGATGATATTATTAGTTTGGTTGTAAGAGCTGACTGTACCTTATATTCTTTTGGTAGTTTTTATGATTTCTAATGCATGTAATACTATTCATCCTCATAAACTTCAAAAGAACTCGAAAACAACTATAATTTATTATGAATTGCCTATATATATTTACGTATCTTTCTGGTGTAATATATTGATCAATGTGCAGTCAAAGGTGGACAGAAATATATGGTTCACCAAACACTGCCTCGAAAACGAGGAGGAGAAAAAAAAATCATGAAATTCACATAGGTAATGGAATGAAGCTAGTGACTGTGGTAGAAAGTGAGAGTTGAAGATATGTGTGTATATATGTTTGTGTATAGACTAACCTCCATTGAGCCAGAGAACTAGAGGCTTATTCTCCGGTGAAATGGGGGCTTCAGTGAGCCAGTAGAAGAGTGCTCGTCCGTGTTGCTCGTTCACAGTTACATAACCAGAGAATTGAGAAAATTCCACACGTGGCTGCCCCGGGAGTGCTGAGATTCGATCTTGTTCTTGCTCTTTTGGCACACCAAGAATGGATGAAAATGCAAACGTTAATAAGAGCAAAGAGATGATATGGACCTTATTTTGAAATTCCATCATTAATTGCACCCTTCTAGCTATGACTATTAGTAACAACAAATTAAAAAGCTCAAGAGCAAGTGGAATATATAATGTTCTCACTCTCTCTTAATTATCTATATGTATATCTCTACTTAGTGTTAAACTATGTGTTGTTTGTATGAGATATATGGAGGGAGATAGGAGAGATGAGAGGGTAGCTGGAATCATATGCATGACAGATTATATATATTTCTGAGCAATAGAACATGGAACTGCTGAGGATTTTGATGCCTCAATTATAAGGTACTATTAATTAGGGTGGACTTGACCATGCTGTAACATTACTACAGGCAACTTGCCAAGTTGAATATGGAGAGAGAGAGAGGAAATGATTCTAGAAAGCAATTGAAAGTTTGATTATACCTCGTGCCGATGAGAACAAAGACAGCAACATCCATAATATGCATAAATTTCCTTATTTGAATTGTTAACATTTAATAATATATAATATTATGTACAATTATTTTTATTTTTTTATACAAATCTTTAAAGTACATTCAAGTTATAAGAGTTCAAAGTGATACAAATACATTTTTTTTTTATACAAATACATTTTTAAATTACTATAATATTTTTACGACATTTTCTAGAGTAATTTTTTTTTCTCTTATTTCTCTAAATTATAACAAATTATACAGATATTTTGTATGCATAACATTTCTCTTTTTGAATATACATCATTACTTTCGTTGTCCCTCCCTCACCTCCTCAATATCAAATTAGTCAGATGGTGGTCACTCACAATTTGAGTTGAAAATGGCTGTCAATATCATATATATATATATATATATATGTATATGTTTCATTTATATTACTACTAAAATTTCTTTTTCTTTCTTATATTTAGCTTGGTATACTAGAAACAAGAGTTTAGGTTGTGATTTAGAGTAAGCGCTAGTTGAAAAACTTAAATTTATTTGTTTTCTAAAAAACTTACTAAAAATAAATTATTATTGTTATTCTTAATTGAATTAAAGTAAACATTCATAAATAATAAATTAATTACGTGAAATAAAACTAAACATATCTCTAATTTGTTGACCAAAAATGGCTTCAAAGCCATTCCACACTCTTTGTTGTTGCATATAATGTGTTGGTTTTTGTGGTCTCTGAGGGCTATTAATTTGTATGCATGTGCAGCGATCTATCCAGTTTAGCCGGGCACGGCTAGTCTTGTAATTGACTCAAATATTAAAAGCAACCCAGAAAAAAAGAGATAGCATATACAAATCGATCCTTAATAGTAGCATTATTCGGTCAAACCAAATGGTGGAATTGTCTCATTCATATGCACTTCTTAAGTTTCAATCAAATGAATTTTAAAACTTGGATTCACAAATTATGTAATGTGAGGTAGCTAAGCAATGTAGATATTTTCAGCTTCAAACCTTCCTCAAGCCAGCTTGCTAAATTGCGTTAGTTCTAGTCATAAATCAATTTTGATATTACTATATCCATTAGATAACTAACTAATATTTTTTATATTATTGAATTTTTTCAGAGATTAAAATACTTATTTCATAAGTTGATTATTTTTAACATTTAAAATTAAGCCAATGAAAAAAAGTATATTGTATGTTAAAAAAATGTGTCGTTGGCATTTTTTATGATTAATATAATACTATTTTTGTTCTTACATATTTATTTATTTCAAGACAAAAAATTACATAAATTAAAATATTTAATTATTTTATTGCAATTAATTGTTAAGCTTACTTATTTATTTTATTAGTGAGTTTTATTTCGACTCTTACTTAGCCTACTCAAATCATATAAATATTTTAAAAATACTAACTAGTGCCAAATAGTTTTTAAAAAAAATAAAAAGTATACTTTTTATTAGAAAATATAAAAAAAAAACTTATTTCCACAGTTTTCAGTACATTATAATGTACTTTTTAATTAAAAAAAATTAATATGTGACTTAAAAGCATATAACTAAAAAGATCAAATAAACTCTATTAAATTAGATGCTTTAAATTACAACAAAACAAAAGTATGCATGTAATACTTTGCATAATTTTGAGAAAATAAATAATTTTTTAAATAACATATTTTTTTTAACTTTATGACATGTGTCTTTGGGTATATATTAAAAAAAATTTAAAACTTATTATTTATTATCATAATGAATACCCTTGAACAATATCCTAAACATTTTATACAAACAAAAAATATGAATAAACAAATTAATATTATCTTAAAATTTTATATAAATAAATAAATAACAAATAAACAGAATTAGAGATAATATTATTTTGTTGGTGCAGGGTGAGGTTGTGGTCATAATTAGAAGGAAAAGCTGAGTGGAGGAGGTGGGGTTTCATCATTTTGTTCAATGGACAGAGCCTTTTATTCCTTTGCACATAAGACATGGTTGGAGGCACCCCCATTTCATTCCCTACCATTTTCAGGGCTCACAAGAAAACGCTAGTTCTTGTCGCCTCCTTTTGTTCGAGACTTAAACTAAGGGTGAAAGAATCATACATGATGCAAAGTACAAGGCACAATTCCTTTTTCAAAGAAAATTCCAAATCCCACCATTTAATGCACAAGCCAAATCAATTATACCATTTGATGCTGATCAAAGTTATACTAGATGGTTATTTGTATCAGTATTTATCTTAACTATAAGCAAAATATAAACTAAAAAATCAATGAAAATGAATATGATATTATTCTATAGTCATTTTATGCAACTCTGCTTGTTAAACTTGTAACTTAATTATAATTGATTAAATTATATCTATTTAATAAAATTAGTTACATAATTACTTATAATATGTTAAATGACTAAACAAAATATTAAAACATTTGTGTGAGAATAAATTATTTAAAAAATTAAAAACTAGTTTTAATAAGTTAAATGCTATTGTGAGTTGTTTTTTTTTATTATATAACATTTAAAAATATTTTTTTCACTAAATAACTCTTCCAACTCATTTAAAAAAAAAATCATAACCTTCTAAATGAGTTATAAATTTGTGTTACTAAACATAGTTACAAATATCTCATTGTGTATAGTTAAAAAATTACGTTACAATTAAAAAAATAATTTTTTATTGAATAATCAGTTAAAAGAGGAAAAAAAATAAAAATAATTTAATTAATATGGAAGCATATGTAACATAAGTACACACGATGAAGAACACATGTAAATATGTATGTAGAAAAGAAGAAGGCGAACGAAAATCTTGTTTTCAAGAATAAGGATTCGAATTTATTATATCAAAGTTTATTAATAAATAATTAAAAATATATTTTGTCTTTTATGCATTGATTTTATTTATCAAATTTTTAATGGAAAAAACAATTTAATGATAATTTTTTTTAATTTGGCCTTCACCGTTACAATTAACTTGATATGGGTAATCAAATTTTGATTTGTATTGTAAAATTTCTTACAGCAAGTTTTTAAATGTATGTCAAATTTAGTAGTTTAATCATCTCAATCAAAACTCTTTCATTTTCGAGCAAGAGTAATAATTAGTTCAAACACTCACCAAACATACTATTTTAATAATTAGATCCAAAAGCACCTCAAATTATCGTACGTGCACAAAACCCAAACATTTTCCCTAGTTTTGTTTGAATGGGAAGAAAAAAAATATATAAAAAAAGTATAAATAACGATATTTTTATTTGGTTGAAGATAAATAAAAATAAATAAAGAAAAGTTAATCACAGCCATAGATCCACGTTGCAAAAATTGATCTCCACTATCTTCTGCGTTTGTGCTGAATCACTTTTATTAAAATGATGGCTAACAAATCAATCTAGCTCCATGTGCAATCAATTTTTAAAAAGCCCGATTCAACACGCTTTATCATAAACCTATCACTTGGATAAACATACTCTCTTTGTCTTATGTATATTACTTGCCAGTTAAAGTAATATATATTTTAAAGAAAGTTTATAATTATACCAAATATTATGATCAAAATTAATAAATATTACTTTTTTCAGATGATACAAAATAACTTTAACAAAATAATACTTTATTTGTTTAAAATAAGTGTCAATTTGAGCATGAAATTAAATTACTCATTTCTTGGCATTATAATAATAAAAACTGAATATTAAATTATAGACCATCTTTGAATATATAACGCTAAATTAAATAAAATATAATGAGGTTTGAGTATTTTTTATTCGATTTTTATTTTAAATAATTTAAACAATTAAATTCAACATTATTTTATTTCATTTCACTAATCAAAATATAGGCATAAAAAATTGTGTAAGTAAGCTTATATATTTGTTTCTACGAGATAATTTTTTTAGTTGCTTTACTAATTAAATGCTTTGAGAAATTTAATTGAAAAATAAAACCAATTAATATTAAAAAGGCCAAATATCTTATGCCTCGAACACAGTCACACACCATAATCTGAGCTATGCCACTTGAACCGAAGAGATGAAATAAAAGGGTAATCGTTTTTTGCATCAATTTTCTGTTATATTTATATTTTTTATTCTTTATAAAATTTATTTTTTGAAAGTGCGTTTAATACAACTGAAAAGTTATTTATAAATTATTTATTGAAAATTTAAAATTATTTCATATGTTTCCAAAATTAAATTAAACAAAATAAATTATAACCACTTTCAAATTTGAATTTTTGGAAGTAATTTTATATTTAAAAAAACCAAATTCTAGAAATGAAAAAAAGGTAGTTTAAAAAGTAATATTCAAAGTAAAATTCCAGCTATTTCTACATATTAACAATTTTAAATGGGCTTTGTTCTTCCCGTTACGCTTGGGCCTCCGTTCCCTTTATTTATAGAAAAGTTGTCCCCAAACAAAAATTTATTTTGAAAATAAGAAACAAAAATATCATTGTTAATTACATTTACACCACCATTTTCTATATTTATAAAAAATTTAAAAAAATAATTTTGTTTGGTTGAAACTTTTCAACGGGAAGAAGAAACCATTCTCAAAACGGCGTCGGATTAGAATGACACTGGGACAGGGTCAACGACGGCGTGCGCGGTTTGCAGCGTCCGGGAATCTAGCACGTGTCATCGTTGTCGACACACCGTAACTTCGTAATCACATTCGGCATCTACCTTACCAAATCCTCCATTTTCATTCATTTTCTATTTCGTTTTTCTCTTCTCAACTCAGAAATCAATTCTCACTTTCATTTCAATTCATCGATCATTCACCAAAATGTTAGAACAGTTACTGATATTCACAAGAGGAGGATTGATCCTCTGGACCTACAAGCAACTCAGTAACGCTCTCAAGGGATCACCGATCGACACGTTGATCCGATCCTGTCTTTTGGAGGAGCGATCCGGTGCGGCATCCTTCAACTACGATGCACCTGCTGCTTCATACTCCCTCAAATGGACCTTTCACAACGATCTTGGACTTGTCTTTGTCGCTGTCTATCAGCGCATCCTTCAACTCTTCTACGTCGATGATTTACTCGCCGCCGTCAAGCGCGAGTTCTCGCGCCTCTACCATCCCCAAAAAACCGCGTACCGAGAATTTGACGAGATTTTCAATCAGCTCAAGATTGAAGCCGAGGCTCGCTCCGAAAATTTCAAGAAATCGAATCCCATGCCTGTGAGGAACTACCAGGCCATGGGACAGGGGCAAGGGCATAAGCCTCGATCCGAAAAGAAGAGCGACGATGGTGCTTTGAAAAGTGACGGTGATGGCAAAAAGGGTAATAAGTTTGTTGCTAACGATTCTAACTTGAAGAGTAGTAGTAATAACAACAATAATGATAATAATAGAAAGAATGTGAATAACGGTGAAGAGAATCGAAGTTCCAAAAATGGGGCTTTTGATGTAAATAGGCTTCACAAGCTTAGGGGAAAAGGGGGGAATAATGGGAAGAAGGCAGATGGTGTTGGTGCGAAGGCAGAGCCCAAAAAGGTGATTAAGAAAAACAGGGTTTGGGATGATTCGGCTCCCCAAACCAAACTGGACTTTACGGATCGTGTGGATGGGGATGGAGACAGAAAGGTAGATTTTTTGGCTAAGGAACAAGGGGAGAGTATGATGGATAAAGAAGAGATTCTTAGCAGTGACAGTGAGGTTGAGGAGGATGTTGATGACACTGGAAAGGACAGTAAGTCCGCTGCTAAAAAGAAGGGTTGGTTTTCCTCTATGTTCCAGAGGTAAGATGGCTGATTTTGTGAATTTTGTCTTTATGGATTCTACATTTTGTTTGCTTTATTTGGCAGATATCCCTTCATTCAGATTTATGTTATGTAGTTTGCCTTCTAACATGGGATTGATGCTGTGGGGCTTGGCATCCTGAAAAAAAATGATATATTACTATGTGTGGGATTTTCTACTTTGTATGTGAAGGTTTTATTGTTTCCCGCATTGTTGATTCCATTTCATGAGAAACCTGGACAATCTAATTGCTCTAATGTAGTCTGTTGATGGGAATAAAAATTTCATAGGGAATTAATTGTAATCAAATTATGTACTTCAACTTTTAGGCCGAAGGATTTTAAATTCAAAAATAATATGAAAATAATAATGAGAGATACTTAGAGTAAGAAGTAAGTGTGAGAGAAGTTATGAACGATAAATTAAAAAAAGTTAAGCATAATGAAGATAATTTTAAATTTTTTTTAAAAAATAAGTCATTTGAAATTATTTTTATTTTACATAAAAATTATCTAATTAAAATTTTCTAGCATTTTAAAATTACTTTTTTTACTATCCAAATATATAACTTATAGGAATTTATACATGAATTATAGGAATTTTAAAATGTTCTATCCAAACACAACCTTAGGGAAGTTAAATAACAGCATTTCTAAAAAGTTAAGATGCGTAAGTTGATTTTGAATTATAAAAGAAGTTTGATGCATTTTAGCCCCTTAGTTTCTTTTCCCATAGCCGTAAGTTTTCGTTGATAAGTTTATCCAAATTGAGCATGAAAGGGTTATTCTTGCACCTATTAATGCTCCCTCTCTGTCATGTTAAATTAAGTTCCATTTATTAAGATCAAGGGATGCTGTTTCCACTTTCCTTTTGCTGGTCTCTAATGATTTGAATCTTGCTGTGTTATTTAGATGCAAATAACTCTGCACCTGCTGCATTGCTTTACCAATTTCAAAATTTTATTTCGATTATATAACTTTGTTTTAAATAAGTTATTAATTCCTGAAAATATCATGCTTTTTTATTTTAGTCCCTATAAAAAAATTATTCAATTTTAGTCTCTATTTAATATAGGGACTAGAATTGAACAATTTTTTTTTAAAATTTTATTAATTTTATCCCTTAGAGCAGAGGATAAGAAACTAATAATAATAAAATTTTATTAAAAAAAATATTTATTGTATTTTTATAACTTCAATATAATAATTATGTACTTTTTTTTATAAATTTTTTTTATTTGTGAATGTTTAAATTCAGTCTTAAAGATTTAGTGCTAACAAAATTCTTTTTTTTATAGGTACTAAAATAAATAGCATGATATTTTTAGGATTAATAACTTATTTAAGTCTTCTTCTACTTTGCAATTTCCATTTTTTTTTTACTGAAATGACTAATAAGAATACTCCTGTACATCCTTGTGCTCAGTATTGCTGGGAAGGCCAATTTAGAGAAGTCAGACTTGGAACCAGCTTTGAAAGCTCTGAAGGACAGGCTCATGACCAAGAATGTGGTATGTATTTATCCTCAACAGCATTACCTGTGACCTTTTTGAATATCTAATTGGTGATCCATCTGTGACTTTTTGCTCCTATCAAGCTTGCTAACTTTGTTTACATTCTACATCACTTGTAGGCTGAGGAAATAGCTGAGAAACTATGTGAGTCAGTGGCAGCAAGTCTAGAAGGAAAAAAACTAGCTTCGTTTACGAGGATATCTTCGACAGTGCATGTCTGTTTCTATCTTTTACCCTATTAACATTTGATGCTGAGTTTTTCTTTATATATACTCTTCCATAACAGTTCATACTGATGCTATGTTTTAAAAAAATCAATGCAGGCGGCAATGGAAGAAGCACTTGTTCGTATTTTAACTCCTCGGCGTTCTATTGACATATTGAGGGATGTGCATGCTGCCAAGGAACAAAGGAAACCATATGTTGTTGTATTTGTTGGTGTTAATGGAGTTGGAAAATCTACTAATTTAGCTAAGGTAGAAAATCATTTTATTTCTCTTCTGCTATTGATTTAAGATTCCATATGTGGGCTTGGGCTTGCTTTTTAACCAGAAGTTGATATTCTATTTTATGTGTAATTGTGTAGGTTGCTTACTGGCTTCTGCAGCACAACATTAGTGTCATGATGGCTGCTTGTGATACATTTCGATCAGGAGCTGTTGAACAGCTGCGGACTCATGCTCGTAGACTCCAGGTTTACATTGATTTTACTGCTTAAAGATTAATGCACATGCACACACATAATCAATTACTGGAAGTATATAGTCTAATAATTTCTCTTTTCAGATCCCTATATTTGAAAAAGGCTATGAAAAAGATCCTGCCATTGTAGCAAAAGAAGCAATTCAGGAAGCTTCACGCAATGGTTCAGATGTGGTTTTAGTTGATACAGCTGGCCGTATGCAGGTAATTATTGCAGTTATTGTTCTAGTCAAGAGTTTAAAGATTCTGCGAGTGTACAACGTACTAGGTGACTCATTTTTTGTTATCTCATTTTTTATTCTTTTCAGTTATGAGTAGTATTTCCCTACGATGAACCCTGCATTTATTTTGTGCAAATGGAAATTTGGAATGCAAGACCATCCTCATATTGAATTGAAGAAGAATTCAAAACCTTCTTACCTTGTATCCCTATAAATCTTTTGAATTACTAAATGAAGAAAGTATTGAATGCTTTTCATGTTTTCAAGATAACAAATGCATGCACATTCATTTAATACTTACTTTATAAAGTAATAGGACAATTATTAAATATGTAGGAGGATATATCAAAGCTCTTGGTTTTGGCTATATTTGGATACCAATGATGTCTGTTTCAATGCATTTAGATACTCATTTGACATCTCACTGCTGCTTTTCAGGATAATGAACCGTTGATGAGAGCACTGTCGAAGCTCATCAACCTTAACAATCCTGACCTGGTCTTATTTGTCGGTGAAGCACTGGTTGGTAATGATGCAGTTGATCAGCTTTCGAAGTTCAACCAGGTTCTGTTCTATATACTTGATATTTTCAGTCCAACTATCATTTTGTTTTTGTATCCGTTTTTTCCATATCTCAGATATTAAACCCATCTATTTTATTGCAGAAATTAGCCGATCTTTCAACATCATCTACACCCAGATTGATAGATGGGATCTTGCTCACAAAGTTTGACACCATTGATGATAAGGTATGCGAGTTAAAAAATTGCAAGGATCGAATTTAAATTTTAACTCGGCATTTGGATCTTCCTGATGAAAATTTATTGGTCTGCCGATGTTTTCTTTTGGCAGGTGGGGGCTGCACTTTCAATGGTTTACATATCTGGAGCACCGGTCATGTTTGTGGGCTGTGGACAGTCCTACACTGACCTTAAGAAACTCAATGTCAAGTCAATTGTGAAGACGCTCCTTAAATGAGGGAACAAACTAAACCTGTCATTCATGTCTCTGTTTGATGAGTAACTTGATTATCCCCCATGATAATATGTGACTATGTGACTATGGCTTTGGAGGCAATTTGGTTTGTTTACATTGGGAAGCTTCTTTCCTCTGTCCACCTTGAGAATAGCGTGTGTAACTGTATACTATCATCTAATTTTTCTCACCTTAATAAGTAAATAGCCTTCACAAACATGCAGATATCTAACTATTTCGTGCGACAAATAAAATCTCAGGTTTTTTATAATTTTAGTGAGATATAATAAATGCTTTCTTTTGCAAAATAAATACATAAGATTTAACTGTATCTTAAAATCGTGATTCTCGGTTATATGATTTTTCCCATCTCGAGGCTAAAAGATATGGTGATTATTGATTACGACTTGATGTATAGTATCTGTAACTCCAACTTTTATTTGATAAAGGGAGTTCATTTTCAACGGTTAAAATGTAATAATTATCACTCTGGTATGATTTCACATCAAAGGTGACCCTCAGTCGATGTCCGCAGCAAGGTTACACTATCGTGGACTTGGTCAATGTCTTAATTATAGTGGAAAGATCAATGAAAACTGTTTGAGAACTTCAATGTTTGTTCGAATTTTTCTTATTAGAAATATACGGTGGTGTGCTCCTTGCTTTTTGGGTATCCCCATCACTTTATTTTATTCAACGTCCATCCATATATTTAATCAAAATGTTGGCAAATTCTTTAAGTAATGTAGCATGGCTCATAATAAAATTAGTGATACTTCCTATTTATCTTTTACACGCGTATAATAGATTTAAGTTAGATTTCGAGATCAAATATTTTTTTTAAAGATTAATATTGCATAAGTAGCTTGCATATTCTATTTAATTGTTTATAATGGATCAAAACTGATCTTTTATGCACTATTTAATTGTTTATAATGGATCAAAACTAATCTTTTATGCACAGAAGTTGGAGAGGGAAAAAAACTTTAGGTTTGATACATTTATTATAGCTAATATGAAATTTGAGTCTCAATAAATTTTTATTTGAATATAATTTCTTAAATATTAATTATTATAATTTATTTTTTTAATTGTTATAATTGAATTCTTCAATTTTCTTTAAGCTTTTTAAAAATTAAACTGTTAATTATTTTAGTTAAAAAAAAAGGATTTAAAGATTTTATATAAGAAAAAAGGAACTTAAAGACTTGATTGTCAAAATAATATATATATATATATATAATATTAAGCCAAAACTTTAACAATATATATAAGTTTAAACAAAATATTTAAATTGCAAAAAATGACGATTGAATACGTTTAAACTTAATAAACCTTAAATGATAGTCCTTTAAAAAATAAATTATATGTAATAGAGGATCAAGATTCTTTTTCATTTGATATTAACTGAAAGGTTCAGTCAAATAAAATTTAACAATTTTACTTAAATAATTTTTTTTTTAAATAAAAATATAAAATATACTGATTGGACCACTGTCTAGTTACGAGAAAGAATTCTAATCTACTCCATGCAATGCAATAGAATATTGTTATTTACAAACTTATATTTTACTTGTTAATATCTTTTTTAATAAAAGTTTACGAGAATAGAGGTTGCTTCATTTTAACATCAATACGCCACAAGTCAACAAAGGCGTCGATAGTTACTTAACCCATCGATGAAAGTCCCAACAAACCAAAAAACCTTTATATCAACATTATTCCATATCTTTTAAACAGAGGCAATACTCATTAATGATACTTTTATCTCATATTCTCTATTGTTAATTTGTCGTATGTATCAATCATTTATTTCATTGTTTTGTAAAAGTTGATTAATGCATTTCGTAAATGATCAATATGAAAAAAAACATGAACAGATTTGTATTTTTTGCAAAGGGGGAGGATAAATATTTACAAGTTATAATAAAATATTTTAACATAAAACATAAAAACTAAGAGTATGGATCTTCTGCAGATGATGATCGGGATCCATACAATATAAAGGTTGGTTTCTTGGAATGAAAAGAAATACCGCTAGTGTTAGCTTCGTGGATTCAGAATTCTTTGCAATTATAATTTAAACTGCAAAGAATTATTACCACTAATTTTTTTAATACATTCTAAAATCAAAATTTTTGAAACTGATTGGACAATCTTATTACCAAACGGTAGGTGATTGTGTTTTCAGCTCCTTGATCGGCAAAACACAGTTCCGAGTTATTAGTGTGATAGCTTCCATTATCAAAATTACAAGATTTTTTTCTCTGAATATTAATATAAGTTTATTTAAAATGTATTTTTTTATGATGTTATTCAATCACAAATTACTGTTTAGACAATTTTTTTAACTTCTACGATATTTAATTAAAAGTTACATCTATTGTATCTTTTAATTAATTAGTAGTATAAATTTTTTTATATTAACAGTTTATTAAAATTAAACTCCGTTATATTATATATAAGCAATAACGTATAAGGTTACATACTAAATAGTTTTTTCACAAAAATATTGTTAGCATGTGCCCTTGACGATTGTCATTAAGTCACAAAGACAAACACAAACGAAGACGCCCTGCACTTGCTGCCTCTACTTTGAAACGAAAACACAGTTAACCCCTCAAAAAATGAACAGGTATGTCACATAGATTCGTCTAGAAATGTTGCCAACATTTTTATTTTAATTTATGAATAGATGAAAGTTTATTTTTGATTCCATTGATAAAGGGTTAACTCGCATCGTATGAAATTTTAAACAATACATACATTAATTGTCAGCATTTCACTTTTAAAAAAAATTGGGTAAATAAACTTAAAATGAGAATTCTAACAATGTAAAATTTTCAATTTAATTAAAATCATTTTCATTAGAAAATTTAGACTTAACTTTGGTCTCAAAAGCTAACTCATGCTAAAAAATTAGCCAAGTACTTGTCAAATAAATGTATGTAATTCATCCTAAAAGACATCGAAAAGGTGCTTTAAAAGACATGCACGTTGGCTCGCCACTTCGCCAATATGTGCTGCTTCTACCTATTGCCAAGTGGCTATCATTCAAAGCAAAGGCTATTTATTACTTTGGAACCCAAAAACCAGTGCTTCGTATATCTCCATTGGTTGCTAGCATTTGGCCATTAACCCTCTGCCACTAATAATCCATGGCATTGTGTTTAGCACCCGCGTCTCCATTTTTGGTCTTTGTGTTCTCAATGTGCCTCTTGTTTTGCTGCTCCCAATCCAAAGAATATTTGGTTGGAGGCACTGAAAATTCTTGGAGGGTTCCTCTTCCCTCACCTGATTCACTCAACAAGTGGGCCAAGACTCACCAATTCAGAGTCGGCGATTCTCTCAGTAATTACTCTTTGCTTTTTACTTTGATTTATTCGGTACAGATTAGAAAACATGCACACTTCAAAGTAATTAAAAAATTTGTTTTTCCAATTTCTCTGTACAAAATTTATGCAAATACATAGATAAGTAGAGAAAATTAAGTATATGTAATAAGATGATAGTTAATGAACTTAGATTTCATTCTGGCTATTATTATTATTATTTTATGAGTTTTTGTTAACTTTAGTTTTTAGGGCTGAATTTAAAACTTCTCAGATAAAAAATTTTAATGAAAAAAGTATATAATTATATTGAAATTATAAAAATATAATAAATATTTATTTTTTTAATAATTTTACTATTATTAGTTGTTTATCTTTAACTTTAAGAATTGAAGTTAACAAAACTTTTATTTTATTAAAAAGCTAGTAACATTCTTCAAATAATCTTTATGATAGATTTATTTTTTTGAAAAATTAAAATACTAGGTTCATATTTATAACTTAAAAAAGATCAGTTATAAAAAGTATATTAATAACATTTCAATATAAGTATTTATTTCTTAGAGGAATTGTGTTAGCATTTTGTGTTGGTTAAAGCTCATTATTCTTGTTTGAATGTTTGTAGCATTTAAATACGATAGGAGAACAGAATCAGTGCACGTAGTGAATGAGACGGACTACGCACGTTGCATAACAAAGGGGCAACACTTAGTATTCAACGACGGAAATACTAATGTTTTACTTAGCAAATTAGGACCAAAACACTTCATCAGTGGAACACAAACTCATTGCCAAATGGGGTTAAAGCTGGTTGTGGATGTCATGCCTAAGAAAAGCAAGAAAATGTCTAATTCTTCCTCTCCTTCACCATCACCATTGCCTTCTTTGTCACCAACACCGTCACCACTTTCGTCGCATAATCAAGGTGTTGCTCTTGGTTCAAATAATGGATTCATTGGAGTTATAATGTGGGTAGGAGTTTCATTAGTGATGATGTGCTCAACATGAGAGAATATTATTGTGTATTTACATATTAATATTTCTTTTACTAGCTATATCCAACATTTGTATGGTGAGGTCAAGTTTTTTCGTTTTCATCTTAAGTCTTTCTTTGATGGGTAGATGTTTGTTTCCTGTACCCTAAGTCCAGTGTTCTTGGTAATTTTGAGATTCAATAAGTTTGGATTTAAATGCACCTGTATTGAATGTTCCTAAGTCATCATTGCCAAATAAATTCTACTTCTTATTTGTGCATTTTACGATTTCACGTTATTAACTTTTCTGTTGTGTTAAAGAAAAGATTATCTTTTCTGTGATTCAAGGATGAAAATCCTAATTTGTGCTTGAGATTTTTTTAGTAATATATAATATAAGTTGGTCCATGAGACAAAGTTTAACAAGGCATACGTTAGTTTTTAAGCCAATAACTATCTAACACGATGTTAACGATAGATATGAAAAAATAAAATTTGAAGAAAATAAGATAAAATAAGAAAATTTTCATTACAGAATTTTAAATAAAACTAGCTACATTTTATAAGGATTAAATATATTCAATTTCAATCTAAAAATTATAAAACTTTGCTATATTTTCTTATAAATTTTTCTAACAATACTCCTTTTACTAAATAAAATAAGTTAAAAAAAGAAATATATGTATTTATTATCTTAAAAATATATAAATAATAATAATTTTTTAATCAATCATTAGAACTCGTTAACGTAAGATACAGGAGAATATAACTTGGGAGTAATTTTTGTTTACCTTCTTATTACTTGATCTCTTGTAGTTAATTTTTCTTATTTAGTATAATTTGTTTATTTTTAAAACAAGATTAAATTAGAAAAATAACCATCAAAATTCAAAAGCATTGTTGTTTAAGGAGAAGGAGTAGTAATACAAGAAATTTATAATGTATATATATATATATATAATTATTAAAAAATTTATGATTATTAGTGTACTTTTATTTACTATATATATATATATATAGAAGACAAGAAAAACGGGACGCGTTTACCCGTGTGTGAGCAAGGGTGACCTTTTCTAGTTGTACTCTAAAGTATGTTGACCTTTTTAGTTGTTTTTTAGAGTAAATTTTTTTAAAATTTTAGAGGAATTAAATTAAAGGATAACAAAAAAGAAGAAGAAGAGATTTTATGAGTCTGGTATGAAAAAATTCAAACGAGAGATTATTTTATAAATTTGTCATTGTCTTGTCCAATAGCAGTTATTACAGCATTTAGTTTGGAAAAAATAGATATTTTTTCATATATATAAAAATATTTATTTTTTAATTTTGTTATTGTGATTACGGTTTGTCTGCTTTCCTTCCCCTTTCCTTTTTCGCTTCTCTTGTCATGCGTTCGACAACTATGACAATGACTTATCTCTCAGAGACCGAAATTCCGCCTTAAATGCCTCTCCGTGTTCTTCTTCTTCTTCTTCTTCTTCTTCCGTCATTGTTCGTTCAACATCCATTATTTCTCTCCGAAGAGGTCCGTTCCCCCCTTTTCCATTTTCATTGCTTTAATCTTAATGAAATCAGTGCTAGAGTTTCTGTTCTGTTTGCTTCGGATTACTGCATGTCGATGGAATTTTAATTTGGAAATTTGTGGGAGAGAGTTTGCTGAGTGTTTACTTTCCGTTGTGTTGAACTTGAACTTAGTGGCAGTTAACCCTACCGCTATTTTTGGTTACGCCGAGAAATTTTGGGAGTGTTTTGTCTGTGTGTGTATGTGTTTGTAAAGGAAATTTTGTTAATTTTTTGGATAATTTTCACTTCAACTTCCGGTATGAACTTTCGCAACAATACCTTTCCGGCGGCGAGATTTTCGGTCTGCCTCTGTCTACTCTCGCTCTTGACTTTTGAGATTGCGTGGTGTTTTTCACAGAGAGAGATTCGAAGCTCTGTGTGTGTGTGAGTGAGTGAGAGAGAGAGAGAGAGAGAGAGAGAGAGAGAGAGTTGTCTTAGTGAAGACTACTCATAATGTTATTGTTGAATTGAACCACTTAATTTTTCTTTTTGTTAACATTTGTTTTTTTCATGTGCCAAACATCTTTGATCTTTGAGGGGTAAGGATTTTTACTCCATTATCATTTACTTGACAATTTCTCCCATGAATTTATCTCCCCTAAAGTTTAATTTACTAGATGCAATATATGTGTTGGGAACATCTAGAGAATGGTACTCTCGAGGACAAGGGATGATTTCTTTTAGAACTATCCAAGTGTATGGACTTTTGATTTTACTATGTTGGGATACTTAATGAGAACTATAGAGTAAACAGCAGTTTGGTTTAGAGGATGAAAACTTTCACAAATACCATACTAAAGGAAAATGATTTAACAAGCAAGTGGCAACTTTAGGTTCATTAGGCTGGTGCAGTCAATCTACATTATAAAGTGAATTTACGTATATGGTTTAACATCAGAAGAAAGTAACTGAGGCTTGTAATGACCATTTGAAATCTGAGGCTTGTAATGACCATTTGAAATCTGACCTTGAAGATTGTTATTGCTATTGTTCATTGTTTTAAATTTTGTTTTGTCTGTCTGCAGGCTGTGCATTTGTGATCAACTGTTGAAAGATGTTTGATTACAAGTCAGAGTACATGGGTGGCCAGAGGGAAAATTTTTTGAGGTATCCAATATACTTGTGTCAAAGGGTTATGGTAGAGATATGAAGGAGAAGATAGTAATATAATGTTAACAATATTTATTTGCATGTTCTTAGCTCGCATAAGTTATTGCTATTTCTAAATTCCAATTTTAGAATAAATTTAGGTTATTGCAAAGATAAATCATGTCAATATGATGTAAACTTTTGGCATCAGTATATTTAATTTACTTTTTTGGCCATAATATATCAACGGATATATAACCAATTAACCATTTACTGTGTCACTCATTCAGTCATTTATAAGTGTCTTCATCATATTTAATTTCTAGGTTGGATACCTTGGATTCCAGACTGTCTTCAACTTCTGATGCTGGGGTTATGAAATCTGGATTTAGTATTGATAAATTAAGTCATGGTGGTCATGGAAACAGCACAACCTCTAGGTCTTTTAAAAGAGGAATGAGAAGGGGATCTGAAGGACTGAAGTCAATAGGGCGATCACTTGGGTTGGGAGTATCTAGGGCTGTGTTCCCAGAAGATCTTAAAGTATCAGAGAAGAAGATATTCGATCCTCAGGACAAACTTTTGCTCTTATGGAATAAGCTTTTTGTTATCTCATGCATTTTGGCTGTGTCAGTGGATCCATTGTTTTTTTATCTTCCTGTCATCAATGATCCATCTCACTGTCTTGGCATAGACCAAAAGTTGGCAACAATAGTTACAACCTTAAGAACAGTTATTGATGGTTTCTATCTTATACACATGGCCCTCCAATTTCGTACTGCTTATATTGCTCCATCTTCTCGTGTCTTTGGGCGGGGTGAGCTTGTGATAGATTCGGCACAGATAGCCAAGCGATACTTGCGGCGGTATTTCATCATTGATTTCCTGTCTGTGTTGCCGATACCGCAGGTCAGAAGAAAGAAACTGTTGTTATCTTCAACCAATCTCTTTTTGTTCATACTACATGACTATTTTCCTTGGTTTATGATCCTTCTGTATTAGCAGTGTCTGTAGCTGACTGTTATTTTCCATTTCCATGATGGATTGCCATGAAATAATGTTTTGGCTGCTGTCCACTTGATGTTTATTTTTGTGTTTGGATCAAGGATTGGTCTCATATATACAGTAAAGCTCCCCAATCCCATTGCATATCTGTAATCTTTGATTTTAAATTCTTAAAGATAGGGATTTTCTTTTTGATTTATATTAACTGTTGACTACTTGACTTTTGAGTGCATATATACATATATTTACTTTTAATATTCTGCTGAAATTTGCAACTGCTTACTGGACATTCATTAATATGTTCAAAACTCTTGTTTGACTGCTCAGTGGACATCCATTGATGAAGATACAACAGATATTTGTGTTAAACTAGTGATTGTGCTTATTATCTGCAATTTTAAGGTGTTTATATACTCAACTCATACTTTTGTTTTCTTTTATTCGTTCTTGTATTCAGATTGTGGTTTGGACATTTCTTCATAGGTCAAAAGGTTCAGAGGTACTAGCAACAAAGCAAGCCTTGATGTTCATTATCTTGCTTCAGTATGTTCCTAGATTTCTTCGAATGGTACCATTGACTTCAGAGCTCAAGAGAACAGCTGGTGTCTTTGCCGAAACTGCATGGGCAGGTGCTGCATATTATTTGCTGTTATACATGCTTGCCAGTCATGTAAGTTTTTCTTTTGTTTTGTTTTTTGTGGTGCTTAATTTTGTCTATCTTCCTTGCCTTGTTCTGTTTGAGCAATATACAATCTCACTTGTTATTATTCTTTTTATAGAGCTTTATCATGTTTCAACTTTGCCAATAATTTATTTTGATAAATTTGCAGATAGTTGGTGCTTTTTGGTACTTGTTAGCTATTGAACGAAATCAATCATGCTGGCAGAAGGCATGTAGTGACAATGGGTACAATAAAAACTTCCTATATTGTGGGAACCAGCACCTGGAAGGTTATAGTGCCTGGAATAATACAAGTGAATCTATTCTTAAGTCAAACTGCTCTGCAGATGGTGATCCTCCACCTTTTGATTTTGGAATTTTTACGCAAGCAATGTCATCTGGCATCATTTCATCTAAGAAGTTCATCTCCAAATACTGTTACTGTTTATGGTGGGGGCTCCAGAATTTGAGGTAATTAGTTTTATTTCCTTTGGACATTTGTATCATGCATTCTCTAACAGCTAATAGAAAGACTGAAACAAATATGTTCTATGTGAAGTATGTATTTCTGAATGGAGTGATTATATTATTTCTGCATATTTGTCAAATTGATACAGAACTGGTATCAATTATGCACAAACAAGTGGCTCAACAATAACAAAGCAAAAACTGATATGTAGATTGAAAATGAAATGAAATGAATTACAGTGGAAAAG